GCAATTTTATGGAAATATATAAATTTCGTGTAAAAATTAAACATGCGTGTAAATTATTTATATTGCCCTTTCTTATTTGACTGAAATTGGGTATATAAGAAAGCCAGTAGGCACATTACCCACTAGAATATTTAAAAAAAACAAAAAACAAATGATTACGGCTTTCATGCGAGCATTTCCGAGGTGGTCATAAATTGTGTCTTTGCATTGCGATATCGCCGCGGAGAGTTTAGAATACGTCAAAACGGTTCAATATAGGATCCCCAGTTTCTGAAGGTTAATTAACTGGCTTTAAGGTCAAGCTTGCGATTAAGGTGCAACTAGATAAGATTGATATAATGATAAGATTTTGTTTAAAAACACGTGAAAATGACTTAGAAGAGAGTGACAAGGCACGCGCTTGGGACAAGTGAGGAGCCTCATAATTATCCTTGCGCGAATGAGTAAACGATGACAACTTGAGAGCGCGCATTGAAAGGTCAGTGTTGACGCATTTCGTTCCTAAATAGCGAGTTTAAGATGCACCAAATCTACAACGCGGACATGAAATGAAAACTGCTACTAGTGTTAGAAAACCAGTAATGGGAAACGACGAGGACTGCTGGCTGCATTTTGGGCCTTTCAGAGGTAGAGATCGGATGGGCCACACCGATTGACTTCGAGACCTAAATATTCCACACTTTTCGATTTCTGATTTGAACCTATCTTTGCTTTAGTGCTTGATATGGGAACAAAATTTTTTTACACAGTTGTAAAAAAAGTAGACAGTTTCAAATGAAAATAAAAATAAGCGATGACAGCTTGAGACCGGGAATTGAAAGGTCAATGTCCACACCGGCAATTGACCCCTGGTTATTTTTTTGGTACGACAAAGCTGCATGTTCATCTTTTTCAACCCCCCAGCATGTTTCAGCAACGGCAGCTTGATAAAGCCCTTCGGATAAACCTCAAAATGGAAAAGACGTCAATTAATTGAAATGCTCGATTGAAAAACAAAAGTAGTTATCGAAAAATTAACTCCCCGAAAGCACGAAAAGGCGACAAAATCCAATTAGAAATATTTCAAGGTGAAGAAATACGCGGCATAATTCTGTTTAACTGTTTTTTACATCACGTATAATTTTATTTAACCTGCTATACGTATTTTATGTCTAGACGTTTTTACATCCAGCTGCGCTCTTGCACAAGGTTTAGGATCATACATGCCGGAAGTCGCAATAGACCTTTTTCATAATGACGTCAAACGCGGAAAGTCTGATGTTACACGAAATTTCATTCGCTCCACAAAACTATCGAGCCAATCAAACTTCGTGTAACATAAGACTTTCCGCGTTTGACGTCATTATGAAAAAGGTCTATTAGGCACCTTTATAATATGCACCAAAAAACGTGAACCGCTTTGAGGTGCTTGTTTCGGCCATCTTGGATTAATCCTTAATCATTAACTCAACTACAGGTGTGGGGTTAGCTAATTGCTTTTATAAAGGGATATTTTAATATATTCCTTTTTACATTACTAATTTCTTTTCAAATTAACTTTTGTATCATCAGTGAATATGAATATATGAACCCCCTTCCACTTATCCACACTGGCGACGTCACTGTTTGAGATTGGTGACTTTCGCATCCCAAGAAAATATCAATATATGTTTTTAATATGTTTTTAATTTCTTTTGCGATTTCTCTTGAACGTTATCCTGGAATATAAATGCAGATATTGAATTGATTATTTCGACTGACATCTATCAAATGACACCAACCGTACAACAGTGATGATAAAAATCAGTAATAACATAAAATATAGCGAGCTTATAAGGTGGTACACCACAAAAAGGACATTTGCATATTGCATATTTATAAAATTGAAAATATATTAATTTAATTTATTTTCTTTTTCTTGCGGTCCGAATTCATATTTTAGCGTTTCCTGCAATCTGATTGGCTTCGTAAGGGGTTCGTAAGAGGCCGTACGGACCGTGCGTGATTAAAAAGCACAGAGCCAACGCTAAAATATGAATTCGGACCGCAAGAAAAAATAATCTATTATTTACCAGTTTAGTCGCACCGTATAGGGAAATATTTCCCTCTGTCTCAGAAACGTCCCTCGGCGCTCGGCCTCGGGCCTGCTTTTGAGACCTTGGAAAATATTTCCTTATACGGACCTCCAATCCGGTAGAAAACACATATCTTTTTTTAGGGCACATATCTGCATCAGTGTGTAAAATATGCTTTAGTCGTTTTAGAGCTTAGTTCTATGGTAGAACAGAGGGCGAGAATTTTTGCCCTCAAAATATGATATTTCGATAAAAAATGCTAAATTCCAACATCATATGCACACAGCATACCTCTGTAAAATAGAAGGGTACATGTTTGGGTACAGCAGATTGCATTATCTGAACAATGAAACCCCGAAAGTTTCCTGAGCCCTGGCTTTCAGGATCTCTATAACCTAAAAACTTGTAGATCAATTTTAAAAAAGGCAACTACAACTATAAAATGCAGAAAAATTATTTACAACGACTGTAGCTTTATTGTCAATAAAGCGACTTCAAGAACACTCAACGCTGCTGAAGTGATGACGGCTGCATTAAAATGTCGCGAAAAACAGCGAATGTAATTTTGGCTGATCTCAAGTGGTTAACAATTCTATACGCCCGCCGCTGCTGACTGCATTCTAATAAATTTCCGATATGCATGGTTTCTGCTTTAGAATTGAACTATACTGAATATTTTTATGCTTCTAATTAATTTCAATCCTTCGGCGCGTAAAGCCTTGTTTTTCCAGTAAAAGATAAAACATTTGAATGAGGCATTCATTAAGGCCACAGTATTTCCCCAGACTGCAGCAAGTTTCGCACTACCAAACGTCGCACTTCTCGCTTTTCCGTTCATTGTCATTCCAATGCAAACTAAGAATGGAATGAAATTGACGAGTAGAAAACAAACAACCATATTGCTAAATACCTTTCCAAGCTCTTGACGAAAAGAGCGAGCAACGAAAGACTTGGAAATATATGTGCTATGTAATAGCAAGAGAACAATAAACGTAATAAATCAAATTTTTCTCTTAACCACGTTATTGCGATAAGAGCCATCAATGGGTTATTCCTTACAATCGTAAACGAATCGAGACAGGACAAAACCATGATCATGAAATAACACATTTTCCTTCGAACCTGCAGAGAGGACCAAGAGACTGAGTATGACTAAGAAATTTAAACATAATCCCACGACACAGAAGCATACGTTAAAAGCACATGTTATTATCAAGTTGATGTAGCATTTCATCTCCATCGATAACGAAAGTTAAAAGAAAAATTCGCGCAATAAAACGCCGTTAATTGCATAAAGTTCATCGGCATGATTTGAATTTTGTTGACTTTTTGCAAAAAAATTAGGATAACATTTACATAAGTCAGCTGGCCTAAATTAACAAGAGTCGAATTTAAATACAAGAAAAAGGTTAGGTTATCCACGTCTCCTATTAAGGTGGTCCCTCCAGTTAATTGAAATTGTCGAATACACATCTTAAACAGGGTAAATCGAGGTGTAAATCGATAAAACCTATCCCTGTCCGCTGATTCGAGTCAACTCCAAGAAGACTGGGACGATCACTTAGCCGCCATCTTTGAAGCGCAATTATAAAGGCCAACACGTTTGAAATTATATCATCAAACAACTCCGTTTTTTGTACGCACAAACTTTATTTGAGGGCGAATAATGGCTTAAAACAAACAATGTTGAACCAACTGATTAATAATTCTTAATTAGTGGTTTGAAAACGAACTGATATAAAAAAAAATTCATGTCGTTTGAATAATGTTCAAAACTGCTCAGTTTGAAATTATTAAATTTACTTATATAGTTAGGTTAAGAGATAAAAAATATATAATTCTCTCGTTATAGCGATCCTGAAAATTTCCCATACCTCAAAGCAATTTTGCATTACGCTCTCTTCATCCGGGCGGGTAAAATGCGTTTTGTTTTTGAAATCACGGCCGTAATTTTCGAAAGCAGCTTTGCCTGCGTAGGAAAAGCGAACGTAATGGGAAACAGCTTTTATAACCCAGCCAACTAGTTCAATGTTTTACTGGGCTTAGAAAGATGCATGGCGGACGACATGCGTATATAATACGAACATAACATCAATGGTTCTGTGTCAAGTGCCCGCCATGTTTAGTGCTGTGAGAAAAAAATTACAACTACTACAACTATAGCATGTAAACGGGGCTTGAACTATTCAAGCTATATACTATATAACAATATAGGTTAAATTTGTCTGCGCATGCGCAGAATTGTCAGAAACAAGATTGCAGCAGCTGGTCGGGGCTAGACCGGTTTTCCAACATTAGCTGTGTAGTTTCGACATCACTGTGTAATAACGCTCTATAATCTAAAGTCCGGCGCACCTTACGAACCACTTTTGTCATTCGAGCCCAGGGTTTTAGCTCGACCGCTTATTACGGATATATTAGGATTTACATGCTGTAGGAACATAGCTTTTAAAATAAATCAGTCGAGCATGGGACCAACGTATGAATATGCAACCCTCCCTTCTCCCCCCCCTGCAATCTACGGCCCTGTTCGTGCCAAGCGGGTAGCTTTTGTTCGCCGTATGCGGAAAGATTTTGGGACGCTGACGCAAGACAGAAATTATTAAACATGATTAATATTTGCTGTATGCGTGGAACGAATGGCAAAAGTCGTGAAAATCTAAAAGCACTGGCACACGAGAGTTATCTCCTTTCGCCATTGAGCACGCCTGACATAGTTTAAGCACATAGCTCTAATGTACCCCGTTCTTATAACGCCGACAATTTTTTGAAAAACTGTTATGTTAATGCTGTTCATTTTACCTATGTAAATTTATCAATAGACTATTTAATGTTCGCTACACTGAAATATGCATGAAGACGAATATATTTTAGTCTTCATGTTTTGTGGCAAGTAATTTTACAAGTGTTTAAGTTGTTAAATTTAGAAACTTAAATTCACACTGACAAAGCTGATTTTGTAAATTTACATCGGTAAAATGATACAGCACGAAGTGTATGCCATGTATGTAGGTATAAAATTTTATATGAGCGATAAATTGCCGACGTGCAGGTACCAATATCACGAGTTTTCCTGACAGGTGTTATAGTTCTATAAACATTTCTTGATTTCCAATCCTATAGCTTTCGCCATAGGCGGAGGAACCGCATTACCTATCTACGAGAAAAAATAGTACAAGTTGTTATTATTGACATTGTTTAGTTTGGATAAGTATATATATGATGAACTCAAGGTCGGTTCAATTCTTCCCTACCTGCCTATGTTTGTCGGAAATGCTACCAATAAAGCGATAGGAATCGAGAAAGCCTTGGGAACGAGCACATTCACGCACACTAACTATTCGATGTTCCGAAGGATGCAGGACTCGACCCTGTTGGAAAAAAATAACTGAATTTAAAGTGAAAGTCAGGTCCGTTCTGCGCATCGGTTCTGTTCATAACAATGTGAAGTCATCGGGCATAAATTTTACCCAAATTTCGCATGTTTCAAATTTTTCTCATCAAAAACACTAAGTGATATTCATATAAACTGTTAAAGGCATAGTGGACCCAAATGTATAAACTGATATTTTAAATATTCAGACAGCACAACGTATTTCAAAAAGAATATAAGTTCATAATATAAACAAACCGTTTGTTTACACACGGACTTGGAAAGTGTACCAGTTATAGTATTATATAGATGTATTTTATATAAAGCTAACTATATTAGACTTTCATAGATATGCCATAGATAAGGTCTAATATAGCTAGCTTCAATGGTAACTTCATTAATTTAGTTAACTACTGAAGCTGGAGAATATTTTCAATTTTCGAAAACGATCCCACGCACTGCTACGCCACAAAAGGTAAAAACCTAACCTGTTTTCCCATTGGGTCAGGATTAGTGAGTGTGGTTCTAAAGAAGCCTTCCCATTCCAGTCGTCCAAGAACACCTGACCAATGGTTGTTTTCATTGCCAGTGTGTGGTAATCTCCACGGAATCAGAGTATTGGATTGTTTGTCCGTTGGATTGCAACCTGCGCCCTCAGCACAACTACAAACACCACGAATTTGACCGGATGATCCATTTCCATTCTTCTTATCGAGATGAGTGTAACGCCTAGGGAAAGTGAAAATATGGATTAGGAATTCTATTTTAAGATTAATGCGGATTTCTATTGTAAGCTATTGCACTTACACAAGACATCCGGGCAAGACTGAATATATGAATAAACATGCACCTCCCCCGGCCCAATTATCGTTCTAATTTCGCCACTGCATACAGTGAATAACTAACAAGATTCAAAGTATAACTCAAGTTATTATGTTGTGGACAGTGTTGTTTTCTGAGAACACAATCTTATACACCACTAAATCCGAAGTATATAGTACGTATATTTCCCGTATGTTCCACTTCGGGGGTGACATGGCGAAAAATGGCAGGCTGCTTTTACACATCCAAATTTCCTTTGACAAATTTCTTCTCCTGCTGCATATTTTTTCTCCTGTTGCATGTAAAAAGTAGTTTTGTAATCTCAATTGAGTAGATTGTAACTCAATCACACGCGTCAAGATAAAAACTTTGTCAAATAATAGCTATTTGTTCGTGTAAAAGCGGTCTAACACTATACCTGTCACTGCACAATAGTTATTGCAAATTACTCCGGCGTGATGCAATTTAAATATAGCGATGTTTTATGCGGAGTAAAGTTAAGCTTGGAAATTCTACAACCTAAACGTAATTTTTTTACCTCCAAATAATTTTTATGCAAAACGTTTTCGGCGGTATATTTGACAATTTTATGGTATTAATAATTTAGTATGAAAAATATTATAGATGTTACAAAAAACAATGTGAGAAAATTATAACAACATAGCATCTTACAGTATCTCAGTAGAATTTCCATCAGGCAGTTGAACAGTTATATTTGGTAAATCTCTCCAATCCGATCCAGGCTGTTTTGGGATGTGTTGAATTCTGGCTACAACCAATGGTTTCATCTGTTTGCACACGTGATCGCGAAGAACCGCTTCCTTGTTAACCCCTCGGATCTTTAGGAATTAAAACACCACTTTTTTTAATTAAAACGCATTTCACTACCGTCTATATATAAACATTTGTGTACATGGCAATCTTTCCTAGTTTTAACGCCCAATTAGCAATGGCGCCCCCGGGTAATCTTCATACAATCTACACCAGGGGCCGGTTGTTCGAAAGATGGATAACTTATCCAACGGATAAGTCCTATCCAAGGGATAAATCTGCTATCCAGTGGATAGTTATCCATTGGATAAAAACGCGTTGCACGAAGCGTGGATAGTGAAGTGGATAGCTATCCAATAGATAAGTTAAAATTTACCGGAAGAAAACAGGATTATCCTGAAATTTCGTACCACAACGTCAGCTGTTGCTAAGCATTTACAACATTGAATTCATAATCATTACGAATTCTCGGGTATAGTTACTGAATGGAAAAGACTTGAACAAGTGATTTGCTCGAACTTTGCACTTCACATCATAGTGATTTTATTAATTAAACACATTGCAATTTTATTCCTTGACCTTGCAATGCTTTGCTATTCGGTTCCATAGCAAATTTAGGAACACTATTTTAATGTTCGTGAATGAAATTACTTAGATATTAGCAAGTTTCCTTGGAATAGGTTGAATCTTTCTTTGCATATTCGCGTTTATAAACTGATTAGAAGCGTATAGTAAATTTACCGCCTGTTATAAATGCGAGGATCTCCAAAAAATCGCCGCTCGGAACGGAATGTGTAGGCAACGTGAAACACTGCTGCGACAAATTGCACTTCGAAAACATTTCCAATAGCGAATACAATCATGATGTGTATTAGTTTGTTGAAACACAGTAACAGGAATATGGCATTTTGTCCTATTCTATATAAATGTTTATAGTGTTACCTTGTATCTTTGAATTTATCCACTGGATAGTGGATTTAAACCACCTCCAGACCTTGGATAAATTTATCCGGTAGATAGCGATTTTTATCCGCTGGATAAAGTTATCCAAGCTTCGTGCAACGCAAATCACACGCTGGATAAAACTTATCCGTTGGATAGCGACTTATCCACCTTTCGAACAACCGGCCCCAGGTGGGCGAGAAAGTGAAGGGGAGAACAGTGACCTACCCAGGATTTTTGTTTAAGAGGATATGCATTTGTAAAACTAAGCATAGAATCGTTCACACAAAGGAGTAAACAAACATATAATGGGAAACGTATAAATGATACAGACGAAAATAATGAAAGTGAGGGTAAATCAATAAAGATTTTGTGGCTCTTATTTTCAAGTGGAAATCACATTTCAAATTCCAGCCAGGAAAGTGGAGAAAAATTGTTCAACTGTCGGTCCTATCGAACGTAGATTAGATGCGTTTGATTTCCACTCAAAATTAAGATTTTTGAACCTTTAAGAAAATAATACGCATCTACAAAACCCACTCACTCACACCCATATAATTATGTTGAATGATTGCGAGTGTACTTTTAGAATACCAGTGTTAATTCAATGCAGATGTCGCACACAAAATATGACGTTTCTCACCAGACAGTTTTTATGACACGTTATGATCAGGCCCCAAACTACAGGATGTCTCAAAGAAAACGAAAACTATTGAAATCACTCATTGTTAAAATTTGAATGTAGTGTTCACGAATTTTAGCCCCTGGGGATTTAATGCAACTTATAACCTGCTAAATACGAAGAATTTGAATTTATTGTGAATACGCTTAAATTTGAATTGGCCTTGTTATTGCTTCGAAAGAAAATGGTACAGCTGCATGACTGCGGAACGTACGTGTGTATTGTGATATCATCCCAATAGAGTGTTTAGGCATTCAAACTCTAACAATTACATTGTTATGGATGATTTCAATAGTTTTCGAGTTTTTTGAGACACCCTGTACATGCGACAACTGGGCGGGGGGAATATTAATTTTACATATTCGTTTTGCTTTTGTACGCATATGCGTTTTCAAAAAGTTCGTCGGGCAGAATAGAATATGTGAATATTCACCCTCTCCTCCCTAATTATCGCGCTAGTTTCGGCCCTGATCATGGTATATAACATGCTCAGACATGCTCACCTTTCGCTGAAAATCTGTCTTTGGTTCCCCACCATATGATATCTTGTCAGCTTTCGCTCCATTCTTTATGGCAGGCAGGTCAGAGATGGCTTCTCGCACGGTTACGGTTCTGTGAGGAGCTGAGTTGACACTTTTAAAATTTGAAGCATACTAGATAATAGAAAACATATCAGACGCGTAATGGCTAAATATATGGAGACTTTTCAGCGAAGCTCTGTTAAAAAAGACCTTTTTTACGTGCCCACTCTCTATTTTCTCATAGTAAAAGTGTTATTTTTGTGACATATGCACAAACACGTGACTCTTCCATATTTGGAAGTCACAAGCACATGGGGAGAGAGGAAGAAAAGTGCGGGGTGAGGACACTTCGGAACATTCGGAGATTGTAAAGGCCCGTTTACACTTGCAATTTTTTCTGCGATTGTATGTGCGATTTTCTTTTTCGGATAAATGTGAACGAGCGAACAGTACTTATACACCATTCAGATCTTTCAAGTCGAAGGTGTAAACGAACGGTAAGCGAATATGTGATAGAGATAGAGAGTTAAAAACGAGACTGTGCACTACTGAAGTCTGAAGCATTGACGATAAAAGTATAAACAAGCATTTAGACGAGTTTTTAGTGTCAGGCATTTACTTATAGTGACGTGTGCACCTGGCTGTCCTGATCGAGTCATTTAAAGAGGTCGTATGATGAAAACAATAGAACTATTACATGGAAAAGGCTATAAGATGGTAAAGTGACATTTATTTTCCAGATTATCACGTAAGGAAGTATCACCAATAAGTTTAGTCACCTTTTTACCATCGACAGATACAGAGAGAGGACGGGCCATTGAGGAAAAGCAATGTGTGGGTTCTGGAAACACAGGCAGCTTTTCTCCTGAGGCAGCCGCTAATATGATTGCTCGACGTCGCGCTTGAGGAACGCCATAACTTCCTGCTTGAAGAATACCAAACGTACACTGAAAAGTATAAAGAAAACACGGTACAAATGAGTAAATTCTTTCTTAAACGTTAAAGTGACTTTGCAACGAAATTTCACCCCTGATATTGGTAATAAATATAAGGTTTTAAACTTTTAACAAACTTGCAAATCAGTTACAAACCTAGTGGTTGCATATCTTATATATAATATTTGCATATTATCAATCTTATTTGTTATGGGGTATACAGGGTGTGCATGTGACCTAATTCACGAAACTTGGTTGGGTATAATATTTAATGATAATTATTCATGATTTCGCAATGTTACACTGTAAAGAAAACTTATCCACAGAAGTAATTATTCAGTTATTTCGGGTGCTCACTAGAATGCAACCATAGTGAAATTTCCTTTCATAAGCACTTTAAAAACAGTAAATTGCTTAAATGCCCACTGTCATGCGTCAACTTTTGCACGCTTGTTTTTATTACCTGATAACCCATCATCAGGAGGCACCTCAAGGTAAGTTTTAACATCATGCTTTTCTTGAAGGAGAAGAAGGTGCGAACGTTCTCCAGAATGAAGAATCTCGGACGATAATAGTCGCAGTAACTGAGGTAAGTAGCCACAAGAGAATTCTAGTGTGAGAAAGATCATTATCAGTATCAGCAGTTTGCAGTAGAAAAGCAACGGTAGAATCTGATATATTAGCAATTTCTTATAACCAGTATGAGAACCGCCAGGACATCCGAGCCAACTTGCTTCGGTTTATATTAGAATATGAAGTATTTCTGATAGCGAAATGTAAACAAGCAAGGAATATCATGACTTTAGATCATCGTTCAATTTTATCTGCTATTGCGTCGAAAGATGCAGGCTGTTATTCGCTCGATGTTCAGCTGTTTCAACCGGATGGATTTATGCGCTACTTGTGTTCCACCCATCCCCATACAGGAGAAACGTAACAAAAGAATCACGTGACCAGCCTGAACCAGGGTTTTCGCCGCAGCGTGGGCCGTGGAGCGTAGGTAGAAAAGCCTGGCTTGCAAATTTGCTTTCAGTAACCTTTATATTAAATTCATTTTCATTTGTTTAAAACAAAATCTTACCAAATTTCGTCTATGATGTATTAGGTCGCGGAAGTCAATCAATGTGGTTCTATCTGATATCTGCCTCTAACTGAATCGTAGGTCATGTAGCGAAGCAGCTTGGTGTTTAACTGGTACAAACCGAAACAACTTTCTTAGCTACAATTCCAAGTTTCAAAAACAATTTCGGTAATATGGTTTTAAATTCCTTTTAAGAACGGCAAATCGATGTCAAATCTGACTTGACGTAGCACGAATCGTGAGTATTACCCAGCCCCCCCCTAGTTAATGAGATATCTCCCCTTTACAAAGCAATAAAAAATTAGGAAACAATGGATGACGTTTTTCTAATATGGTATAAAGGGAATACAGATGACTGCCACATTGATCTGTCACAATAATCATTATTTCATAGTCCCTCTCAATCATGAAAACAGATCCCTTTCGTCATTTCCGTCACTCCCAACGAAGAAATTCTTAAAAAAGCCCTGAGGTAAGCATTCTAATTTCCCCTTTACCTTCACACTAATTTCCCCACCGAATTTCTTAACTTGTTTAAAGTACAGGGTTTTCCATTATTTTTGAAGGCCTTCTCTGCGTACTTTTTTTAATATTCTGCTGGGTGATGTAATTTCGTTACTACCAATCAGCATATAAAATATGTTTTAGTCGAAATAGGAAGGACAATACAAATAATCCGCGCTAATGTTTAATCATTTTAATTCGAAATTCTTACAAAACTACATTAAAAAAGATTATATATAAAAACAAGAAAAGCTTTTCGCCCGATTAAACCTAACAATGGATATACACGGATTAGTCTTTGAACAAACGATTAATTAACAAAGTAAAATTGAGCTGTGAAACAAGTGACTCCATGGTTGTCGGACTCAGTGTAGTCGTAAAGATCTTCACCATACCAGATTCGTATAGCTTGGTTTTGATAAATGAACCTGGTGCCAACATCTGAGAAGACTAGCTGAGGTGAATTGTGGCCATAGCCAGGAAGATGATACCAACCACCAGCTTGATAAGGCTTCGTTAATACTGGAGAAGGATACATGACCGCGTTGTAAACATCTGTGACGTACATGTTTGTGCGGTGATTATTATTACAACCCCAATTTGATCGCGCAGCTAGATAGCAACCAAGTTTTTGACTGGTGTGAATCATCCTGAATGCACTCACAAAACCCGCCTGTCCACTGTATGTAAGAGTTAGAAAATTGTTATTTTTAGCACCAACACATCCATTGCCAACAGTTCTCCATCCGGCTAAGAATCAATAGAAATTCAAGAAAGAATTGAGAGACGAAAATTTAACAAAAACGTTCATAAATTTTGGGGTAAATTCGTTTCAAAATATCGCGTTACTCAGCCATACGAATAAATGAATATTCGGCAAATTGACTAAACCCATCAACTGATATGCAGTAATAATAAAATACGGTGTAGGGTAGGCTTAACTCAGCAATGAACAGCTAGGCTTGCCATAAGATGATTGTCACTCATGAGAGTTGCATAAGAGTATATATTGCTATAATTTTGAGGGCCCGGCGCAAAATGCGCACAATATAATATAGATGTACACTTATTTACCTGCACAGAATGCTGCATGGATTAGCAACAAGAAGATTTTCGCCAAACATTTTGCTTGAAGATTTTTTGCCACAATTTACTCGATCTGCAGAAAGTATGCGGCGCTACCACCGAATTGTTAACTTTTGAACGTATGCAAGATTCACCTTGTTTCTTCTACGTTTGTGTGACTATAAATTTTCTGTCTAAAATATCGATGCTTTTATATCTTCTTTCTGCCTGCGCACTCCCACATTATGTTGCCTGTCTTATTAAGGAAGAGGAAATGCGCGTTCTTGCATTGACGCAGATGATTATTTACATCTTCAGGCTTTTACAGGAGGAAATATACAAAATATAAACAAAGCATGATGTAATAGGAGATCATAATCCGAAATTTATGAGGGAAATCGAAATAGGGGGGAAACTAGCAATGTTTAAATTCGCTTGCATGGATCGACACTGTGTTACGTATGTTATCGTGATTGAACTTTTTGATGAAACCCTGAGAGCGAGTTTGTAAAGGCCAGATATTGTGTTTTTTGAATGCAATAACGTCACAGAAACTTCAGTTACGTCAAAACGACTCTGATTAGGTCCTGTCACTCCTGCGGCTGAACAGGCTCAAGGTCAGGCGTGGATTCAGGGCATATTTAGTTAAGTTGTCCCCCATAGTGAAAGACTGATTATATCGCCCGTCTCTGGAAGCGAGAAATACTATGGCATGAGCTTAGTTTTTCAAATTACAGTTGAAAACTTGAAATGATGAATTTCATATTGGGGGAAAACAAATATTAGAAGCTTGGTTAAGTCAGCTTTTTGCGACAAGGTTTATGGGAATGAATTAAAGACGAAATACCAAAGGGTCGCAGCTGTAGGCGTTAATAAATACCAAATTGACTTGATGCGAGACCTCGATATTAGAATATTGGATAAAAAACAGAGGAAATTTGATTGCTTCCTTAGCTTGCGCTGTAGAGTAAACGAAATCCTAAAATTGATGAAGCCACAAATGAAGGCATCGCCTAGGAAAGCAAAATATGTGTGACATAAAGTTTTGTGTAGGCTAATTGATGCGCTAACGATGAAACCGATAGTTGCATGACTGTTTGCACAATTTAGAATTGATATAGAAGTGCAAAGATTATATTACAACCAAGCGAGCATAGGCCTACAAACAAGCTTGATCGAAAGTTTAACATAAAACGAGGAATGTGCTAGTTGGATTTAAAATTTGAACCTATTTTTCCTTTATTGCTTGATCTGAAAACAGAGAGATTTCCTTGTTGTATTCCGTTGATGAATTAGACAATTTCTAATCAATTTATTTTGCGCTTCTATATTTTATTGTGAATGCTGCAATCAGCTTTCCTAAGCGATGTCCTTTTGTCGCATGTTGAATTTTAAAATCTCGTTTACTCGGTAGCGCAAACTATCCAATTTCCTTTGTTTTTTTATCCGACACAAATAAAGAGGTTTCGCATCAAGCCAGTTTGTTATTTATTTGCTTAACGTCTACTTGTCACCCTAGCTATAAGGCATCCCTAATTCTCTCCATTCCGTCCCTAGCTAAAATATCGTAGTAATTAATCCCAAAAGCCGCTTTGCGATGGTTCTCTTACCTTAAGCCTGTTTTCCACTAGGCGGAATTTTACTCGTGGAGCGGAATATTTCTTTGTTTTCCTCACATTAATTCTGCATGAAAGCGCGCAGACAATGAAAAATTCCGCTCCTCGAGTCCTCGTGGAAAATTTACTCGCTATATTCTCGAATTCGCCTCTCAATATGGAACTTTAACCAAGGCTGCTGAATATAGCATGATTTATTTGTTTATAATATGATTTTAGGCCGATATTTTCTCACTCAAAGCTTTTGGATATACACCAATCATAAACCGTGTCGCAAAAAGCCTGCGCAAAGCTGAACCCACAATTGACCTTGACCCCGTTCAGCCGCAGGACCTTATCAGATACGTTTTGACGTAAGTGATGTTAATACTACAGTAAGTTATTGTGTTGAAAAGACGCAATTTCTGAACTTTCAATATACTCGCTTTCAAAGTTTCGTAATTTTGTTTTTTAATACTCTGTTAAGAAAAGCAAATTGATGTCAAGTTTGTCTTTTTTATATAGCATGAATCGCAAATATTAACTCAGTTTATCGAATATCGACTGATAATAGTCCTTTTCTTTATGATGCGTTTAAGACAGCACTTAATTCGACTAATTGTTGGGATGTCGGGATATCAATCACCATAAAAGTTCATAATGCCTGAATTTTGCAATCAAAGATGGCTGCCTTGTTATTGTAGAATTTTAAAAGGTATTTTTATTAATTATAAAAGAATTATAGCCAAGTGAAGCTAACTGAAAGGCTTCCCCCCATAGTGAAAAAATTATATCGCCCGTCTCTGGAAGCATGAAATACTATGCCATGAGATAGTTATCCAAATTATAGTTGAAAACTTGTAATGGTAAATTTCATATTGGGGGAACCGGAAAACAAAGATTGGAATTCTAGTTAAATCAGTCATAACAGTACTGAGTTTCTACCCGTCTTAAATCAAGCTCCGCAACTGCAATATGTAAGACCGAAGTTGCTTGATTTCAAATTTTGCCTCGTGCCTTAATTATATAATTCTATAATAACAAGAAAGCCATCTTTGATTGCAAAATCCTGGCATTATGAACTTTTATGGTATAATTAATGTCCTGAATTTCTGGTTATGAGATGATTTCGCAGCAATTTTAGTCGTAGTAGGTGCTGTCTTAAACGCTTCATAAAATAAAGACCTATTATCAGTCGATAAGCTAAGTTAATGTTTACGATTCATGATGCTATATAAAAAAGACAGACTTGACATCAATTTGCTTTTCTTAAAAGGGTATTAAAAAACAAAATTATGAAACCTTGAAAGCGAGTATTTTGAAAGTTCAGAAATTGCGTCTTTTCAACACAATAACTTTGCAGAGTTAACATCACTTACGTTAAAACGTATCTGATAAGGTCCTGCGGCTGAACGGGGTCAAGGTCAATTGTGGGTTCAGCTTTGCGCAGGCTTTGTGCGACACGGTTTATGATGGATGTATATCCAAAAGCTTTGAGTGAGAAAATATCGGCCTAAAATCATATTATAAACAAATAGATCATACTATATTCAGCAGCCGTGGTTAAAGTTCCATATTGAGAGGCGAATTCGAGAATATAGCGAGTAAATTTTCCACGAGGACTCGAGGAGCGGAATTTTTCATTGTCTGCGCGCTTTCATGCAGAATTAATGTGAGGAAAACAAAGAAATATTCCGCTCCACGAGTAAAATTCCGCCTAGTGGAAAACAGGCTTAAGGTAAGAGAACCATCGCAAAGCGGCTTTTGGGATTAATTACTACGATATTTTAGCTAGGGACGGAATGGAGAGAATTAGGGATGCCTTAGCTAGGGTGACAAGTAGACGTTAAGCAAATAAATAACAAACTGGCTTGATGCGAAACCTCTTTATTTGTGTCGGATAAAAAAACAAAGGAAATTGGATAGTTTGCGCTACCGAGTAAACGAGATTTTAAAATTCAACATGCGACAAAGGACATCGCTTAGGAACGCTGATTGCAGTATTCACAATAAAATATAGAAGCGCAAAATATCGAATCAGAAGTAATGGCAAAGTCACTGCAAAGAGAACATGAACGAACTAAGAAGGAAACTTCAACTTAGAAGGAAAAAAAGTGTAAAACGCGATGTTTACGGAAATGTCGGATTAATGAGATCTCCCTCTGACGAAGCGTATTACGTTAACTGTCATCGTTTGTCTTCTATTTGCACAGTTTGAAGTACATTAATTTTGCGCATTCGCGCACGGAAAATTATAAATTTTTCCATTTGGCCTGAAGGTACTTTTAGTCGCACTATTCGAACTTACAAGGAAGTCTATTATTCCTATTTTTATTATTATTATTATTATTATTATTATGAACATTTGTATAAGGTCTTCCTATTATATATTCTGTAAACGTAACAAAGAATGGAATAACCCACAACTTATATCATACTAATACATTTAATCTGTAAATACAACATGTAACCAATTCAAGTAGACACTGGTAAACTACCTGTCAAAGAGAGGTTTACCTTTGTAATTTGTATCATAAGAAAAAATATCAATAAAGTTTTCATTATTATTATTATTATTATTATTATTATTATATTATTATTTATTATTATTATTATTATTATTATTGAGGTTTATTTAAAACTTCTTGCAGCATAAGCTGAATTACAAGTTGATGATTTTCATTGGCACGTGTTAAAACGAAATCTTTCCGAAATTTCGCCGTTATTATTTGCCAAAAATTTGATTAGAAATTGTCTAATTCATCAACGGAATACAACAAGGAAATCTCTCTGTTTTCAGATCAAGCAATAAAGGAAAAATAGGTTCAAATTTTAAATCCAACTAGCACATTCCTCGTTTTATGTTAAACTTTCGATCAAGCTTGTTTGTAGGCCTATGCTCGCGTGGTTGTAATATAATCTTTGCACTTCTATATTAATTCTAAATTGTGCAATCGGTCATGCAATTATCGGTTTCATCGTTAGCGCATCAATTAGCCTACACAAAATTTTGTCACACATATTTTGCTTTCCTAGGCGATGCCTTCATTTGTGGCTTCTTCAATTTTAGGATTTCGTTTACTCTGTAGCGCAAGCTAAGGAAGCAATCCAATTTTCTATCCAATATTCTAATATCGAGGTCTCGCATCAAGTCAATTTGTTATTTATTAACAACGTCTACAGTTGTCTAAAGACCTTTTGGTATTTCTTCTTTAATTTATTCCCATAAACCTTGTCGCAAAAAGCTGATTTAACCAAGTTTCTAATATTTGTTTTCCCCCAATATGAAATTCATTATTTCACGTTTTCAACTATAATTTGCAAAACTAAGCTTATGGCATTGTATTTCTCGCTTCCAGAGACGGGCGATATAATTCATTCACTATGGGGGAAAGACTTTCAGTTAGCTCAACTTGGCTAATTATGCTCTGAATTCACGCCTGACCTTGAGCCTGTTCAGCCGCAGGACCTAATCAGAGTCGTTTTGACGTCACTGAAGTTTTTGTGACGTTATTGCATTCAAAAAACATAATAGTGAGCTTAAGCAAGTGACGTTTTTGACAACACGTACGTTGACCGGAAGTAAAGTTTTTATTTTTCACCAATCACAATTCTTGACCCAGTCTTTTGGCGTTACTCATGCCGTTTGTGATGTCAAAAACGTCACTTGCTTAAGCTCACTAATATCTGACCTTTACAAACTCGCTCTCAGGGTTTCATCAAAAAGTTCAACCACGATAACATACGTAACAAAAAATCGCTAATTTCCCCTATTTCGACTTCCCTTACTATAAATTTCGGATTAGGATCTCCTTTTCCATTATACTTTGTTTATATTTGTATATTTCCATCTGCGTCAATGCAAGAACGCGCATTTCCTCTTCCTTAATAAGACAGGCAACATAATGTGGGAGTGCGCAGGCAGAAAGAAGATATAAAAGCATCGATATTTTAGACAGAAAATTTATAGTCACACAAACGTAGAAGAAACAAGGTGAATCTTGCATACGTTCAATAGTTAACAATTCGGTGGTAGCGCCGCATACTTTCTGCAGATCCAGTAAATTGTGGCAAAAAATCTTCAAGCAAAATGTTGGCGAAAATCTTCTTGTTGCTTTGTGTAATCCATGCAGCATTCTGTGCAGGTAAATAAGTGTACATCTATATTATATTGTGCGCATTTTGCGCCTGGCCCTCAAAATTATAGCAATATATACTCTTATGCAACTCTCATGAGTGACATGCAATCATCTTATGGCAAGCCTAGCTGTTCGTTGGTGAGTTAAGCCTACCCTACACCGTATTACTGCATATCAGTTGATGGCTATGATGGGTTTAGTCAATTTTCCGAATATTCATTTATTCGTATGGCTGAGTAACGCGATATATTTAAACGAATTTACCCCAAAATTTATGAACGTTTTTGTTAAATTTTCGTCTCTCAATTCTTTCTTGAATTTCTATTGATTTTTAGCTGGATGGAGAACTGTTGGCAGTGGATGTGTCGGTGCTAAAAATAACAATTTCCTAACTCTTACATACAGTGGACAGGCGGGTTTTGTGAGTGCATTCAGGATGACTCACACCAGTCAAAAACTTGGTTGCTATCTAGCTGCGCGGTCAAATTGGGGTTGTAATAATAATCACCGCACAAACATGTACGTCACAGATGTTTACAACGCGGTCATTTATCCTTCTCCAGTATTAACGAAGCCTTATCAAGCTGGTGGTTGGTATCATCTTCCTGGGTATGGCCACAATTCACCTCAGCTGGTCTTCTCAGATGTTGGCACCAGGTTCATTTATCAAAACCAAGCTATACGAATCTGGTATGGTGAAGATCTTTACGACTACACTGAGTCCGACAACCATGGAGTCACTTGTTTCACAGCTCAATTTTACTTTGTTAATTAATCGTTTGTTCAAAGACATGCACATGTAGCTATATCAAATGGTATATTTAATGTAAAAGCTGAAAAGATTTTCTTGTTTTTGAACTAATTAATCGTTTTTGTTGCAATTTTATGGAAATATATAAATTTCGTGTAAAAATTAAACATGCGTGTAAATTATTTATATTGTCCTTTCTTATTTGACTGAAATTGGGTACATAAGAAAGCCAGTAGGCACATTACCCACTAGAATATTTAAAAAACAAACAAACAAATGATTACAGCTTTCATGCGAGCATTTCCGAGGTGGTCATAAATTGTGTCTTTCCATTGCGATATCGCCGCGGAGAGTTTAGAATACGTCAAAACGGTTCAATATAGGATCCCCAGTTTCTGAAGGTTAATTAACTGACTTTAAGGTCAAGCTTGCGATTAAGGTGTAACTTAGATAAGATTGATATAATGATAAGATTTTGTTTAAAAACACGTGAAAATGACTTAGAAGAGAGGCACGCGCTTGGGACAAGTGAGGAGCCTCATAATTATCCTTGCGCGAATGAGTAAACGATGACAACTTGAGAGCGCGCATTGACAGGTCAGTGTTGATGCATTTCGTTCCTAAATAGCGGGTTTAAGATGCACCAAATCTACGACGCGGACATGACATGAAAACTGCTACTAGTGTTGGAAACCAGTAATGCATGGGAAACGACGAAGCTGCTAATTGCGTGCACTGCTGGCTGCGTTTCGGGCCTTTCAGATGTAGAGATCGGATGGGCCACACGGATTGACTTCCGAGACCTAATCTCTCGTTTAAATCCAGATTCATTCAACAATGTTTAGCTTACTCTTTCTATATATTTCTTGTAGTAGCAATACTAAATTCAGTGTTTCGTACCTTTAGAGATGATTTCTCTCTGTCACTGAAGCGATTCATTCCACTAAAACCTTGACATGGCGGACCACCACAAAGTAATTCGACATCTCCTTTCTTTGGTAGCTGTTGACCTTGTGAGTTCTCTGAAACACCCTGTTAAATAAAAAAAGTTTGAGATCTTTCTACAAAAATGATACGTGTTTAGTTAACTTCAAGTTAATTAATCAACGTTTAAGGCGGCGACAGTAGGTAATAATTTATGTGTATAGATTAAATGGCAGAACATTAGTGGCTTACCTCCATAATAAGTGTTAATAGTTGGTTTGCATCTTCAACGAATACCGTGGCACCCTGGTTATTTTTTTGATACGACAAAGCTGCATGTTCATCTTTTTCAACCCCCCAGCATGGGTCAGCAACGCCAGCTTGATAAAGCCCTTCGGATAAACCTCGAAATGGAAAAGACGTCAATTAATTGAAATGCTCGATTGAAAAGCAAAAGTGGTTATCGAAAAATTAACTCCCCGAAAGCACGAAAAGGCGACAAAATCCAATTAAAAATATTTCAAGGTGAAGAAATACCCGGCATAATTCTTTTTAACTGTTTTTTACATAACATATAATTTCATTTAACCTGCTATACGTATACCATTTTATGTCTAGACGTTTTAACATGCAGCTGAGCTCTTGCACAAGGTTTAGGATCATGCATGCCGGAAGTCGCAATTAAGCACCTTTTTAATATGCACCACAGATATATTCAAGATTGCGTGCTTGAAATTGATAACGTGAACCGCTTTGAGGTGCTTGTTAAAAATCGTTGCAGGTCGTTTGTTTCAAAGGACAATGGCATGAATTGTCGGCCATCTTGAGTTAATCCTTAATCATTAACTTAACTGCGACGACGTCAGGTGTGGGGTTAGCTAATTGCCTTTATAAAGGGATATTTTAATATATTCCTTTTTTACATTACTAATTTCTTTTCAAATTGACTTTTGTACCATTAGTCAACATGAATATATGAACCCCCCTCCCACTTATCGATACTGGCGACGTCACTGTTTGAAATTGGTTACCTCCGCATCCCGAGAAAATGTCAAATGTTTTTAATTCCTTTTGAGATTTTTCTTGAACTTTATCCTGGATCAAAAAGGCAGATATTGACTTGATTATTTCCACTGACATCTATTAAATAATACCAACCGTACAACAATAATGATACTGGGTTTTTTATAAAATCCGTGATAACATAAAATATAGCAAGCTTATACCACCTGGTACACCACAAAAAGGAGCATATTATAATACAAAAAGCATATTTATAAAATGGAAAATATCGAAATATCTTTTTTTAGAGCACAGATCTGCATCAGTGTGCGAAGTATGCTTTAGTCCTTTTAGAGCTTAGTTTTATGGTAGGACAGAAGGCTAGAGTTTTTGCAGCAATATACTCAAATTAACTTCGGTACCATTGCGCAAAAAATTATTTCGTTTCGGACGTGTATCTAAACTCCGAAAGGACTGATGAAGCGAACTTAGCTCGTGAATGTCTGTGCTGTGAACTAGAATTAGAACAATTATACATTTCTACTTCAACATTTCAATATTTCTAATTCTATAAGTATGCAAATGATCTTTTTGTGGTGTATCACCTTAAGATCTACGACTTGAATCACGATGACGCTACCGCTAATTTCGATTGCGTAGACAGTCGAACTCATTATTGATGGTCGTTCTCATTATTTAACTCGATCCAAGGTTGTTAGAAAACTGCCAATTTAAATGACCAACGAGTGGGCTTTCATCGATGCATTGCAGCCAGTGGTCAAGGGGTTTGTTCTTGTGCGTGATACCTGTGTTCCAATACTTCCTCTAACCACTTGGTTTTTTCTTTTTTCGTATTTGCAAAGTCCCGAATTGAAGCAGTGAAAATACATTTTGGTTAGTTATTTCGGTTATTTGAAGGTTTGGTTTATTTTGCGTGCTGTGTGTATTTGTCGTTAATAAGAGTGTGAGCGCGTGTTCAAATAACCTGGGTGGGATCGAGTTAAATGATGAGAACGACCAATGATGAGTTCGACTGTCTACGGAATCGAAATTTGCGACGACGCCAGGTATAAATGAGTTATTGGAATATTTAAAGTCTTTTAGGGATCGCAGAAGGCGCCCTCGCTTTTTACATGCACTGAGCAGTGGAAATCATAGATTATTGCGTCTTACGTAGAAGCCAGCATCGAGCCACAGAGCATACAGAGGTTTGACCTTGCATTAATTATGCGTTCCTAGCGGCCATGTTGTTAGCCAGTGCGATAAAGAGAGGCCCTATCCCCCCCGAACATTATAAATAGCCATCGCTATATAAATAAATAGATCGCTCCCACTTCTATACTCTTCTATACTCTTCTAAAGGATAAGAACTAACAAAATCTGGTTTTGAGAAAAAAATTGAGCAACGTTTTTGTCAAAAATACGATTTCTCCAGATAGTTCTGTCTCGGCTGTTTATATTCCATACATGTGTTCAAGCCGCCGCCATATGCATGATTTCCCGGGGGGAGAAGGCCTCTCTTGAGCGCACTGGCTAAGCCAGGGGTACGCAAAATTAACGGCAGTCAAACCTCTGTATGCTCTGTGATCGAGCCTTCGAAATTTCAACTTCATGTCCGGTTTAGTCAATGTTTTTCCACTCTTCTTTTCACTTTTATTACATTATCCTAATTCATAGAATGACCATTCATTTGAAGCCGGGAAACAGTTAAATCATACCTAAATCGTCGCCGTCTTAAATCTTAAGCTCGCTATAGTTTATGGTATTATGATATCAGACTTACCTTCCTTGTGTCAGACATTTTTCTTGCTTTAATAGGTATATCTTGAAATTCCCGTTTTTCAGAATCATAGGCCTGGAAGAAGTGTTTCGCATTCTTAGCCGTAAAGAGGTAATGACAATTGTGGAGAAGAATTTCAGTGAAAGCATTCGACACCATCTTTATGATTCTATAAGCATTCTTACATGGGAAGCCATAGCATATTATATTGTCAGCCATGCGACAAACTAAGTGAGTGCACATTATTTATACCTGGGGTTGGTAGAGTTCGGAAGGGAAACCAATTGTTAAAAAGCTACTGTATTTACCCACAGTACTGTCCAGAAATAACCTAACACTGCGATTGCATTTCGGCTCAGGTTAGGTTGCGGTTGACCGATGGAAACCGCAGACGACCGCAAGGGAAAAAATACGATCGCAGTGGCCGTTCGCTTCCGAACGGAATGTTATGAACAGCTGAGAACGACAACACAATAATCATGTCGAAAACATCTTAAGAAATGTCTGTCAGACCGAGTTGGGCCGAGGTTAAACCTCCGTCTCACCACGGTTCGACCTTGGCTTGGTCTGACCTCGGTTCAACCGCGATCAGACCGAGGTTTAACCTATGTTAACCGCGCTTTTTGTTAGGTTATTTCTGGACAGTACTCTATATATATATAAACCTTTCGTAAAGCAAATAGGAATGCATATGCGTCTAACAATTTCATCGTTGAAAGTTTCAGTTCAAAAACCTGATGATAACAACTTTTGCGCCGATAAAATGTTAAATTCATGCAAACATCCTATGAACACAGCATACCTCTGTAAAATAGAATCTGTCCGGTTCTTGTGAGGTATATAGATATTTACATTCATCGTTGTCCTGATCAGCCTGGTACGAAACTGTGCATTTTCCCATCAAATAATTGATGTCAACAATTGCTTCTAAAGAATGGCAAAAATGGTGTAAAATGAGTGGGGACAGCCTTATTGATACTGTGCAAGAAGTATATATAACGTTATAATATAGATTGGTGGAACTACGGTGCATGAGTAGCAAAAAAGAATGGCCGACAGTTTTGCTTAGGAATCATGAAGAAAGAATTAATTAACACACTTTTTGGGAGCGCAGTTCACAAAAAACAAATCAACAAAATATGAGACACAAAGTAGCTTTAAGCATAAGAGGGGCTTTTAAATTTAATCATTTTCACTTGTAAACATTCAGCGTTAAATTTAAGTTAAACCATGCAGCTAAACCAATAGCAAATGTAAATCAATTACGATATTGTGGCATTTAACTCGATGCAGGGTTTTTAAATGGTCTTAATTTCGAGTGGAATCATACACAGTTTATGGAGTCAACTATAAGTCCTCCGGCAGGAATCGAACCTACGCTTATGCGATGCCGGTGCAACGCTCTTGCCACTGAGCTACATTTAAAAACCGATATCAAATGTATTTAAATTTTTATTTAATGTTTACTTCGTTCATAAACTGGTATAGTATAGCTATTATAAGCAATAGATATCGTCGTTTATGGGTATCAGCCCATATATGACTCCAGCTCGAGGTATAATTTTTAGGGTACAGCAGACTGGTCATGCTAGGCGGTACAGCAGATTGTATCACATGAACTATAAAACCCCGAACGTGTTAGCCTATTTTGGAAAGAGGACTATATTATTTCCAACAATAGCTAAATTTTATTCCTGTAGTATTTTTGGGACCCCTGCAACCTGAGTAAGGCGAAGTTGTATTTTAGCCTCCCCCTCTGGGTGGCCTTGCTTGCATGTGTCAGTTAGATATCCTGGACGGTCATGGCTCGCACTTATTTTATCTATACAAATTCGCTTAATGTTTGGGAGGCACAATAGGACAAAAGGTCCTCTAATACGTAATTGTGTACCGTCTGAACCTACCAATTCCACTTCCTAGTGTAATGTAACAAAGTTTCTCAAAGGAAATAGAACTCATGACCTAACAGAAGGCATGTCAGATCGCCCCTGCAACTTTTCAGGTATTAAATTGCAAGTTTTATAGTCAAGCATGCCTCCAGTGACATGGCCAGGGGCACGTAGTGTTCTATATTTCGTAGTTTCACATTTATCTGTCAGGGAATTTTTTTTCATTGGCGCATGCGCTTGACATCAACAGCAGAGGTCCCCAAATATATGTGCATGTGACGTATTTCAGGCTGAAAGGATTAAAGATATCTAAAAAATAGCTCACCTTCCGAACTCCAGTAAAGTAGATTATTTTCCTTTTGGCGAGCAAATTCGACGCCCATATGAGTGTTTTCTGGTCTAAAAGTCGAAATGAAAAGTATAGATACACATACTGTTATCATATGTAGCTATATATATTGTATTATAAAAAACGAGAATATCTTCACAAAGTACAGCAGGTAATTATAAAGCACAATTTATTTTCTTATCTTAAAACTCATATAGAATAAAACTGCACGTCATAATATAATGTAGCTATATAGTACATTCTGAATCACACTCTAAAAGTATATTTATCACCAAAAAATGTTCACTGTCGATGTCAGAGCATCTTAGATCAAATATCAGCTTTCTGAGATTACATCAATCACATGTTAAAGTTGTCAGTTTTACACCATTACTATAGAAATTTCTGGCAATCTTATTATATATTCAAATGCACTTGCAAGAAAGTTAAAAATAAATAGAGAACGTACTTTTTTGCCGTAGTATAAACAAGATTTTTTAATATTAGTGACCACCCTTTAGTGTATGGATTTATACGTGCAAAAGTAGCCAGGCCTAGGGCAAGAGTCATAGTATTTCGTTCGACTAAGAACCTTGATGAGCAAAAGTTCAAAGAACACTTGGGTAGAGCTCCCTGGCATGTTGGAGAGGTTTTTGATGACATAGATGATCAGGCAGGTTTCTTAAGTACTTTACTGACAGAGATTGTTGATGAACATATGCCAAAGAAGAAAATGCGTGTGAGGGGCCAGGATGTCCCATACATGACCACAGAATGGAAAAAGGCCATAAGGACAAGGCGCAAGGCTACCAGACGTTTTCAGAAAACTAAAGCACCCGAAGTCTGGGAACTAGCACGAAAAGCTAGAAACGAGGCCACAAGGCAGAGAAGAATTGCAGTTAAAAATTACTGGAGAGAACAATCAGAAGAGTTGAAAACCAAACCAGAAAACTTTTTTAAAACTTTCAAACCTTTCTTAAGTACGAAAGGCTACACACAGACTACTGATATTCATCTAAATGTTAATGGAACGATTATCAAAGATCAAAAACAAATCAGTGAGCTACTAGTGGACCATTTTGCAACTAAGCAGATGGAATTGGTGGCGATAACATTAAATTTAGGTCAAGTGATGATTTTAAGCAACATCCCAGCGTACAACAAATAGCAAAAAAAAAACAAAAACATAACTCAAAGCTTTAATGTGAAATCTGTTACACAGCTACAAGTCCTACATGTCTTAGAGTCATTAAATGTGAGAAAAGCTACAGGATGTGATACTATTCCTGCGAAGGCAATACAAGTTGGATCAAGGGAACTTTCTGAACCACTAACTGTTCTTTTTAACTCATGTATCAGGAACAGCTTGTGGCCAAGCGACTGGAAGCGTGGCGACTGGACACCTGTCTTCAAAAGGGACGACATATATTCAAAAGAAAACTGCAAGCCTATAACAGTCCTTCCTTGCATCGCCAAAGTGTTTGAGCACCTGATTGGTGAACAAATGACCATTGGTTTTGACAGTTACTTCTATGAAAATTCATCTGCCTATCGCAAGAAATATAGCTGTGAAACTACCTTAATCTTCTTAGTAGAGGAATGGAAAAAGGCTTTGAACAATAACCTAAATGTTAGTATTCTATCTACTGATATGTCTAAGGCATTTGACTCACTGCACCCACCTTTACTGCTTAGCAAACTTAAAGCATATGGTTTTGAGGATGAGATAATCAACCTTTTAAAGAGCTACTTATGTAACCGGATAAATCGTGTGAAAATCGGAAACAAAACTAGCTCCACCGGGATTGTGAACCGAAGGTGTCCTCAGGGTTCTTCCCTAGGCCCTTTGTTGTGGAACATATTTCAGAACGACCTTTCTTACTGTGTAAAGCAAAACCTATCAATGTATTCGGATGATCATCAAATTTACCACACAGGACGGGACCTGCCTACTGCTACATCAAAACTGAGGGAGAGTGCGGACAATGCAACTAGGTGGTATGATACTAATCTTCTAGCTGGCAACCTCAAGAAATACCAGATAATGAGCATTAGGCCTCGCTGTCAAGATGCAAATGAAAATAATGCATATCCAATCAATTTAAATGGTGAGGTAATTGAAACAGCTGAAACACTGAAGCTTCTAGGTGTTACTATGGATTCAAAACTGAATTTCAGTGATCACATCAGTACAGTCTGTAAAAAAGCTAGCCAAAGAATTGGAGTACTTATGAGACTGAGAAATTTGATCCCCACAAATGCCAAATTACAACTATTCAATGCGGCTGTATTGCCCTACCTTACATATTGCCACTTAGCATGGAATTTTTGTAAGGCTAGTGATGCCCGAAAGCTGGAAAGATTGCAAGAGAGAGGTCTGCGTGCAGTCTATAGAGACAAACACTCTGGATATTTAAAACTGCTGGAGAGGGCTAAGTTGCCCTCGTTATTAAATAGACGTTTACAGAATATCTGTATTTTAATGTACAAAGTGAAACACAATCTTAGTCCTTCCAACATTTGCAATATTTTTAAAGGACACAATTCCTCGTATAACTTAAGACAATCGGACTTTTCCACTAGTAGGTATAATACAGTGACGTATGGTAAGCATTCACTACGCTATCTAGGTCCTAAATTATGGGGAAAGCTTGACACCACCGACAGATCAGCTGAATCACCAAACATTTTTAAAAATATTATTCGCAAGCGTAACATAAGCTTGCTATTAGACGATGGGTGCAAGAACTGTGCTCTTTGCAATTCATAAACTTTTATCTGTATATATATATATATATAATATAGTATTTTATTCATGGTTAACTTTGTAATTCGTTAGAAATCTAGTTGTGTCTCCAGATTAGTATATGGAATTTGTTTTCCCAAGCTATAGAAGGTTTTTCATTTTTGACACGTGTTCAATCAAGTATGTATCTATCAATCTATCTATTTATATAGTTATACTGCCCAGACTATGATGAGTTCAGATAACTAAATGCGGCGACAACGAAATATATTATTGTTCAACGTTTTCCACTAGGCGAATATATTCGCGCGACGCGAAGCCATGCATATCTGAAATCCAGTGATGTGATTGGTTTCCGAAAAAATTCGTCGCAAAAAAGTAGAATCGCTTTCAACTTTTTATCTGTTCGCGCGAATAAATTCGCCTAGTGAAAAACGGGCTTCTGGCAAAATCAGAGTACAAATGTTGGTAGCTATTTTATATACACATAAGATATTATTGGTTATACTTATTACTAACCTGTAAAACTTGCGAACTTTTAGCTTTGTAGCAGCTACATTTGTTTCTGCTAATATGGCGAGAATTTCAGCTGGTAATGAAAAAGACAAGCTTAATTCGCAAAATAAGAAATAAATTAACACATTTAATAAAAATACTCGACATACATGCAGTATTGTCCAGAAATGACCTAACACTGAAAAACCGCGCTTCACCTGGCCAAACCTCGAACCTCGGTGAGACGGAGGTTTAACCTCGGCCTAACTCGGTCTGACAGACATTTCTTAAGATGTTTTCGATATGATTATCATATATTATTGTCGTTCTCAGGAATCTCAGCTGTTCATAATCGGAATCGCAACCGCATTGTTAGGTTATTTCTGGACAAAACTGTATACTGACAAACGTTCGTTTGTAGCGACAACAATTGACAATAATCTCCTCCTCGACAAATTTTTGTCCTTCTTCTGTGTGTATGATTTTTTTCTTATGATCATGCAGTAAGACAGTATTGAATATTTGCTTTACCAATTCTGAAAGGTTCAGGAGCATCAGGATTACGTCTTGAATGCTTGCGATAATACTCCGGGTACATCTTGTCATCATCGACATTCTGAAATAACACAATATTCAAATAGAAGATACATCTCCTGATCTCCGCCAGGCCTTTTAAAATGTCGTTCACTCTGGCCGCAAAAATTGGTTTAATCGATGGTATAATAATTATATATAATTTTTGACAGAAAAAGCAATTTACATGAATAACCATGGATAATTAGTGCTCGCGAGTCAGGCCGCAGAAGATCGTTAAGGGGGCAAGGAGGATATTCATATATTCTTGTTAGCAGACCATGAAAAACAATTAAGTTCGCGGGAGGTGCTTTTTTGGCCATTCCAGAAGTTCTAATTAATTAATAGATTTTTCTTGCGCATTGCCCAACCATGGTGGCTCCTATGTTAGTCAACTCAACTCTTAGGCCCACCAGGTTCAATTTCAATTTCAGATTAAATACGCGTTTTTTTCCCGAGACACCCTGAATGCATATAATCGGCTTTAGACATATTTATCATCATCATAGGGTAAATACCTTATCTTGGGCATTTTTGTCAATTTTGCTACATTTGGCGGGCTCGAGTCTGAGGAAAAAATACCACATAGCACAATTATTTCGCCTAAAAAATACTAAAAAATTATTAATAGATTTCGCTTAGGCCGGAATAATTCTGATAGGGATTAATTAGGGGCATGCAGGAAGAAGGTGTACACATTATTAGTCATTATTTAATCACCAACTAATTATAGACATGCTTGAAACGAAATAGAACGTTAAAACTGCGTAGTGTATCCAACGATCCTCGGCATAAAACTTACTTGAAGTCGAAAGCTTCCGGAGAAAGGTAAATATTATCCCCGATTTCGTAAAATTCGCCACGAACATGGAACGAACTAAAAGATAACTTTGCACTGCATTAAATTTAAGTTTGACAAATGGTCGAATTTTTAAAACGATTAAAAATCACCTTTATAATCTGGCTTTTTATTTCTTTAGGTTATATAATAAAAATATTTGGAAAATTCATTCAATTATCTACAGTTCTGGTTCACATGGCTTTTAGGAACAAGCCCAGACAAAGGCCCAGGCCTAACGCTCATATTAGCTATGGTAGAAAAATCGACTACGTTTTGGATGACATAGAAAAATTAACCACCCTTAAGAAATATTATCTAATCACGAGGTGCTTTCTTTTAAGCGGCAATCTGGTCATATTTTGAATTGAAATAGAGTATTTCGTCAAGAACGGAGCGGTAAAGCTGCATGTCTGGTGCTACAGGCAGATGTGAATAGTGACATATACTTAAATGCAGAGTTCTTGAAACACTTTAAAGTACCAGTAATCTTTCTGTGTTGAAATACGAAACGACCGGACCGATCTGGCCGTTTTTACAGTATAAAGGAAGCCCCCATGCATAGTTTATGTACCATCGACTTTGTTTGGTCTTATAAAAAGCCCTGTGAAACTCGTTGATAATCGATGTATCACATGATATATACGTATAAAGTTATATAGAGAGTCGTAGATTAATAGCAACACCTGCACGATGTAGTTTCTTCAATTCGTAAGGCCTCCAGCTGTAAATATAGAATACTGAATAAATTATAAAAGAATAAAGGTTGCATATAAACGCCATAACCTGGGATTGGTATAAAATAATTAATTCTCTATATAAGTGTAATATCATCATGTTTCCGCTTAGCCGATCATGCAGCCGTAAACCAAGCAGTCAAAGATTGAATCCATAAGATTTAGCAAACCTCGCGATTTCGGTTTTGTCTCAAACAACTGATACAACCCACTTCCTCTTCACTTCTCTTGTGGTAGTCTTCCAAGTGCTGTTCAAATCTTGCTTGTCTTTCATCGTACCTGCCGAGCGAGATATCCTTTTGTCAACTTGTTGTGCATGTTCTATTTTAATGTTTGTCTTTAAATAATTTACACTGCACACGCAATTTATCGGCACGGCCCAATTTTATTACTGTTCAGGCTACCAAGCCAGAGGTACCCATTTTGGCCGTGCTGTGCTAATAATCGAGTGTAGTGTAATGGGCTAAGATCCCTCAATGCCAGCGCTGTCACCGTGATCTCAAAAATCAATCACAAAACAATCTGGCATTTTTTGGACGGACAAAAATTGAAAACAAAGCCTCCGGTTAGGTTAAGATTTTGCTTTCAAATGGCCAAGCGGCCAGACGCAAAAGGCCAGCCTAAAAATTACACTCTAATGTTCATCTCTCTGAGTCAATCAACCACTGAATTCACACAGTTTGTGGATAATTGTAGAGAGTTAAGGCAAGTTTCCACTCAGGAAAATTCTCCTTTGGATCGGACAGGACAGGAAAGTTTCCTTTGTATAAACGCCGCCTGAGAAATCACCGACAAAGGAAATTTTCCTGTCCGTTCCGATCCAAAGGAGATTTTCCTGAGTGGAAACTAGCCTTTATATAAATAATTAAAATTTATTCATTAATTTATTCATCGCGCATGAATCAAGTTTAAAAATGAAAATAGATCGATTGATTGACTGTTTCATTTAAGTGTTACCACATTAATTGCCTGTGCCTGTAGTTTAGTTACTCACCACATTTGATAAAAGAAAATATCTCCATCGTCCTCGTGCCGTGTATAGTCGATCTGTTCTTCACCTTGGGGCTTATAAATAACCTAAGTGGTGTCAGAACTAATGTAAAATCTATTTTAGTTTAGACTTGCACACATGCAGGGTAGAAGTGGACCAGAATGAAGACAACAGGATGAACAACAACGACCAACGCATAAGAAATGAATCAACCTACAGTACACTTAGCCATGATTGATCCTAATGGGTTGTCCTCGCATTGATCGACTAAAAATAACTCCCTGGGGTCGCCAGTGTTTCCAAGCACGGTATCGGTAGTCCGGCTAAATGAAAGTAAAGTTGATTGGTTTTGTTGCAGGTTTCATATTCAGAGCCAGCCAGTGCTGCACTGTGCCATATTACACTCTCGCATATCGCTTTCTCGCTATCCCTTTCTCGTGCAAGCTGCATGTATATACCAAACACTAAGTTTTGCTGCCGTGATCTAAGATCTCAACATTTCAGATCAGCAAAACAGCTGATATCGTTTCCTACCTCATCCAACGTCCATGAAACATTTTCTCTCCTTCTCGATCCTCCCACATTTCAATGATCTTGCAAATATACAGCGGCACAGAAGGTTCGTTTGGACATAATTTGACAAATTCGCCTATTTTTACCTGCATCAAAACAACAAATATATTTAGCAAGCAGCTGTATTCAGAGTGACCAATCGAATTTGCTTTTTTGAAGGCTCATTGAAATCATATTATGAGCACAGCCAGGTTAAAAGAGCTGGGCCTATCGTACATATATATTTTACCCTTTACTCAGGAAGAACTTCGTAATATCTGAGAAAAGCCCCAACCCTGTTTAGATAGTTGCCGGTATCTTTACCTAAGTAGCACCCCCTGTCTGATAATTATTAAATAGTATAGATTCTACAATTTGTGTATGATTTGAAACTGACCAGTTCGTTTTCGACTTTAGCACTGGGATAAAATTTCTTTTCGCCAATGCTTCTGATCGGATCGCCAATCCACTTCACGTTTTTCTAAATCAATGAGGATGCATGGAGACAATTTTTTAGGTGTGATATTTGATAATTGCACACAATGTCCTCCACAGCATAGTTATATCTATCCGACCTTATAGCATAAATATATCTATCAAACGTTAATTTTTAATCATATATACCATTACTAGAACTTGGTGACGAAATAGCTGCCGTTTGATTACAGATTAACTTGCATTATACATGCATACATGATGACTTTCAACTTCCAGGAATAACCACAAGCAAATTAATTGAAAACATAGCACCTTTCTGTGCCTACAGCATAGCTTTCCTGTGCCTACGGTAATATTTGCCCTCTTTTGACCATACAGGGTGTCCCATAAAAACGAAAACTATTGAAATCACCCATAACATTGTAATTGTTAGAGTTTGAATGCCTAAGCACTCTGTTGGGACCAACAGGTGTGTAAATGTTTGCCATAAGCATTTTTATGCATGCAGTAAAATTTGCTCGTACGCGAAAATGATATTTATTAACAATATTTAAATGTGCATCTCAATCACCATGAGCTTCGATATGTCCCCTTTGTCTAGCAACACAAAGCATTTATAGCATTTCACTGAGTTGCATTAAATCCCCACGGGTTAAAATTCGTGCACACGGCATTCAAATATTAACAATGAGTGATTTCAATAGTTTTCGGTTTTTTTGGGACACCCTGTATATATATATATATATATATATATATATAATATATATATATATATATATATATATATATATATATATATATATAGGCGTTCATTTTCAAACAATGGTTTATAGTAAATCTATTCATGAATTGGCATCTTTTACTTTTAGAAGTAACAAAGCTGTCTCAAGTTGGAGTTAAATATTTCCGGTTTCCGGTAAATATTCCAATTACAGCTCGATTTGAATTGTGGGTTCTTTGTTATACGCAAGAGCCATGCATATAAGAAAGAACCCACTATTAAAATCAAGCTTTTGTTAGAATTTGAGTTCCTTATTATCATGCTTATTAATAAGTAAAATTGAAAGCGAGACTTTAATTTGAAGGCTTCAACCTATTTACTCTGCCAAATCTAACAAAAGATTCGTTTCAACAAAGGGTATACTTTTTCATACATCCTGTAAATCTTTCATACCGAAAGTACTTCAACATCTTGATTAGCTTTATCGGCACAATCGTTCGTTTCTTCGGTGGCGATATTTTCACACCTTAAAAATTTGAAGACTTTAAAAGTTGATTATCCGGAAATATAACATTGAAAACAAATTATGACGTCAAACTTTTCATTTGCTGAGCCTGATGTTAATGAACTAACTCTTGCTAAAGTTGATTTGCATTCGATTCGATACATGAAAATATCGACGTCTAAATTGGCCGGCCTAATTTATTTACACATCAACCACTTAACACCATTGTCATATGTTCGTTTGATGTGTTTTACACTCTAAAAGCACTAATATATACGTGTTCCTCGTTTACCTTGAATTACCATTTCTGATCATACCTTCGGTTTATACAACCTTGTTGAACTTCTAGTCCTGTTCCACCAAATTTCTTCATATTTCTGCATTCCTTGCATTTTCCACAGTCAGGTTTCTGACAAGTCCTGCAGACGTTACATCTTCCTCGACGTTTAACAGGGGAATCCGATTTTTCTTCGATCTCCTTTCGAAAAAATATGTCGAAAACGTGACGAACCAATGGTGTTGTCGTTGCCTTGAGAGTAAGAAAAGAAATGACTGAACAACGATTTTCTAATAACCAAAGTGCAGTAAACCTTTGTATAAACGTAGCGAAGTAAAGTAATCTACTCTACTAATCTAAATTTACTTAATAGCGTGCATATACCAGGAGATGAAAATCGACTGTGTATAGCCGGGGTTTCAATGACACACAAACATTAGTAGAGCAAAGTGCAAAATATATGACGCAAGACGATCGGGATAATAATGAATTTTACCAGCTTTTAATAATAATAGTGGACATCCTTAAACGTTTTGGACCCGATTATATGTACCCGCTATCCCGTGTCGGATCTAGACGGTAAGTCAGAGTTAATTACTACACCTTTAACTTGCAATAATATTGGTAGATTTTTATGTAAAAGTATTCTTTAGAAATAAGTACTAACCAAAAGCAAAGGTATTTTGAATTGGAAATTAGGCCGTGTAATTTATTCTGAATTACCCTGAATCCGGCACTGATAGTCGATATATGTAAATTCAAACGACTACTGAACGCTTTAGTTTGGAAGGTTGATATTGTTCCAATTATTACTATATACTACCAATACTTGAAAAAAAATGCGTGGGTTTGTACATTAGTATAGTGTACTACACACATTGCATGATAAATGGAAAAAGTACCATTGCAATTCATTTTCTTTTAAAAATAATTATTGTTATGTAATGGACCGCTGGGAATTCTTCTCCGACAAAAATAGCGGAGGATCATTCGAAGACCACCATGGAAAATCTTTTTCTTGGTGAAATTTTTTGAAGAACCAACTTCAATGGAGAAAATATTTTTTTCCACCTAACCACAGATGACACCGAAAAATCAAACCTAACTAAATGATTTTTCTCAATACGTCAATTTTATTTTAAACAGCTTCAACAATTCACCTATCAATCCTATTTTAGTGAAATAACTTAATAGTGCTCAATTCGATAGATAATTACTAGTCCCTAAGTCTAAGAGTCAGAAAAAAACCTGAAAACCTCGAGCCTAATGTCAGCGACTGTCGTTTAAAGCCCGTGCGTATATGCTAGCTGCTTAACAAGCGAGTTTAATTATACGAATTCCATGCATTCATACTTTTGTTGTTTCTTTCTCCTTTTTTCGCTTTGTTGTCTCTCTACCGACGCCTTTTATGCTGAAAAACAACAATTAAAAAACCGATAATAAAAAGCTTTCTCGGCACGAGGTATCAGAAGAACTTAAACTACCAAGACATGCCATATAGGATTTCCCTAACGATGCGTGCGTATACGCGCACACCAAGACAATTATATCTAGACTCCCACAATGGTGGGCCGCAAAGTCAAAATTTGCGTACCGAATTCTATATTCTCCAAACATGCAACATAAATCCGAAATTTTGTGAAAATCTTTGGAAGTAAAGTCCGTTCTGCGCATCGGTTCTGCCCACAACAACGTGAAGTCCTCAAATAAATATTTTGCCCATATTTCCCATCAAAAACACTTCATATTCATTTAAAGGCATAGCGAACCTATAAGTTGTTAGATACTCAGACAGCACATCGTATTTGAAAAAGTAAATATCAAAATGTAAACAAATCGTTAATTGTTTACATACGGACTTCCGAATATGATAATTCAATAACTCGATTTAGATCACGGTTTCAAGGTGATAACATTTACAAGTTATATACGAGCATATTGTTTAGCTTACAATCAGCGCACTAGTTTACCAGATGCGCACTAGTTTACCAGATGCGCACTAGTTTACCAGATGCGCACTAGTTTACCAGATGCGCACTAGTTTACCAGATGCGCACTAGTTCACCACATGCACACTAGTTTACCACATGCGCACTAGTTTACCACATGCACACTAGTTTACCACATGCGCACTAGTTTACCACATGCACACTAGTTTACCACATGCGCACTAGTTCACCACATGCACACTAGTTTACCACATGCGCACTAGTTTACCACATGCACACTAGTTTACCACATGCGCACTAGTTTACCACATGCGCACTAGTTTACCACATGCGCACTAGTTTACCACATGCGCACTAGTTTACCACATGCGCACTAGTTTACCACATGCGCACTAGTTTACCACATGCACACTAGTTTACCACATGCGCACTAGTTTACCACATGCGCACTAGTTTACCACATGCGCACTAGTTTACCACATGCGCACTAGTTTACCACATGCGCACTAGTTTACCACATACGCACTAGTTTACCACATGCGCACTAGTTTACCACATGTACAGGGTCAAATATTCTGAATGATCTTTCGGGACGGAGATGCCGCTGCCCCAATGCAGCGTTCATATGTCCCGCTTACATGTATTTATGATTAAAATTACTTGTGCCTGCTACTAAAGTAGTATATATATTACCGTACAAACCTTTTTTCTAGGGTAACACCAGATAACTTAATCAGATCTTTCATACACGGCGTTGTTAAAAGAGGCAGGTCGTAATCATTCCCAAACGAGTCAAAATTCTCAACCTAGAGAAGTAGGACATATATTTTTCACAACAAATTATTGCACATTACACGAATGTTTGCACTCGAGTGATTCAAGTGAATTTCGCCATTCAATCACTCACGGGGCGAAACCTCTTTCGCTTTTATCAAAAACGCGCGAATACTGTTCTATATTTAATAGGAGATGCTAATAAAGTTACCTGTTCAACAAGAAACTGGGCGTTCTTAAAGAGCATATGTTCTGTTATAGTGGTATTTCTATTTGGGAGTACAGATGTCTAGAAGAGAAGAATGACTGCACAGTTCACACATGCAATATTCATCCGTTTTCATATATACGTCTATTTCATAGACTGTTTTATGTAGTATGTTTTTACATTATATGTTATACAGTGCAATTTTTCTAGCAACTTACAATGCAATTCTAATTTTTAAAGATATCCATTAATTTGGCAATTACGAAACTTGTTTTTTCGAAAAGTCTTGACTTTCTTCAATCTCCTAAAAGTAGAATTTTATTGCAAGTTGCAAAAAATGGCACTGTGTAACTGTAACATGCAACGGCTTTACCCTTGGGCAATTTTTTGTCACTTCAGGTTTGTATTATGTATTTCTCCTCTTGCCGACCTAGCACTTTTTTGTGTCGCCGATTTTGAAAGGCCTTAAAAAGAATGCAACTTTGTTTTGTTTGTTTTGTTTTGCTATTTTACCTGAATCGTGTTGAGTAGATTTTCGTAGCTTGTTTCAGGATTCTCAAGGATAAATTCAATAACAATCTATAGGATAAAATTTAAAATAAAAAGAAAAAGTACTAATCGCTTGCGTCATACTCGGCATGTAAATATTACCAGAGGCACAAATGCGAATTGCCCGACCTATCATTGATTTCAGCAAAAATTGCTCAATTTTTTTTAGGTTCAAGTTTTCCCGGTGAGGGAGGTGTAGCTATAAAAAATCTATTATTACATTTACGTATTTACGTTTATATGACATTGGTGTACCTATAAACTACATGCATGCTTCTCTGTCGATGTTTCTCTCAGGCCCAGAATACTGTATTCCGTTTCAGGGGCGTAAATAGAACGATAATTGGGGGGGGGGGTGAATATTCATATATTCAGTTCTGCCCGACGGATTTCTATTGTAAGCTATTGCTATCACAAAAGAAATCTGTAGGGCAGAACTGGATGTATGAATATTCAACCCCCCCCCCAATTATCGTTCTAGTTACGCCACTGTTCCCTTGATACTATAGTAAACAGGCTTTGCATATACTGAGTCGATAAACCATGCAGATTATCTCCAATACCTTGCTAATGTATGCCTTTTCCATCGTGGCGTCCATAATAAAACTGTATTCTTCAGATGGCGCCATTAACACGTATTCTGCTAATTCTAAAGAAACATTGGATTGTGAAGCTCTTTGTTGCCTAAAACTCTCTCAAATAGCGAAGTACTCCAAAGTTTATTGCGGACGTCTATTTAAATTACAAAATGTCATCGCCATAAAATTATCAACGCTACATGGCCGTAACAAACAATTATTTTCTGACAATTAAAAATTATTCATATGTCATCTTATTACTACCCACTTACTAATATGTACTCGGAAGGCACATTGTCACATTTAATTACGGTCAGATTTTCCAATCAATGTCCTAAACGTTTAAAGGGCTCGATAGCACCAGATCTCGGCGCGTGGGACATGATATTTTAAAATAAATTTTCAATATCAACAAACTTTCAATATCATTAGGAAGTCGGTCCCGAAAAATGCGTATCAGGCAAAAGCGGTCGATCTTTAAACAAGCGATATGTTGAAAATTTCTTCTATATATCCTTCAACTCACCAGTGGATAAACCGATGATCACATCATTACCCCCATCGAACCCTGTTATCCACCACTCCTCTATAGGACCAATATCTTTTGTAGGTATTCCACCTTAATAGCAAAATACTTACAATACAAATTTGAAGAAAAATAGTTAACACTTTATATACAGTATATGAATAATACAAAAAAGTATTGCTTATCAAAGATCGTCCGCTATACAGTCTGTTTCATCCGTATAGGAATCTTCAGGTGGGTAGTGGACGATTTTTGCTAAGCAATACTTTTTATCTGCTCTATCTATATGGTATTGAGCACTCTCGATATTTCGTAAACCAAACGACATAAAAATATTTAATATATATATAAATATAACTTATATAATATAAACTTATATAAATATTTAAATATATCAATATTTATAATAATTCATATCTGTGGGACACGACGAATTTAGAGCACCATGGTGAATTTTGTTTACAATTCCTAGGATGAGTTAAAATCGTATTTTCGTCACCATCATGATAGTCCAAATTTGCCGTTTCCAGTGGTTTCGTATCGGTATACCCAAGACAGACGCATACCATTGGCATCACAGTTATCATCATAGATTGGTTTTACATATCCTGATAAAAATAACTTCTTGCTTTTCTCGATTAAACCAGTATCAAAAGGACAAAGATGGTTTCTCTTGTCATACACACTGGAAGATAAACACTAGTAAAGATATAGCTTACTGTCGCATCCGCCTTGAAATAAGCAATATCGTAATCTGGCAACAACGAGATTTGAAACCTGAATTGTGTTATCCTGTGCTGTGGTGTGTCAACCTCATAACTTCCACACATTTCCTCCTCATCAGTAAACAGAGACAGTTTCGGATCAGCCAACATAGTACATTCTTCAACCTTAGGAAATATGTGGCGTAATGCGTGATGGCATTCAGTTTTATTAATGTGGTGTACCCTAGTGGCATTAGAGTTCACTGCCTAAGGCCTATTTTAGAAGTCATTAGCACGGGCATGCAACAAAAAGAACCAAATGGGTGGTATTCTAACAATATGCATGGTTACGGTCTAGAGGAGCTCCCGCAGAAAATTTTAGGCAGTAGCGTAGGAAGCACGATAATTGGGGGAGGGCAATATATTCATATGGCTCATATTTTGCTAAGAAAATCGCACAACAATCGCAGGGGAAATTGCAAGTGTAGTAGTTTCAAACAAATATGAAATATTTTACCGCATCATCATCGAAACATTTCCTTTGACTCTAAAAATAGTATAATAATAACGATTATGAATGTTTGGGTTATGGAAATATGCTGGTGTGCTTCTAGTTCTTTTCCATGCAGTATACAGGCATACTTGCACTATAGAGTCTACTGGCTATAACGATTAACGATGGTCAAAGTAATTAGGGATCTATTATTTTTATATACATATACCTGCTGGTCGTTTCTGACGTTACCAAGATTCATTATCTCATGACTAGAAGTAGAAGACAAAGCTTTATAGATAAAAGTAATTTTTTACGGATTGAAAGAATGTCTTGAGGCTTTTGGCAATATTCAGATTCTAAAGGCACTGTTATACATAGTGCAACTTTTTATGCAATTTGCAATGCAATCCTACTTTTGAGTGTTGTGCAATCCTACTTATCCACTCCATGGACTTTTGACGTTTCTTACACTTATATTTTGTTAACTCTTCACAAATATACATCTCTTTAAAGTGGAATCGCATTGCAATTTTGAACAAAAAAGTGCACCCTGTGACACGTACGCCCTGCAAAATTTTTGTCTGAAATTGCCCGCGCTCGCTGCGGCAGCAATTAGCACGAAACTGCTAAAAGGGGTCCAACACATCAAACTTGCTCTTGAATATTTCGTTCTTCAAACAGTGGTGTAGCCAGCATGACTGTTTATGTACTGTTTCAACACAATCAATAGTTCTTCGCTAAATGCAATTATCGCCGGTATTCGGAACGCCGGAACATGGTGCAGCCACGGGCAGCCACGCCAGTCGCCCTTTACTAGAAGGGGCGAAGGGGCGTGGGTGGTAAAGATGCCCTTTCATTTTGAAGGATTATTGTGCAACTTTTGAAGCTAGTTGGTTACACTATTATTAAGACATAGGGGGGGGGCGGTTGCATGGCTCCCTCATGTTCCGCATCCTTAAGCGAACTTTTTTGTTTTGATACAATAAAGACGAAAAATACTATGCCAAATGAACAAGCTTATCCGAGTGTGATAAGGTGCGAAGTCCTTATCGAAGGCGGTTTTCCATCAGGCGGAATTTTCCGATATAAAAGCGGGTTTCCACTATAAACCGCAATTTTTCAATCGAACATTATTTTTCGCCTGATTTCTTTTTTATTGTAATCAGGTGAGTGGATTCACTTCAGTTGAATTCTTACAATCAAAGGAAACATCACGGAAAAGGTTTTGTTTGGATGAAAAATTCCGTGTAGTAAGACTGACGCGCCAAAGAGCGATTTAGTTATATAGGCATAACTATATCACACCAGACTTTGATAATCAACTACCATCACGTATATTGCGCGCTGAAAAGGTATTTCTTACACGTTCAGCGGGCATATCTTGACTTTGGCGTCCCACAACGATTTATTCGGCTTTTGAACACCGCGACAACTTCTCTACAAAAAACATTATAAAGGGCTGATATTGTTAACTATTATGGAGTGAGGATAGGAGATCATAAAAAAGGTGCATACAGTTTTAAAAGGATCAGCAGCATGCATGCAGTTTTAATGCTAACTGCTCTTATTGAATTTGGAAAAATATTTTTGGAGTACTTCAAGGCTTCGTTATATACAAAGCAATGAGGCAATTAGAAAATACACATGTTCTCACATAACCCTGAGTCTAACTATAAGTGGATGGTATTGTTGAAATAACGAAACGTCGAAACATAATGAAATTGAGGCAAAATTAAAAAAGGTTTGGAAAGGATTTAAGAAGTGTTCATTTCCACTATTTTGAAGTTATTGAAGTTATTTCATGTTAGCCCAAGACTATCATAGCTTTCTATATTTTCGAAGTCAAATGCATCAAACAGCGACGCAGTTACTTTGTACATTAAACTAAAATTATGGGTACCAATTCAGCTTTTTACAATTTACATTGAAGAAGTGATATATGGTCATTGCAATAATTCGATTACTTCACCTAGGGTGTTTAGTGGCGTGAGGCGTCTATGTATATGGGAATGCCACGCCATTTATTCGCCATTTTCACGTCGTTTTTAACGTTCACGTCCTCATGCTAAATTGCCCGATTCAAAAGCTGTTCCGGACGTTCTCGAAGGCTCAAAATGTCGGTTGTAAAAGGAGTGGCTTTGTGGCTTTGGCTTATTGTTTGTATTAAAAGCAATATTTCGAGTGCATGAATAATACCTTTCGTTTTTCAGCAATTCTTTTCATATACTTCTTTTTTCTATAACGTAAAAATTGACGAGTCAAAACAATAGAATGAAAGAGAAGAAAGCAATAAGTATAATATACAATATATGTGACCGTAGATGGAAAAATAACCATCATGAAAGGTGGCATAAAATTACTACAACATCCATGATTCTTACAGTTTCGTCACCAAATTAATTGTTAACTTTGCCTCCAAATTTTGAATTTTTCCTGCAGTTAGACATGGTTTCTGCAATATAATTTTATAGGTAATTCATGAACAGATGCTATACTGGTAAGCGTTAGAGAGGGTCAAGTCGTCAAGAGCAACAAAAATACTATGGGATGAAGCACTTCTATTAACATACTGTGAGAGCATATTTTTAAAACTACTGGCATGTAGTCGCAGCAAAACAAGCTTTTTGAAAAATGGTGTACAATTCATTTGCTCATATTTGTCGGTTTACCAAAAGTTAAGTTTTCTTTCCTAACCGAGTTTTGGCCCTTCATCCATAAGAGTTGTTCAAAAGTACCGGCCGTTTTAGTTGAAAGAGTAAAAATAGGATTTAACAACCCGGCAGAGGCGGCGGAAAATCATTATGTGTGGAGGGGAAATATTCAGGTTCAGCATTATTTGTTTCTTTTGGAATTGATTGGTTTTTACGGTCTTCTAACATGAATATATGAATATCCCCCTCCGCTACTGAACGATCTTCCGCCGCCCCTACAACCCGGGTAACAGCTACCTTGGCCTTCGGCGTATTGTGAGATATTTCATTCACATTAATATTTTTTCTCTTTCTATATAGGGTAATAAAATTTTTGGTAAGAAATTCATATTCACGCATAAGTTATCGTTAGTAGACAAATAAAATGACAAAAATAATAGAAATTTCTTTAAAGGGGCTACCACGTGGGCGAAGCAACTATACATTTTAATTTACGCAAGATAACCTGAAACTAAAATAACAGCTACAATCATTTTCAAAAGTAGTTGGGACACCTACTATTTTTAGCTCAAATCTACTATATGATGATTTCCCCCCCCCTCCCCCAAATCAATGTTGGTTTTCAAATCCAAACACGTTTCGGAACAAACGGGGGTCGCGGGGGATCTGGGTTTGTGTTATAAATCGGTAATTTGGCTACCTGTCCCAACCCTTTTGAAAATGATTGTAGGCTAAGTCGGTCAGTCGTATACACGGTCGTACTAATATTAGATGCAGTAGAAAAAAGGTGGTTAGTAGAGATATATGTTTATGAAGTACAAGGCTGCCATAGCACGGGGTGCATGAGAAAGTGTTTGAGATTCTACAATATTGCATTTTTCTGTCTTATTATCTCCATAACTCCATTTCAGCAAGATTTGGAGATGGCGTAAATTGAAATGTCCACGTATAAGATAGCTTGATAACATAACATTAACAAATCCTATTCTTAGATAAGATAACATTAACAAATCCTATTCTTTAATCCCCGCTGCTCTAATCTTAGTGGTGGATAAAGGGTGGTTTAAAAGTTAAAAATTATGTTCTTACACTCTTTCTAGAACAATCCGGAGATCTGGCTGCATCATGATTGGTCTTGGAGGAGTTCTGCAGAAAGATATAAAATTTCATTTTTGAAAAGAAAATAAAACAACTTAATTTCTCTTTATTCTTGCGCAAATTTTTTACTATTGCATGATTTCTTATGCAATTTCACGGGTACTTATGTAACATCGTCTCACTAATGCGAAAAATACATTATTTTTACATAGCTTGAAGTCGCGGACATGGAATATGCAGATTGCCGTGAATAAACGTAGCATCAAATGTGGTATAACAACTGCCTAAAATAGACAAAACACTTCTCGACGTTTCGACATGAGGGCCTTCTTTAGGAAGGTTAGCCCCTCAGGTCGAAACGTTCCGAGGTGTTTTGTATATATTTTAGGCAGTTGTACCACATTTGATGCTAAGTTGTTTGAAGACGCTGCCATGCTGCTCCCTGGTTATATTGCCGTCAATAATTTGCATATCTGTTCAAATATATATTGCGCATGCACTGACAGAATATTTCCAAAAAGTATTTACACACGTGCATGTACATCACCGTGACAGCCCGTTGAGTCCAACGAAGTGTCAAGTGTGTGCTTTTTATTTTATATTTTGATACAGGTAATTGGAACCAAATTGTAGTTCTTATATAGTTATATAGGTTAAAACCAACTAGGGAAAAAGGGGAACATCATGAGTAATTTGTTGAAAAGTTAATTGTGAGTTAAGGGCGCGTAAAAATAAAAATGGGGTAATTCGGAATTTGTTGGACAACCGACAACCATGTGGTGTGTTTGAAATAAATTTTTTTGTAAAAAAGGTTTTGTTTGTGTATGATGGAGTTCTTCAAGAAATTATGTAGTTACGTGTGTAGTAATAGGTTGTGTAGTGTTGTTGGTGGTGTTCAAAATCAAAGTTATGCAAGGAGGTAGGTAAAAAAGGAAAACAGAAGACTCATTTTGCGGACTCGTCAACGGGTGCAGAGTTGGCTTTGTGTGAAAGAACATGAAGATAAGAAAGGAGTAAAAATGGTGTGTGTTTGTAGGAGAATCATAAAGAACCAAACCTGCGTGGAAGTGTATTCGTAAAAGGTTAACTGAACTACATGGAATGTTTATAATTATTTAAATATTGATAAAACTGATTATAAGTAATATATTGGAAGCCTTATAGTAAATGCATGACGGGCTGTTATACACTGGCGGTCAAAAAGAACTGCTCAAATGTTGCTATTATCGTATGTATAACAGGAATCGTGACAATCTATCTTTTATTGTACACTAGCGGTCAAAAGGAACTGTTTAGATACAAATTGATAAAAAAGAAGCGAATATAACTATATCGTATAGGAGAGAGCTTCATAGGCATTTTGTATAATTCTCTTATTCCAAACAATATTTCAATAATGTAATCCAACCTGCGACACTTCCAAGATATAGTCAAACAACGGTTTCAGGAAGAGGGAGTGACAGAAATGAATTGGCCTGCACATTCAAAAGACCTTAACCCTATTGAAAATCTGTGCGACAATGTCAACGGGATAGTGCAAGAAAGGAATTCATTCATAAAGCGTCAATGATTTATGGGCTGCTGTAAAGACTGTCCATAGGATGAATTTCTTTTGACCGTGAAGATTACCATCTTAACAGAAAGTATGCTACGCCGGTATAAGGCCGTCATCAATTATAAGGCCAAAGGAGGGTCAACAAAATATTAATATTTCATATAGCTTAGCATGTAATCTAGTCTATATTTACTCGTATATATTGTTAGAGGGACTTTGTTAGAGAATCTTCTTTGAATACCACAATATTAGATGAATATATTTTGCCGTTGCGGTTGTATTTCCCAAACTCATGAGCACTAACATATCATTTAAGACGGCGACGCGACAACGACGGATTAAACGATACTTTAATTGTTTCGTGATTTGATGGCCTGATCGACAGTTGCGAGAGTTAAGAGAAGCGCTCCGCATGCGAAAGCGATTTTGCGAGATTTTCTTTACTCAAGCAACATTCCAAAGTGTTTGGATCACATGCTGGCTATTACACGTAGGACGCGAGAGTCTGTGATTTGCCGCGACGACAAGGGCGCCTTCCGAAATTCCCAAACGTCAAGGGACTAAAAAGAGCTGGCAAGAGCGTCGTGGTTGAGTCGTATATGCGAGAGGAACAGAAAACTTAAAACAGTTTTAAACATAAAACAGTCAAAACCCAGTGCAGTGTGAATTACGGCAATGTTATGAAACAAAAAACTTTGACAGATGCACTGAGTAACATGCATGATGCATGCATGCGTGTGGTCCATGGTCATTCTACTTCCGCCGAAATTTGATGCAGCCGAAATAATTATAGTGTCAAACAATATAGCCTCGAGAGTTTATAGTAAATTGTATACAAAGTAACAAAACACTAAAATATAACAATTATAATAGGTCGGTTTACTCGGTTAGAATTTGCCTCGATTCCTAGTTGCAGGAAAAGTTATATAAACTCTAAATATTTGGGGTTAACTTTTGATCACGTCGAATACCATACAAAATGCAGAGTTGACATAGTCCAGTACCAGCAAACATTACCTTAGGAACTTCGATTAGCTTGCTTTACAAGAAACAACCAGGACAAATTGTAATGATTTAACAAATTTTGCGGAATTCAGGAATGCGCAATATCATTTATAGTGCAACAATTGAAAGATATTTGAACAAATATGTAAAGTTTTGACGGCAATCTGCATATTCCATGTCCGCGTTTTTTTGCCATGCATGAGCATGTATGCACGTGGTCTCCCTGGCCATGACTGCGTGCCGAGTGCGCGAAGAAATCTTCAAAAATTCATGAAAATTCGTCAGGTTAAAAAACGAACAGCAGATGACCTTCGCCTTTGCATTAAATCATGAAATGTGACGCTATTTAGTATTTTATATGGGGATAAAAAAGGTTTATATTATTAAATACTAGATAAATCTTATAAATGATGACATAAACTTACCCACAGGCCACAGCCACAGTCTTTTTATACATACACCACACGTTTACATACAGCGAAAGGATAAACAACAAATGTTGTTAACAGTCACTTATCTGGGCTTCAAAACTTGACTGCATGCGCTCAGGCGGAGATAACTTGCCGATTGAATTATTTGCACTGCGCGTATGCCGCAGTGTCAGGAGATCGCTTCCGTTTTAAAGAAAGGGTGTTTAAACGACATACGAACCTGGTTGGATCGGCTTCGTGGCACTGGTAGTCGGTATAAAAAACATATGTTTGTATATAGAACAATGCTTGTTCGTGGCTGTTATAAATAGCAAAGGTATTACTTTTCTTTCAAAAATTCAGTAATATCTTGGACTACTTAAACCTATCATATTTTATATTTAGCAATAAAGAGATTGAGGATGTATAAAAAGACAGTTAACTTTTAAGTTAGTAGAGGGAAATAAGAATCGTGAGTTTCAAGTTTCAACTACTCAAAATGTCGGAGTTTTGTAGAAAATTATAACACCAGAGGCGGCGGGCCTAACCATGTAGCGCTAACCAGCGGATAGTGATTTTTTCTAGCGTTGTAAAAATGCCAGTAAAGCAAAATAAGCTTTCCCTTTGGAGCTAACAATTGTTAAAGAGAATCCCTAATTTATGTGTTATATCAAAAATGGGCAATTTTAGAGCGATTGAAAAAGGTGCAATCCGGTGGAATACCCGTGGATAAAGTGCTATCCGGTTTTTTTGTCAAAGTGACAGATGAAGAAATCAGTAATTTTAAAAGTAATGCTGTTTGTAAAACAACTAAAGATGCAAAAAAACAATACAGATCCTTTTCTTTCTCTCGGGGGAATACCCTTCTCCCTTCTACTTTCAAATTCTAATTTACGAAAAATAATCTGACCTTCCCCTGAAATTTTCACCACCTCTCACCAAATTTTGACCGTTTTGTCGTTTTTGAAGTTTTTCTTGACACTTGTCACTCTGCGACAGTATCACTAATTTCACTAGCTTTCTAGCAGAAACCGAATATACCCCGGAGTCGGCTTTTAATCGGAAAATCCCGGGAAAATATTTGGCGGGAAATAAATCTCTATAGCACATGCATTGCATGCGGTGTAAACACTAAACACAAAGGCGAAGACGAAGGCTGAGCCGGTGTCGCACTGTCGCCGGTGTATTTTTCATATACGAATAAACGGGTGATTTTCTACTTTACAATATGGCCGAGGATATCCTCGTAAATGGTGATAGCAAAGAAGCTACAAGGTATTGGACAGAGGGCAGCGTATAAATCTGTCGTTGTATTTGTAGAATATTTACGTTATATTATACAGTATAAATCATTTCCGATTCTCTGTATCTTGGGCATTAAAATAATATATTATATTTATTTATAAGTGAAGAGAAGTGTGCAGACAAGGTCAAAGGAGAAGGGCTTGTTGTAAAGGTAATTGTTCACACGGTTTAATAATTGCATGTTTTTGAACAAACCCTTCCTTCGAATCATCCTAATTACTTATTCGTATTTTAAACACTGACAGTATAAAGTCTGCTGAAATGGTCCAATTATGTCGGATCCAATTCATTTTTGATTTTAGTGTGTTATTGTAAGCACTTCCATTAGTTTTAGTTTATTTGCTGCCCATATAAAATGCAAGCCAAATAACTATAAGAGTGAACTAGATAGAAGTGAACGAAATCGTGTGAACAGAGCGTGACCCATAATACAGGAAGTGTAATGCCATAAATTTGCATACATTTCTATAGAAAAACAAGTCGCTGCCTATTTCTTTCATTAGCTACGATGATCCATGATAAGGCATTGTTGATTATGTTCAGGAGCCAGTTGTATGAAAGCCGGATAGCGCTGTCCACCGGATAGTGTTTTTTTCAATCCCCTCAAAATCGCCCGTTGTTTGGTATAACTTCGATTAAATCTTTGTATTCCTAAATTAAGGATCCTCTTTAACGATTGTTGGTTCCAAAGATGAAATTTTATTGCTCTTCAAGCATTTTTAGAACGGTTGAAAAAATCACTATCCGGTGGATAGTGCTATCCAGCTTTCATACAACCGACCCCAGGGCCAGGGGTGATGGGTGCAAGGGAACCCAAAGAGCAGTGGGAGGGCAGAGGGAGGGCAGAGGAGTATTGTTTAGCTCATGCCCAAGGTTAGCAGGAGTCCCATAATAGGGTTTGGATTGAATTTAATATTATACTGAGACACCTGATCAGCAGCAGTGACCTAACATACCAAGTATAATCTATCAGTATAAATATAAACTGTGTGAGTATATTTTTTGAAAAAATAATCATTGACCAAAATTTTTAGAGGGACTGAGTGCCCTGAAATAGAAGAACTAGAGCACTTTGCTGCTAAGCCATTCCATAAACTACAGGGTGTCTCAAAAAAAATGAAAACTATTGAAATCACCCATAACAATGCATGCGACCCACAGGTGTATGAATGTTTGGCATACGCATTTTTATGCATGCATATGATGCAGTAAAACTTGCTTGTACGCAAAAATGATATTTATTAACAATATTTACAATTTACAAATATGGATAACAATATTTAAATGTGCATCTCAAGGACCATGACCTTCGACATGTCCCCTTTCTCTAGCAGCAGAAAGCATTTAGCATTTTATAAGTTGCATTAAATCCCCACAGGCTGAAATTCGTCAACACAGCATTCAAATTTTAACAATGAGTGATTTCAATCATTTTCGTTTTTTTGGGACACCCTGTAGATGCCTATGTTTGATATATATATAGTTGATTTCCAAAAAATGACAAAGATAATAATAAAGATAAAAATCGGGTCTTCATAGCTAGTTATATATGAAGTATGTCCAACTATATATATATATATATATATATATATATATATATATATATATATATATATATATATATATATATATATATATATATATATATATATATATATATATATATATATATATATATATATATAGTGATATAAGATAGTGTATAATGAAGTATGCCATTATTGCCATCATTTTGTTCTCATAAAACAAAAAAGTAGTTATCATTACCATTGCGTTATTGCATACCTCTTTTAAGCTCTTTTGACAGAAGAGGAGATCAATACCAATTTATCTGATGACCTTGGCAATGGTCCTCTTTTTTACCTTCATACACAAAAATAGTTTCCTTCTTCTAGGTACTGTAGAGTTTTCCTATGAGATATGTATATAATATTCATTAATTCATATTAAATATTTTAGAAAGATTCTCCCTATGGCAAAATGAAAAAGGTTCAAGTCAGTATCATGGATATGTTTTCGAGACAGTGAGAGAATTTTTGTTTTTTTCTGCAAGAATGTTTGCGTTGAAACTCAGAATGTGAAAATTTATTGTCTGATCTTTTGTTTAATTGTTCACAACATATTCAGAGCAATTAAACCTTTAATTAGTAGATATGTAATTAGTTATCAGGGGCCAAGGAGCTCAGAGGCAAAAAAGAACACTTTCAAATCAAACTTTACACTGCTTTTCTCTATAGGTACTATTTTTCAAAACATAAGACTTTTCCAAGTGGCCAAACATTTCTTTAACTTTATGACAGAGGCAAGAAAGCCTTGAATTCCAGTTACAAAAGCTTTGATTATTTATCAACTTACTACATTGATCCCTGTTATGTAGAAGTAGCAAAAGAAAGCAATGTGAGCAAGACAGTGATGTTGAAAATAAAAAGAATAGCCCAAATACAATGGTGCGTTGCCTATCCTTTTTCTATATATTCTATATATTCTCAAATTACCTAATACATTATACAGTGTATACACCATTTTGGAAGTCTACATGTGAAATATGAAAACTACTAACTCATTAATGCAATAATGGTATTTATTTTGTTCAGGCATCCAAAAGACTTAAGAGTGAAGATACAATAATAGAGAACACCATAACCAATTGCAATGGAAAGTCCAGGTTAATATCCATACTATAGGCCAGCGTTATTTGGTGCGATGTTTGTTCTTTTATAGATGAAAATGAGCAAATATGTAGTTATACTTTGTTGCATAAGGACTAAGGTTAGTTAAGCATTAGGGGTCAGTTGTACAAAAGTCGGACGGATAGTGGGTTTTTTTAATGTTTCTAAAATTGCCTGTGTTTGGGTACGATTTGAATTGAACCTTCCTATACTTGAAGTAATGTTTCTCTTTATTCATTGTTTGGTCAATTTACTCTTCAAGCGTTTTTTTCCCAGCTTGAAAAACCACAATCCTAGCGCTAGCCAGCCTTCGTATAACCGGCCCCTGTAACTCATCGCAAGTTCATAATCATGAAAAGACGAAAATCGTGTCTAAAATCACAGCAAATGGGCTTTCATACGTGACATGCATGTCATAGTTTAGTTTTGTGTAGTTTAGTGTTTTTTCTAAATGCTATTTTATCCGTACATTCTATACAGTGACGAAAGGAAGGCGAAAAAATGTGCAATGATCATTGACCAGAAGGTATGATTGTGTAAAATATAGTTGTTTTTTTGTCAAGAAATAGACTTTCATTTGAATTATTTTTTACAATAATTAAGTATACGAAATCGTAATTTTATGATACAGTATTTCATATCTGGTATTTTTTTAGGTTCCAACGAAATGTTCAGAGTGTGGTCAGTTACTCGACAGTCCTGATCTCACTCTCTTTAGTGGTGATGCTGATGACGCGGTAAGCAAACCCGTTTAAATTACGGGGTTTTAACAAGACAACTTATTATGTATTCTCTTCAGATGTACCTAACTTTACTGATCAATTTCAGCATGGGGAAGGGATCCCAAAACCATAGGTATAGACTATAGTATATCATATAGGAAGAGGATGAGGAAGAAATTTGTTTTCTTTTCGCATGTATTAAAATCGGTCATTGTTGACTACAGTACATGGACACCTAGAAATATTCCATCACAAATTACGACTAAATGGAAACCATGCAGGCAATATTACTTTATGTAGTTTTGTGTTGTCGCAAGCGTGTTTTGGCGCGAAAAAATATTTTTAAAAACTCGGCTATTAAATTTGGTACCCCTTGCTTTGCCTGGTCATACGACCCGACGTATGTAATCTTACTGTATACATCTACGTTAAGATTTCCTTTCCCATTGTTGTGGACTTGTGGTTCACCAGTCGCAAACCAAATCGTGACGCAGCTTTCTGTATGTTGTTTAAAATGGGATTACAATGACTTCTGCGCATTGTTCTTCTCGTAAGAATGAGCAGGCTACTTGATTTTAAATTGCTGAAATTTAGCGTGTTTCCTGCTTCTCTTTTTAATATATTATGTACTGTACATGTAGATTGCTCTGGGTTCTTATAGTGTGAAATCACAATAAACATAGGCGTACGGGACTGGAGGTTAAGGGGGGGGGGGGGCACTTGAAGAAATTCGGGAAAGTTCAGCCGAAAATTCCGGCAAACTGAAAGAGAGTTACGTGGCTAAAATTTCTAAAACAAATTTTGTAATATATATCACATATGCGTATTCTATTTGGCCATTTTTGTTACACTTTCTTGAAAGCACGTTTGCCATGTTTATTGTTACGAATCTGGTGAAAGTTAAAATTCGGGCACATTGTATGATTAAAAAATTTGGGCGATTTTTTTTGTCCCCTCTCCCCCTAACGAAAATATCTCTCTAGCATTCAAATTTCGTTCGCACGCCATTTATATATATACGAAGAGTAGAAGGCACCCAATCCGGTTTGAAAAACTCAAGCACCCAATATGCCAATTATATTTACATTATATTATGACCAAATCGAATTAGGGCCTCATATTTAAAACAATGATTGAATCCATTTCACTTCACTCCTGACAAAATTGGATCGTGTGAACATTTCTAGATTGAGGAATTTGTGATGTTGGTTGATCCCAAACTTTCTCTGTTTACTGGTGATGAGACAACTTTCGGAAGTTATGAAGTTGACAGACCACAGCACAGGGTTACACAGTTCAGGTTCGTTCAGTGAACTTGAAAATTCTGAGCAGAACTGACGACAACGATGTAGCTATGTTACCCTTGTTCTTCTTATAGTATATATGACAAGAGCACTCATTTGTGTCCTTTTGATACTGGTTTGATTGAGAAAAACAAGGAATTATTTCTGTCAGGATATGTTAAGCCAATCTATGATGATAACATCAGTGCCGATGGTATGTGCCTTTAGAAAGAATTGAATCTATCGTTCATAACTAATGAATAATAATTATACCATGATTAGTCTCGCTCTTACGGAAACTTGTTATACTGGGCCTCCCCGTAACACCAATTTCTGTAACTTGTATGATATAAATTTTTTTATCACTTGAGTGCATCCGTACAGCGTGCGTTATTTCTGTGTACATTTGTAATATACATACACCTTAGGCATTCTGACTTCAAATGCTTTTGCGCGTCCACCTGGACCATATATGATACATGAATTATATATAATATAATTATAAGACGAACATCGCAATTCTCGCCGTAAATCAGGTTTGTCTTCGTCATTGGTTAAGATAAGGCATATAGAGTACGGGAGGAAATAAAAGGATGACAGATGTCAAATGTATCACGTAGTGAGGACTATATACGAATTCTATACTACGAATACAAAATCTGGAAACCTCCCTATTGACTATTTCTTCCTCTGTGTTTAAGGTGGAATATCAACGAAGGGTATCGGTCCAATTAATGAATGGTGGACGACTGGTTTCGATGGAGGTGAAAATGTTGTCATCGGCATCACAACTGGTACGTTAACGAATGTTCATTTCAACTAGATAAAATAATAAGAGCATTCAAAATTAATAAGAGCATTTAAAAGTTATTTCATAACTTTCACAAACATTCCCATGCATTGCAATGCAACGAATTATAAATTTTCACTGGTGCAAAAATCGTTGTGCTATAATATGATTACAATTACCAGTACATGGTATACAATTCCCTGTAGTCTTCTAATAATTTTAATTTTATCCCCGGCGCTAGCCAGCTACTGTATACGCTTAAATCGCCAATGACTTTGCGTTGATAAAATATTTTCTGCAGCATTTGCTGAATATGTGTTGATGGCGCCATCAGATGATTATCGTCCTTTTATGGACGCAATGAAAGAAAAGACCTATATCAGCAAGGTCAGTGTTTGTTTGGTCCGTTGTTGTATTCTTTCATAGTACGTCTGGGATGGGCCAGTGCGGTTTTGGGGGAAGACTGTGCAGGCATAGGGTTGGGTGACCATAGGGTGGGTGGGCAGTGTTACCATATATGCAATTTGTCTAAGCAAAGCTGCTCAAATCGAGTTAGACTACCCCCTCCTAGTATAAAATTGGTAATTGTTAAAAACAGGTGGGGCTGTCTAATATGCATGTGCATGCATCTGACCGAATCTAGTAATAAAAATACCAGGTACTGTATGGTCCCTCTGCGGGTGGGGCACTTGTACATGCTGTATTTTAAGTGCCTAAATACAACGAAATGATTATAATTTGTTATTGTTTGATCACCTAACACAATTTTCAAAAATTTGATACCCAAACTGATACCCAATTTTGCATTCCCCCTCTAGCTTGGCTAGAGGTACACCCACGAGAACCTCCTCCTCCCCTGGTACCTGCATGCAATATTAACCAGCATATAAATTACCATGAAATTTTTATATTGAATTCACTTACATTTTACATCAAAACTAGTTGTAATCATCTTCATATGAAGTATAATTTTGAAGTTGCTTACATTCCGATCTCTTTGGCTCCAGTCTGAATTCAATAAAAGGTTTTGTCGCTTTAATACACAACAATATAACAACTTATAGAGTTGATGTTCGCCGGCCTAAATGTGTTTTTGGCCCGACTCTGAACTCATTTTAATGAGAAGGGACAAAAACACATTTTTATAAGAAATATGCAATGGATGAACGCTTTAGTCATTCTTCTGATTGGCTTAGATCAGCGGGCTAAAATATATTTCAGCCCGGCAAATCTATCATTTTAGCCCGCAAAATACACCGCAATGCCCGCCAAAGTTAATATAATATATAGTTAAAAAGCAACCATAACTTTGGTTCATAACTTGGGCAGGTTTTTTCTAGCGATTTTTTTAGCTATTTCCAGACTTGATGATTTCGAACAACTTACTGTGTTGTTGCATATAGGTTGTGATTGAATTTCTTCTTGAGAATCCTGAGTCAAGATATGAAGATTTGCTAAACAGGATTGAGGTGAGAATGTTAATTTTAACCAGCAACTATACAGACGTGCATTGACTTGCTATACCTTTCCGCCGATTCTTTTTATTGCTTAATAATTTTAGACTGCCGTGCCACCAGAAGGGACTTCCAGGTTAACAGAAGATATCCTGCTGAAACACGCCCAGTTTCTTGTTGAACAGGTAGTCCTGGATTCCGTGTAAAGAGTGATGATGTTATATATGTCTAAAGTAGATTCTGAAGTAGGTTATAGTCACTTATTGAAAACCCCTCCACAAATGGTCGTGGAGCCAAATTGAGAACGGTTGGTGGCTCGATACAGTTTCTGAAATGGATTTCCGCTACAGATATGTTGTATAAATATATCTCTTCAAATTATATTAACAGCGTTTAACTCACCTTCATTCACAACTCTTGCTTGTTTGTTTAAATGCTGAAAGCTAAACCATACATGTACAGTAGGCACAGTAAATCCCGTTGGAAGGTTATTGGTTCCAAATATTTTTGCCTTTTTTCCTAGGTTGAAAACTTTGACTCGGCTGGCGAGGAAGACGAGTTACCTCTGTTAATAACTCCTTGCATGAGGGATCTCATAAATTTATCTGGAGTTGTCCTGGGAAAGAGGTTTGTGAATATAAGTGAAATCATATTAAACTTACCTAGTTTTAGCTGAAAGCTATTCTCCTTGAGGTCTGCAAACTGTTTTGTGTAACTTTCCTGATGAATGTAATTTTGAAAAGCGAATTAGTATACACGAGCTTTGCATTGTTTAATCTTCGTTTCACAATGCCATGCAGTCTATACGATTAAATGAGATTTTACAAAAAGGGTCTTTCTGTGCAGGGCCGTAGCTGGACGGCTTAATTGGGTGGGTGGGGGATCATATTCATATATTCATGTTTACATGTCGTAGGAACAATAGCTTTCCAAATAAATTAATCAGGTGGTCGTAATCATAAAAAACGAGTGCGCATGATCTGATTTGCAAAACATAACATATAACACGTTTTCAACACAGGCGAAATCCGCGCGGAATAAGAATAAAACCAGAGAAAAAGAAAAAGAGTGGACCAACAAAGGTATGGGCGACATTTGTGATTTTATATTATTCCAATAACTACAGGGTGTCCCAAAAAAAACGAAAACTATTGAAATCACCCATAACAATACAATTGTTAGAGTTTGAATGCCTAAGCACTCTGTTGGGACCCACAGGTGTATAAATGTTTACCATACTCATTTTTATGCATGCATATGATGCAGTAAAATTTGCTTGTTCGCAAAAATTATATTTATTAACAATATTTACAATTTACAAATATGGATAACAATATTTAAATGTGCATCTCAAGGACCATGACCTTCGACGTGTCCCCTTTCTTTAGCAACACAAAGCATTTAGCATTTTATAAGTTGCATTAAATCCTCACGGGCTGAAATTCGTGAACACGGCATTCAAATTTTAACAATGAGTGATTTCAATAGTTTTCGTTTTTTTTGGGACACCCTGTATATATAAGGTGTATCAAAAGAACCCGGCCGTGATGAATTAAAGCTAGCTTTTGTTGGAATTTGAATGCATGATTAAAATTCTTAATTAAATTAACAATAAGTTCAGAATTCTAATTAGTTCTGGATCCAAAAGGATCTAATCAAACACTTTTTCACAAGACGGATAATGTTAATTTAATCAGACATTTTTAGCTTCGCAACAAACGTTCCGAATATTTATGTGTTAAGTTTTTTTATTACCTTAAAATTTAAAATTAACGTAAAATTCTTGTATTGACAACAGTCAATAGCTCATGTCTTGAGTTTACAAGATGTTATTCTTTAGAATATGTTTTTTCTTGTATTTAATTGAATAGTATTTTATTCCGTTGGTAATGGTTTTTGTTGACGGATAGTGTTGTCCAGCTTAGTGCTGTACAACTGACCCCAGACTATTTTATTTTATTAAAAATCGCGATAATTTTCCTTAATTTCAAGGCAACAACAACACCCTTGGTTCGTTATGTTTTCGACATGTTCTTTCAAAACGAGATCGACGGTAAAACGGATGCTGGGGGCAAGCGTCGAGGGCGATGTAACGTCTGTGAAACGTGTCAACAACCTGATTGTGGAGAGTGCAAAGCATGTAGGGATATGAAAAAATTTGGTGGCACCGGACGGGCTAAGCAGTGCTGTATTAACCGAAGGTAAGACCACAAAACATGCCATTGTCAGGATGACTACACCGCTACCAGAATCATGTTATTTACTCGTTTCAATACAAAGACATTTTACGCTTCGTTAAATTTCGGCGAAGCGGTATCAGCGGAAGCAGCCCGTCAATAAGTTTAACATGATAGTCTAATTATAAAGAAATCTTGTGGGATCTTTGTGCACGCGTGATGACCAGTTGAGACGAGCGTTACAGTCGCGTTACAGAGCGTTACCAATCTCTAATCATATTGTATAATGAAATAAATTGACGCATATGATTGGTCAGTTTTTCAAATATTTGATGAACTCCGTAAGTAAGCCAATTGATAAATTTGAGCAAATGAGTTGCTTGATATTTTTCTGAACGCTTCTCAGTATTGCCGCGACTGTAAGTGTACAGCGTGTATATACATATGTGTCATTTTAATCGATTTCTCAATCCCCTTTTTCAATCCCCTCAAAATCGCCCGCTGTTTGGTATAACTTTGATTAAATCTCAGTAGTTTTCGAAAAGTGAAAAAATCACTATCCGGTGGATAGCGCTATATCTGGCTCTCATACAACCACAGTTAATAGAATGTACATGGTTTGGAGACTAAATATAGAAATACAATACAACTCATTAACTATGTTATTGTCCACGTTTATGCAAAAAATGATTCCTTTCTCGTCACGTGTCTATTGTATTTTAGCCAAACGTACCAATGGCATTCGTCTTGCTAAGCTCCTCAACCTTGACTTGAAAAATATGTTAATTATAAGATTGCTATTGGTTTATCTGTGCAAAATACAGTAGACATGTGATGCGAAAGGAACAATTTTTTGCATAAATGTGCCTCAATATAGTTAATGAGTTGTATTGTAGTATTATATGGTCTCCAAACCATGTATATTCTATTAACTGTGATACAACCGACCCCTGTTTGACATATGTTTTGCATGGATAAGTATAAACGCATAATAGGCGAGTGTTTTTTGTTTAATCATCCCAATTTATTTCAATCAGAATGTTGCACAGTGAACAATCTGGAACAATCTCCTGACTTTCCAAATTACCCAGCAACAGAGATTTTATTTCAATATTTTTTTTAGGTGTCCAAATATCGCTGTTCGTCAGGCGGACGAAAATGACGGTGAAGATGATCCTGATATGGAAGTATCTGCGGTAACATGCTTTTTTCATTTTTTGGGGTATAATTCAAGTTTCGGTAATGGTGTTTAAATATTGTCCTGTGTTTGACAATGAGATTAGCGATGCATAATGAGTTGTTGTTTTGTATGGTCAGTGATTATATACGGTTGTGTTTGACGGTAAAAGTGGAAAGAGTATGATGTGTTTGTGTGTTGTATGATGCATGAAGTGTATACACGTATCATATACGATAACGTAGTGGGCTCCTTTACATCAATACCCGGGTCCCTTAGGCGCCTGACTTGGTTGGGGCTGGTGTGGTAAAAAATGGCTTTGTATGCGAGCCCTAATTATGGATGATAATTGTGTTTGCATCAAATTATTTGCACTAATTTCAAAAAGCAAGCATTTTTGTTTGAAATATTTAAATAAATTTATCATCAATAAATCTGGGCTTATATTTTACAAAAGCCATACAAAACGGAGTACTGTGCTTAAAAAACGCGATCCAAATTGGTTATTAGCAAAATTCAGTAATTATCTCATCCTATCCAACCAAACAAGTCCTCTGATACACGAACTATTTCATAGTTTTGCGATTTCTGTTTTAATCTTATGGAATGTATAATGTTTATATTGTATGTATACAGTATGTATGTATGTATGTACAATGTATACCCAATAACCCAAAACACTCACATATCACCAATGTAATGATGTTTATTATTTTTTGAATAATAGCCACTTCAAGACGTAAAAGCGAAGAATCCCAAACAGAAACATGCAAAATTGCGAAAGGTTGTGCAGGTATACAATGTGATATCATGGAATTGAACGATATGTGATTTACTTTTGTGATGATATGGTTTTCTTTTGTGATTTTCCTGAAAGAGAATTGGCAGTCTCCATCCTTTGTATGAATCAGATTTTTAGTGTTTTTCCTTTGCTTGTATTTTGTAGACAAAACTGAAGTGGATTGGGGAGCCTGTGAGACACGAAGGCAAAAAATCGTTTTATGAATGTGTGGAAGTCAATAACGAGGAGGTAATTTGAATTTTTTTATAACATGTGAAATAGAATGTGAATCTCTCATAAAATCCACGAGTTACACGTCGGGTTTTAATAAACCTGCGACTTTCCAAAATTTTGAAAAAATTACGAAAATATTTGAAAACGCCGAACGTTTGGTCAAGATGTTTGGCGAACAATGCTCAATGTCCAGTATTTTTAGTAAAACTATAACTAGGTTGTGGGCAGTTTAAATTAGTAGACCTGCATTCAACACCCATCTTGTCACAATCATTGTTATTATTTCACAAATTGGGTCAACAAATGCATTCTTTCGATTTATTCAACTAGCTTTTTCAAATATTACACATATATTAGGCTTTAGACTTTCACGTGCGTATGAAGTAGCTACGCGACAGTGAAAAGCAGCACTAATTTCTGGTAATGCCGAGTCAAGCTGCGCCTCTCATAATTCGGCTCAGTTTTTGGGCTTTTGGTAGATGATTAGACGCCATATGTACTTTATTTTACAAATACATTTGTTCATTTAGGTTAATGTTAACGATTTTGTGAAATTGTCTCCGGATGATCCGAGAGTACCCCTCTATATTTGCAAGATTATTGAAATGTGGGAAGATGGCAAAGGAGAAAAAATGTTTCATGGACGTTGGATGAGGTACAATTTTTTAGTAAACTGCGAAGCAGTACCTTGCTTCGTTAAAATAAATGTCTGTTACCTTGTTCACGACAATTCAAGTAACAAATTTCTTGCGTTTGGTTCAAAACTACGCGTTGGATTATAATTTCAGCAAAATATGGCCCATGTCGGCCTTGTTGAATGGCCCTTATTTTTTTATTCACCCACGAATTTGGGATTTTTTCCCTTCAAATTTTTCCGCTCGAATTGTCGAACGGAAAGAATAAACGGTGTTCTTCCTGTTGAGCAGTTTTTAAGCCAGGTTTCCAGTTAGTCAACGACAACGTTAGGGTTGTCGATGTAATATTTCTATGTGTGTGCAATGACGGATTTGAATTTAGAAAAAGAGACAAATTTAGACCATTTAGCTACACTCACAGTTTCTCATCGGTGAAAATGACTCGCTACAATTATGACAAAACAGGCTTTAGGACAGTGCCGTGTGCTTGCAGAAATATAAACGTGTATATAAGATGAATGATTTCTCACTATAATTCTTGTCAATTCAGCCGTAGCACTGACACAGTACTTGGCAACACAGGCGATCCTAAAGAGTTGTTTTTGGTTGATCAATGCGAGGACAATCCATTAGGATCAATCGTGGCTAAGTGTTTTGTAAGTTCATTTTGATTCATCAGCGTTCTGGTTTTTTTTCTGCCTCGTACTTACTGTAGTATTTTCTTATTAATCCAGGTTAGTTATCTGCCCCCAGGTGATGATTGGTATGATAGGGGGGGTAAGGAGGTCACCGAAGATGAGAGCGCCGAGGATGACGGGAACCACTTCTTCTATCAAATGTGGTATGTATATTTTGTCTGGAAAATATGATATGAAGCCATGAAAATATACATGGGTAGTTGTGGTTTCCGACGTATATATTTTTCGAATATATTTTTCTCAGAAAAAGTAAAGAAAATCGTAAACGAAAGCAGTAAATGACGCTTGACTGTTCTAACCTGCGCAGTTCCATGATCCACATAAAAACATAGCTGATAGCAAATATATTTACCATGGCATTAATCACTGCTAAGTGACGTGAGATGAATTTAATACCAATTATGTTTCTCTGCAGGTACGACGAAGAATTTGGCAGATTTGAACAGCAGTTGGAAGACTACCAGAGGAACGAGGAAGAATTGGGTTGTATTAGTTGTTATAGACTGGAGAGGATTGACGAGGTTTGTAAAGATTTTTTTTCAAAAAGCTGCCATATAGGAGCTGCTGTTCTCTACTTCAAACACCATAAATTAATTAAACTTTTTAATTCTTTAATTTTTCGTAATTCCATTTCTTTGAAAACTCGATGCCGAATTGGCTAGACGTTGTTGGTTCGAAAATTACTTGTGTATTATAAATTTTATAAATTTTTTAAAATCAAAATTCTGATTTTTAACACTTACAGTAATATCAATAGAGAGAAAAAATCATTCGATTGATGGCGATGAAAATTACTACCGAGGCAACGCTCTTCTAGTTATTCAGTTTGCCAAAATTTGAATTTCCCTTTATTTTAAGTGTGCTCAATCGATTCCACACGAATCGTACACGACAAATCGCAATGTGTTAACCAGGGCGCTTATGTGAACGTATATATTTTGACACATCTCTCAGCTTCGAAACTAACTGAAACTGGTTTGTTGTTTTCTGTGATCGAATTGATCAACGAAAGGGGGGAGTGTTAAAAAAATTGAAAATCCTGATTTGCATCATCTGTAAATATCTTTTTTTTGGCTTAAAAAGGCAGCCAAACTCTGTCTTTTTACACTGTGGTTCACCAACAGTCGTTTAAACGCCACTTGTTCCTACTCTCCACTACACAAAAGTGACATTTTTTACATATTTAGCTGAAGACACCACGGCTTGGAGAACGGACCGAGGACGACCCCTCATGCAAAACATACAGGTAAGTGATGCCTGGTAAATGAGTGCGGTCAACAATGACCGATTTCAGTGAATAGAGAAATAAAGATAAAATTAGCTACAACCGGACTATTTCTCATCGGTGCAAATGACTTGTTCACGACAATGGAAACCGGGCTTACAGTAAAGAAGATAAACAAGATGTATCATGATTTTGATAGAAAGTAAAATGTAATCGTTGAAAATTTCTATTTTTTCGCACTTCGGGGCCTTTAAAGTAACTGTCGACTGTAAAAACTGATTATATCAAATAATTGAGCCAATTTTATTGTTTAGTTCATTTACTTTGAATGGCATTCAATATCGTGTTGGTGACGCTGTCCTTCTTAGTCCAGATGCTTTTGATTTCAAGTAAGTGTCAGATACAGTATATTGACAAGTAAAATCTACTCTAAAGTTTGGCAAACCTTTTTTTTTCGGAGCAAGCAGATATGGGCTTTTTATAACAAAGTAAAAGTCACAATGCGAATGATAAAAAACTGTTTTCAATGCTAAACGAGGACGAAAAACTGTATGAATGTACATAACTCCAGAGATATGCGTCGTGGGGTGTTAGTTCTCTGTATATGTTTCAACACAAATGTAGATAAGTATGAAGAGACTATATGAAGATAACTGTCTTGGAAACAGTTGTGACTTTCCTTGTTACGAAATCTTGTATGACGCAATATGACTTTTTCACATCACCAACGATCAGAATTACCCCCCATACTTTGCTTGCTCGAGCTCATTAGCTCACTGGGCAAGCTCGAACGAAATTATGTCTAACTCGTACCCAGGCTCTCTACCTATACGACTGTGAAACAATGTACCTCCCATTTTCTCATCAAGAATTATGGCCGCCTGCGAAAAAAATTTTTCATTATGCCGCATGAATTTTAAATTCATGTTTTGTAGAGTCAAGCCTAGCGAGTCCAAGAAGAACATTAAAAAGGCAAATTATCAGGTGAATTGGCTGTATATAAGCGTATTCACATGCTGGAGTTTTCTTGCCTCACACTTTCGATAATTACGTCTTACGTCACGTATACGTCTGGAGGTTCACTCACGACTAAAAAGATCGAAGTTTCGTAGTGTAATGACGTAATTATTAATTAAAAAGTTTATTATACAGCAAGGGTCCCTTCAGGAAAATCGAATACTGGCTCATCAAAAACACTAGCTCATATTCATTTAAAGGCATAGCAAACCTAAATGTTGTTAGATATTTAGACAGCAAAATATATTTCAAAAAGTATAGAAGGACTTGACTTGCACTTGCGTATTTTTTTGTGGTTTTACATAATGCAAATTCATTTATAGATATTTTTAGTTGTGAACATTTCAACTTGGTTTACACGCTATGTAATTCGAGTCTGCCACATCAGGTGGACCTGATTTCCTTGGCTACTTTTTGTTAAATGACTAGTCCAATGCATTTTGGTTGAAATAGTTTTGTATCAATTACATTGTAGTATTCAATTTTATCCCAGGATGAACTTATGTACCCCGAGCGTTACCGAAAGTCCTCAGATTACATCAAAGGAAGTAATGATGATGTGCCTCAACCCTATAGAATTGGTTAGTAATGTTCGTCTCGGTGTTTATTAAACGATATTATAAATATTTACAGCCTCTTATTGGCTAATATAGCCATGAGTGAAATCTTCAATTGTTATAAAGTATCATAAACAATTGTTATGAACTTAAACATTTTTATTTTGAAAATTTCCAAAAATTTTTTGCCAAAGTTGAATAGAGTTGAACAGAGTTGAATACAAAGTATAATTGCCCAGCCAAGCTTATTTGATTTTTAGTGTTTAACATTTTTTTGATAATCTGTCCCTGTGTGTCCCAACCTTCAAGTGCTCGTATCCCTCCTCATGGCCGGCAGCTGCCTTGCATCGCAGTTAATAGAATATACATGGTTTGAGACTAAATAAAAGTACAATACAACTCATTAACTATATTATTGTCCAGGTTTATGCAAAAAATAGTTCCTTTCTCGTCACGTGTATTTTAGTCAAACGTACCAATGGCATTCTAAGCTCCTCAACCTTGACTTGAAAAATATGTTAATAGTAAGATAGCTATTGGTTTATCTGTGTAAAATACAATCGACATGTGATGAGAAAGGAACAATTTTTTGCATAAATCTACCTCAACATAGTTAATGAGTTGTATTGTAGTTTTATGTGGTCTCCAAACCATGTGTATTCTATTAACTGTGTTGCACACAAATTCGCACAGGAGCCATCTCTGGTTTATTCATATTCATGATTGGTACTTGTAATATTAATCGTAAGGATACGTTTTGTAAAAACAAAGATTATTTTCAATTTGTTCAGGTGAAATATTAACAATCCTAAGTAGACCAAGCTACAGCCTCAAAGAAGAAACTCCTGACATAAGATTGAAAGTTCGCAAGTTTTACAGGTTTGTCGGTAAATTCTATTTGTTAATTAGGCCTATTCGTGATTGACCTGTTTTATGAATTCTATCTCGAAAATATTTCTTGATTATTACTTGATTTGGCGCAGCGTCTCGTGTTGTTTTATTTTCTATTGATGAAAAGTCCCTCTGAAAACTTTTCGCTTAGAGGAAACTCGATGGAACTCTGTGATTAATTATAACATCACGTATTACATACTGATTTATCGTTTAGACCGGGGAATACTCACAAAGGTGCAGAGTGTGGCTACAGAACAGACTACAATCTACTATACTGGAGTTCCGAAGGTCAGTTCGAATACTTCATTTAAAATTTTAAGTGTGTGAGGCAGTTATTGAGGGTGCAACAAGTTAAGTTATGAAATCAATCTTCTCCTACATCTCGTTGTTCAGAAGCAACAGTTGATATTGCGATGTTGGTCAATAAATGTTTTGTTTCGTACGAAGCTGACTTGAATACTGATGTGCGTAAATACACCGCGCAAGGACCGGACAGATTCTATTTCAGAGAGGTGTGTGTATGTAGTTCTCATATGTCACCGACAAGTGGCAATGTGTTGTTAGCGGTGGCCAGTGGCGAATAAAAAAATTTTTCGACTACATAGTGGTTAGCCGCGCATGCGCAGGCTACCCACAAAAATTCTAAATAAAAGCGGTTTTCCACTTGGCTGAATTTTTCAACGGAACGAAGATATTTCGGTTCATTTTCTTTTCAGTTTCTTTCAACGGTCGATTTAAAAAGAACATTGGGTGAAAAATTTTGCCTAGTGGAAGTTTTAGAAGCAAATAAATTCAATACTCAAATTTTGAGAACTATGCACCTTAGACATGTGAAAATGTCCTTAAGTGATTGTCAAGAATATCATGACAAGATGAAACAGAGTTGCTTTTGAAAACTGACAAATTTGCAAAAATCTCGTCACGTTGCCGCCGATCACGTCCGGTGTGTCACGCCTTAACCAGCCTCGTACCTAGGCGCTTTATTGGAAAGCAAAAGCTGCATTCAGCGTAATATAGAGATTTGTAGCTAAGAAGTGCGAGCGCGCAGGGAAACTTGGGGAGGACCCGACGGGACACGTGATTGTGTAATCCGTCCTCGCCAAGCAGTCTTTATGTTGTCGAATAAAGCGCCTGGGTACGAGGCTGGGCCTTAACACTAACATTCTAAATAGCACTGTGTTCATTTGTGATCACCAACTGACCGACAATACTGTAAATAAACAGAACTTACTAGAATATGCTCTTTTAAGGCTTATGATTCTGAAGGTCGTTGTTTTGACGATATTCCAAATGAAGCGAGGAAAACGTCTTACAAAGGAAAGGTAAGGTTTGTTATTATCGTATATCAGCGAGTAGTGAAGTGTTGAATTGCGAATAAAGAGTTTAATTTAGATGTATAAAAACTGTTCCGAGATAAAACCCAATATTTTTACGCAGGGTAAAGGCAAAGGAAAACTTAAAGGAAAGGGTAAAGGAAATGCAATGGAAGATGTTGAAGAAAACAAAATGGAAAATAAACCATCTGAAGAAAACACAGAAACCGTGAAACCGTTACGCACCCTTGACGTGTTTGCTGGGTGTGGAGGTATGCTGCTAAGACACTTTTGATAAATATAACAGGCCATTTAAAAGCCACTATGGGATTTGTCGTATATGATTCTTACCCCGGCGTATGTGAACGTGTAAACACACGTACAAACATGACGTTTTAAGTTCCGTCCTGGATAAAACGAGAAAGATAGTGGCATTGGCCCTCTTTTACATTCGTCAGAATGATAATTGCATGCAATTAATCGCATAGTCCAAGTAGACTTTAATAGTATTACATACGAGTGTTTACCGCGAACCATTCCATCAACTGGCGGAAGTATTAGATCAGTAAACTACTGCATGTATAATCCTATTTTCTTAAAAAGGTCTCTCCGAGGGTCTGCATCAAGCTGGTGTCGCAGAGACACGCTGGGCGATAGAGATTGAGGAACCCGCTGCTCAGGCGTTCAAAGCTAACAATCCCAAGACGACCGTATTCACAGACGACTGTAATATGCTACTAAAACTTGCGATGGAGGTAGGAAATGTGTATTCTATTGTGTTATGAGAATTGTAGTTTTCGTACTTGCGGGCTAAAAAACATTGGGAGAACAACTTTACTGAAGTGCTTATCATTTTGATCGAGTGTCAAATTTATTCATTCTTGAATCCCAGAGAACTGCTAATTATAGGGAAAAAGTGGCAATAATTAAGGCGGTTTTCAACTAGGCTGAATTTTTCGACCGAACGAATTTTTTCGTATGACTTTCTTTTTAATTGTGAGAATTCGACCGTAGATGATATGGACTCCCTTGACCGATCACAATTGAATAGAAAATCGAGCGAAAAATTTGTTCGATCGAAAAATTAGGCCTGATAGAGAATCGCGCTTGCAGAAAAGGTCACTTTTCACATTTGACACGAAGGCATCGCCTGCTTTGCGTTTAATAAAACTCCTTGTCTCTTGTCTCTCGGTTAATAATATATGACTGAGCGCGAGATGGTTCATACAGGGAATATCGTACTGGTGCTGCACTTAGCTATGTACATTTCTGTTACAGGACGAAGCCGGGAACTCACGTGGCCAACAGTTACCGAAACGAGGAGATGTCGAATTATTATGTGGGGGTCCGCCATGTCAAGGTTTCAGTGGCATGAATCGCTTTAATACCAGAGAGTATTCCTGCTTTAAGGTTCGTGCATGTGCTTAACTGTAAGGATTTCGAACCTTGTCTATGAATTGACACCGCACTCACAAGAGAATAGAGAAGGCGTTCTAATATATATGTATAAATGGGTGTGCCTTCCTTCTTATAAGTAATCGGCTTTCGTTCAACTCTTTTTTATGCGTTAACGCCACATTTTTAAAAATATTCTTTCCCATCTCAACGACGTTTTTTAGAATGGAAACTTCCGTAACGTAATCTTTAATCTCCCCTAAACCGACCAATGTCATAAGAAAACGCGATAACTGTGTGGGGTATACGTATATATACATACATGTTCCCCCACTGTGAAAAGAATCGCTTTCAAAAAAAATAATTCTGGACCAAGACGAATATATAAATGTTCACCTCCTGTTAGGTGTTCACCTCCTGTTAGGGCCATGAATTGTGACGGTTGGCCAAGCATAACTTTATTTTGTTGTCACGGTTGGAGACCATCCCCCAGCTTTTTACGGATGGGCATATGTAGTACTGTACATTTGTTTTTTCATTTATCTAGAATTCTCTCGTGGCGACGTACCTTAGTTACTGCGACTATTATCGTCCGAAATTCTTTGTCTTAGAAAACGTTCGCAACTTTGTTTCCTACAAAAAGAGCATGGTGTTGAAGCTGACGTTGAGATGTCTGCTGAAAATGGGTTATCAGGTATTAGAGACTACTGTTACGGATTGATTTAGGCTGGATGTGGCGTACTGTTGAATCAGAAACCATGCATTGGTCATTTCGAAGTGTGATTGATAGCAGATTTCAGCAGATTGATAGATTTTTGTTTACAATAACGTGACTTTTCCTCTACGTGACGGGAAATCAACTTCAGGGAACAAACAACTTCATGGCAACCGTAGAACGATGAACTGTGAAGCAATCCATTCCTTAAAACTTTAAAATTGTCTTTACCTTCTACCAAAAACACTACAATTTCCTTTTTCGTTGCACCAGCACCTGAAACCTTCCAATCACGTCACTGCAAACAATCAATATCGAGAATGACCAAAATGCATCGTGGAGCTGTTCGAAGCTGTCTTTTTGTTCACTGTCCAAAATGCCTCCTCTTGTCAATCTCGCTATTACCAGTCCTATAAATTATAATAGATCTTTAAAATAGCTAATTGATATAGGATTTACTTACTTCAATTAACATTTTATCTTTATCTAATGCTTCTATTAAATCTCAATTTATTGTGTCATGTTCTTTAATCCACCATTAATGAATTGCAAATGTCTTAGTTTTCAATAAAACATCGCTGTCTTTTAATAAATAAATATGTTTATACTTTTCAGTGTACATTTGGTGTTCTTCAAGCAGGAAACTATGGCGTACCTCAAACGCGACGGCGAGCAATCATTTTAGCGGCTGCTCCGGGACAAAAGCTGCCCATGTATCCTGACCCTACGCATTGTTTCGCTCGGAGAGCTTGCCAACTGACCGTCGTGGTGGATGATACTAAGGTGAGTTGGGATTACAGTCATTTTTAGAACTAGGTCAATCCTCACACGTTATAAATTCACACGTTATAAATTCTCACATATTCTGAAGCAGAGTATGGCAAAAATTAACTTTCTCAAAACATGTAATGCCATTTCTCTTGTCTCAGAGCAAACACTAAACTCTCAGAGCACACACAAAGTAACAACATCCTTACTTTGTGATAAACTTTTGCTATAAACGCCCGTCAAACACATTGGGTTTTTAGATACACATGATATTTTTAGATATTTTCCCATCATAGACTTGTTACTATACTGTTTCTCTCTTTTTATTTAGTATGTTTCAAACTTTAAACATGTCGAATCGGCCCCGTACAGGACTGTGACCGTTCGAGACGCCATGTCTGACTTGCCTGAAGTAAAGAATGGAGCCAGGGCCGAGGAGATTTCGTATGATGGAGAAGCGCAATCTCATTTTCAGCGAAAGGTTAGCGCCCTCTTCTCTTTACATTAGCGCAAAATATAAAAATGTACATTTTCTGGAACGAAATTCCTGTCAGAAAGGGCTATTCTTTTCGTTGTGTCAAAATTTCATGTCATTGTGTGCTTCTTTTTTCAATTGAAGCGGCATGCATCAAGATTGTGAAATTTGCAATGTATTAATATATATTTCGTCAAAATAAATGATTATTTCAATTTTGACACGTTAAAAAGCGACAAGGCCTTCACTATTTCGAAAATTTGTTGCATGCTTCAGTTAAATTTTCACCGCTTTCGTGTTCAGTTTAAAAATTGACTGTAAATTACCGACTCGTGGACGACACGAGCATGTCTTATTTTGACGGCATTTCTTAAGATTCGTGGTGATGAGGAGAAAACTGTCCTTCGTGATCACGTGTGCAAGGAGATGGCACCATTGGTGTTGGCAAGGATTCGGTACATTCCACAAGAGCCTGGCTCGGACTGGAGGGATTTGCCAAATGTCGTCACCAAATTGCCCGATGGAAAGACTGCCCAGAAACTGTAAGATAATATTTTTTTGTAACAGAACTGGTTATATGCTTTCACCAAATAAGTCAGATATACCTAAGGGAAATACATACCCTATTTAATTAATTCCAGCGATGTAACGACCCGTATCGCTGAAAATCATATACACTAAGATTTGGAATTTTAACTTTACTATAGAAAACGAAACTTTTGATAAAAACAAATTTTGTTGTGGGCAGGACACCCGGACACGATTTTTTATCCAGACATTGTGGCCCAAAATCTATTACAACTTTGTCTGAAATTTAGTTGTTTCGCTTGGGACGTCACTTTTTAAAAATACACTTAAAATGAGATAAAATATTTATCAAAGATGGCGGCCAGCTCACTCATTTCGGTAAAGATATTTCAAAAACAAGGCGAAATTTTAAAAATTTAAAAGTTTTATACATACTTTTACTTGTTCTTTCAAATGAAACTAAATTTTTGTTGCCAGTACACTTTATTAATTATTACAAGTATGATTTACAATAGCGCATAAGCGCAAGGTGTCCATTTAGCGTGACGTACCAAGTTATTTACATTGTTCAAAATTTAAGTATTATCGCTTTACTAAACTCTAATGCAACAAACTCTAACGCTAACGCATTGCTTCAGACGTTACACCCACGTTGACAAGAAGAATGGCACTAGTTCAACTGGTGAGCGTCGAGGTGTGTGTAGTTGTGCAGAAGGCGCAGGTTGTGATCCCGCTGATAGACAGTTCAACACGCTCATTCCCTGGTGTTTACCTCATACTGGCAATCGACACAATCATTGGGCTGGCCTCTATGGTAGACTGGATTGGGATGGTTTCTTCAGTACCACTATAACCAACCCTGAGCCAATGGGAAAGCAGGTAGGTTTCTCATAAGACGGGATGGGATGACTGGACAGCTTGCAGTAGTTTGGGGCTGTTTTTCTTGTGAAAATGCCAAAAACTGGGGTTTATTATATCAAGTTGTAGTTTTACAAAAACCTGAACAAATTTGAGATCATTTTCAGTTTTGCTTTTTTGGCAGTTCCAGGGACGAACCCATTTATTCCTATATATTACTTCCGTGTTTATATTGTAAAACAAAAAAATATGACTGCTCAAAATGTTAAAAGTATATCAGCTCTTCATAACATGGCACAAACTGTCAATTTCCAGAAATCGCGTTCTGCTTTAGCTATATTGTTTTTCTCAAATAACGAAATAATGCAAATTAGCTTATTTAGAGGTTTCTACTGGAATGAGCTTTGAGGGATTTTTGAAAGGGCTTTACCCTAAATAGCCCTTTACCTTCTAATTTTGTGCGCATGCCATTCGTGGTAATAATTAATCGAATAACTAAGTGTTTTATATTTTATCGAAAAATCTTTACATTTTCTAGGGTCGAGTTCTGCATCCTTCGCAAGATCGCGTTGTTAGCGTGCGTGAATGTGCTCGTTCCCAGGGCTTTCCCGACACATGCCGCTTCGTGGGAAGCATTCTGGACAAACATAGACAGGTAGGGATATCGAAGATATCAGTTTCTAGGAATTAGCTACATAAATTGCGTTCGACGAAGGAGAACGTTCCTAATCGTGATGTTACGGCTGGATGCTATGCAGTGAACTGTAATAAATAACTGGAACGATACCTCCTCATTGTTTTTGTGAAGCTAAAATTCGAAATTCCAAATTTTGGATTCATTCGTGGCTTCACGAAAACAATGAGGAGGTATCGTTCCAGTTATTTATGAGAGTTCATTGATGCTATGTCGTTTTCAGATTTTTGTGTGGCATTCGCCTCGCTTTTGTGTTTTTGCGTTTGCTTCGATTTCCGGGTTTTGTGCTGTGTCCTAATTCCACGTGATTTTTCCGTATTTTGCGACAATAGGAATTGTAGTAGGAATTGTATAGCTTATTTTTATTTTGAAGTGTTTGAAATATGAGTGAGGATTTTTATCAAAGCATCAGGAATCTATTTCAGTGTTAAGTATGAGAAATCCGACCACCGAACGCACTTGCTAATTTTTGATTACTTTTATAATGAGCGCATTCTATTACACGAGTAATAATATTGAGTAATAATGAGCGCATTCTCTTACACGGTAAAATCTGCTAGGTCGGTCCTGTTGAATTTCAGTACAAACTAGAAGGTCTGTTTTCAGGCTAAGTACAAACAGACTACTGGTATTTTAGAGTTTTTCAAAAACTGTGCATTCAAGTACATCGTCATTTAACGTCTGCCTAGCGCGAAAAATGCAGTTTCACTTCTATATTCTTAACGAAATACTTTCCATGCAAAATATGACCAGTTTGACCATTTCGGTCGCTTAAAGGAAATCTTGTAATGATTCACGTCTTCCTACACGCGTTATTGTTATATATTTGTAATATATCAGCAACTTCTCCGGTTTGTTTAAACTTGTAGCTACAACTTGTACACTCGCCCCTGGTTGAAATTAGCATAAAAGCTGTCAAAGCTAGTGTGTTTTCACTTTTTCTTGAAATAAAGTTTGATGATAATAATGTGTCATAAAAATTGAGAAAACTCTCGTTATCTGTTGTACACCAATAAAACTTACACGGCGGAAAATCTAATTATTCTTCTCAATTTTCCCTTAGGTTGGCAACGCCGTTCCACCTCCCATGGCGAGAGCTATAGGATTAGAAATTAAAAAATGCTTGAAGAGCCATGATACCTGTCAGGACAAATTATGATAAAGCTGCTTCATACTTCGACTATCTTTCATAACCTAAAATGCTATTTCTTGCCTATTCGTTAAATTTCGTTTTATATTGTATATTAAGTATCCTCGGCATAACAGGACTAACTATTAGCCGCAAATGACTGGTTTCATACAAATGTGTATATTAGATAGAGCCTTGTACTTATTCCCGTAGGTTATATTTATTTTTCTTATTTTCTTTATGTTGTTATCCACATATTTTGTACAATTTTTTTACATATTTTTTTACATTTTGTACAATTTTTTAAAAATCTAGAATTATACAGTTTGATTATTTACAAATAGTACACCAGTCAGTGTTCCATCTTTCTTCTAGTCTAATAGTTATATTTTTCTCTATATATCTTCTGTGCCTTGCGCACCCTTGCTCGTAGACCGTAAATACGAATTGAGAAGGTAAATTCATAATAAATTTAATAATTTTGACAGCTTCGGAAAACCACCTTAGGGCAGCCCCTCGCACAAATTTATCTCAGCTGACCTCTATATAATTGTTGAGTGCAAATTAAATTTAATTCGGCTCCCTACAATTTTGGAAATATGGAAAAACTCGTTATTTCGATCTCTTGCCCACATATAAACCTCATTCCCAGGGCTTTTACCTTGATTCTGGGTTGCCCACATATATTTAGCAGATATGACGTCGTCGGTCGTTGCCGTTGTTACCATAACAATGGCAATTAAATATGGCCGACATTTTACATATTCACGGATTTGATTCCAAAACAAGTTTGGTTTCCCAATTTTTTACTTTGATACGTTTTCTTACAAGAGAATGGAAAATTTTAACAGCTTCAAAGAAATTCTTTCTAGGCAAAATTTTAGGCAGAATTTTTTAAACTTCAAATTTTCCATTTTCTTGTAAAGGCCCTGTTATACATAGTGCAATTTTTATGCAAGTCGCAAGAAAAATTGTACCGTGTAAAGGCTATTTTCCACTAGGAAAATTCTCCTTTGGATCGGACAGGACAGGAAAGTTTCCTTTGTATAAACGCCGCCTGAGAACTCACCGACAAAAGAAATTTTCCTGTCTGTTCCGATCCAAAGGAGATTTTTCCTTAGTTGAAACTAGCCTTAACACGACCTCTTAAAAAACCGAACTCTTAAGAAACCGAAATGGGTAACCGGACTTGTTTTCGAGTAAAAAATGACGGCGGCCATATTGAATCGCCATTGTTACCAACAGCGACATGACGTCATATTTATGGTCAATTTCCGACTGTTAGAATGTTGGTTAATATATCTGAGAAATTACATTTTCTTTAGCAAGAAATCTTCCCCAAAATCTTATATCAAAATCACGAGTTTTCCATATTGTTTTAAACTCTAAAGAGCCATCTTAAAGGGACAAGAATCGGTTGGGAAAAAAGAAACAGAAGACATATGAAGACAATCTCTGCATCAATTGTTCTAAAACCTTCTGGGAGTGTTTATTCATCTTATTCCGATGGATTGGGAGCGATTGTTTCTACAGCATGTTAACATGAATATACGAATAAGTGGGATAGTGTTCACGGAAGTTGGTGGTGTCTAATAAAATCTGCATTTTCGAGTCTGTAAAAAGCCGTGTACATTCACCCGATCATGTTATTTCAAATATTTATTTTAACCTCCCAAACGCAAATAAATGTCAACTAAAGGGAACTAAATTAAGCTATCTTATATTTACAGTAATGATTTAAATAGTCAAGATAAAAAGACTAAATTTCCATAGAAATATAGTCCGGCCATCCTTTTCATAACCGTTTTACTAGAACAAACTTTGGCACTAGATATTCAACTCGTATAATCCCGGTCCTTTTGTAAGTAAGCAATTTAAACAATGCGACAATGGCGTTTATATTATCAAATACGCATGAAAAGGTGGTAATATCTCATCTATCATACAGGGTGTATAAAAATAACACGCAACACTAAATATTCGCTTCTTCTATCGTAGGTCCTTGAAATAATTAAGGTTGCGTTTTTATACAACCCTGTACAGGGTGTATTGAAAAACACAACACTTAAATATTCATGATATTCGATCTTTTGTGATCGAATACAAAACTATTATCATGAATATTTAGTGTGTTGCAATTTTTCATATACACCCTGTATATCATCATCATATAGTTATCTGTTAGTTATAGTTATTACTCACTATCTCAGAGTACAAACGTTTGCAAATATCAAGACAGTTATATTCTGAACATAATGGAAACAACCCTCTACGTTAAGTGAAAATAAAACCTAAAATATGAACTAAACTATGAAGACGAGCGTAAAAATAGCAGAACTGCATGCTTTCTAACTATTTCATAAATCTAGACCGTCTTGTTTACAGTAACTATCTTCCTTTGTCATAGCCAGGGAAGATATCTTGAAGAGCTTTCGACAGCGCGGTGTTAACATCAAGTTTAGCGTCTTTACCAAGGTCGAAACGGCACATTGGGCAAGTAAATACACCCGCCTTGAATGACCGATTTAAACAGACCTATAAACGTAGGAAGGAATCGTTATTAAGGACTTTTAGCACGGACTACGAACACAGAATACGTAGAGATTACTTTTGTTTCCTCAAATTTTCACGTCATGCACATGCCACGACACTTTCAGGACTGATTGTTAATTTGTGGTCTTTTGATTGATATAAATCCGCAAAAGTCAAAACATTAGTGAAATAGGTCACACGGTAGAGAGCATAAAAGCAATGACGTAATGAAAAATGACGAATATGACGCAATAATAAACACTTGCCAGCGAGATAGCCTTGGGACATTTTTATTACTGCGATGGACATCTGTTGATGGCTATGTACAAGTACAAGTACGAGTACGAGATACGTAACTTTCGCGTGTTGTTTCTTTAAGTCATCAACCAAAAATCGTAGTTGTCGTACTTTTAAGTACGAGTTTGTTGAATAATTTCGTATTCAAAAAAATAGATATTTATGAATTGCAAATGCAAGCTGAATGAGAGTTTCGGCGGTTGCTATATATTGATGTGTTTTCAATATTGTTTTTACAACTCGAGCAAACAAGGAGGAATTTCGTTTTAAACTAATCGTATATGAACGCCAAACCAATCAGAATGCCCAAATTTTTAATACTTCATGTAAAATTGTACCTTTTTACCGGAAGCAGTAAAAAATTTACATTCTGATTCGGTTACTGAAAATTTAAACAAACTTGGTGAATGGTGTAAAACGCAATTCCTTCTTGCTACTCGAGCAATAAATCTTCTTGTAACCGTGTAATATCTTACATCAGTATACTGCCATTTTTCTTGAATTAAGCAAGTTCGACCAGAAAGGAAAAAAAACTGCCTTCAAATAATTTATTGAACAATCAAGTTTATGAAGACTGGTTCCCGCATGTCTCGTCCTTCGTATTTAAAAAATCGCATAAAAATAATACGTACCTTGCATGTGTTGTGTTTACATTCAGTTGTGATTGGTTTCGAAGCTAACTCTTGACAACATATACATTGAAAGGCCTCTTCAACTTTTTTATGAAATTCCTAATATACAAGAACGGTTAATTACCAACGATATTTTGAAGAATCTCTATGCGACTGTTCACAAGAAATGCAACTGTATAAGAGCCCCTGGCGGAAATCAAACCTGCATGCATTTCACCACGTTTTATTATTAGATTTAATAGATCAGGCCATCAGGGGCCGGTTGTATGAAAGCCGGATAGCGCTATTCACCGGATAGTGTTTTTTTCAATCTCTTTTAAATCACCTGTTGTTAGGTATAACTTTGATTAAATCTTAGTATTCTTAAGTCGAGGATCCTCTATAATAATATTTAGTTCCAAAGCTGAGATTTTATAGCTTTTCAAGCATTTTTAGAACGGTTGAAAAAATCACTATCCGGTGGATAGCGCTATCCGGCTTTCATACAACCGGCCCTAGGGAACGGTTGTATATGAAAGCCGGACACGCTTTCATACGATATCCACGTAATCGCTCTAAAATTGCCCGTTGTTGGGTATAACGTTGAATAGCGAATAGCGGTTGGATAGCGCTATCCAGCCTTCGTACAACCGGCCCTTAAGTTTGAGCGGAACATTTTTTGAGCGTCATTTTGAGAAAGGTCCATTATTTGATGTTACAATAGGGCAGACATACATGAAATCTATTCTTCCACGCTGGGAAAGAGCAACCTCGGATTGTTCGATGTGAGAGTGTTTTAACTCTACACCGGATGGAATAGTTAACAAGAGGAAGCAAAAACACAATTTATAGGACAAGAATTGGAACTGACCGTAATTGAGTCATTTGATGCCAAAATATCTTTCCAAATTTTTTGATTTTGCGTATCGGCCTTGATGAGAGCCAACTTATCATTTGCTATGGTGTAAGCTTTCTTCTTTGCTGGGGAATGTTGCGGAGAGGTATTTGAACCTAAGTACACAGGCAAGAAAAATGGCGTTAAATGGAGGGTCAAAAGACCACAGAATAGACATTATACCAGAAATCTCACTCATTGTATTTCGCGTCCGAAATTTTTTGAGAATTTGACGCCAATTAACGCAAGCCCACGAAAGCTATCACGCCAACCATATGGCACTTAGTATCCAGTTTGTATCTTGCTTACGCCATCCTGGTTTGTGCAGGAACTTTTGATGGGGGTACAAAGTTCCTGCACAGACACCAGGATCGCGTAGAAACGTGTGCGCTTCTGAAAAATTTCGGACACAAAAACATTAGCAAAATACAGAGTGCTTCCTATGTCTCTATTCTGTGAAAGACGTTAAGTTTACCACCACATGACTCCAATTTTAGTTTTCAGATCAAAGAGCAAAATGTAAATATAAATAAGGTACAAAACCTGTTCTCTTGCGTTTCTTGCTGGTACTTTTGGCAGCCGACTTCATTTCTTTTTCTAAACGTTTCTTTTCTTGGGCTTCCTTATATCCCTCCGGATACTACAGGGGGCAACATGTGAATTATGTTGAAGCTATTTAATAGGGACGATAGAAAAAACTCTTTAGCCTGTTCAACCAGAGCCCACTTATCCGAGACTCAACGAAGCGTGAGGTGCTTTTGAGGTATTAAAATAAGTCTTTATGACACCAAACAAGCACATGCTATTATTGTGATGACTACACGCCTGCCATGAGCATGTTATATGCTCATTTCAATACCTGAAAGTCATCTCACGCTTCGTTGAATCCCAGGCCTTTGCGGACAGCCCCTTAAAACCAATAGCCGCTAGGAAAGTATTTCGCGTGAACGCGAGGTTACACGTGATTGCTATTAAACCTTGACCCTTCTCAGCCAGTCAGCAGAACCATCTTACCAGCAGCCATTCACAATATCGTAAAAGCAACTGCTCCATTCCAGAGCGTGAATTCATTGAATTAACTTCATGTCATATACGTTTTGAATTTCGTTATAAAAAATAACCGTGCACGGAATTTGAATTTATCGACACATGACTCAAACAATGGTTTTCACCATGCTTAAAGGAAGATAAAACATGATCTTGAAAGTGCACTAATCCGCGCCGATAAAAAGTCTTGGGTTTTGCAATGGTACCTGCATGGTCAAGCCTAGTTCTTCAGATCTTGCTTTTCCTTCTGGTGTCCAAGGAGCTGGCTCCTGAAAAAGATTACATTGATATAATACTATTGAATTATTGGAAAATAATTACATTAGATATAGTACCCCACCATGACTGACATCGTTTGATTAAGAATTTCACTCCTATAGTACATATATTAAAAACCTTAAGATCTACGACGACGACGACTGCACATCGAATGTTTAACGTCCCCAGATCCCCGCTGTTTACAGCGGAGGTTTCGCGTTTTACGTTGAATTTGAACGTCAGCTTCAAGTTTTGACAGGTGCAACTTGAGAATCGGTTTAATAAAAGCTTTCCTGCTTTCCTAATAAAAGTGGTATTTTAACTTTTTAATTTTGTACTAAATTCATAAATTTTCTTTTCGACCATGCAATAATTTCATTTGAAGTTCTTTTTAGCCGTCGTCGTCGCGTCAACGTCCTAAATCTTAAACTCCCTTTTATCTTCTAATGCCTGGTTTCCATTTAGTCGTGAGAGTCGTGAACATGTCAAGGTGGATGATGTGATGGAATATTTCTATGTCTGTGCAGTCAACAATGACCGATTTGAATACAGAAATAAAGACAAATTTACATCCGGACTATTTCTCATCGGTGAAAAGGACTTGTTCACGACAATTAGTTTTAAAAGCATACACGATGTTCAATACGTTGCAAAATAAGCAAAAAGTTTAAAGGAAACAGATTCACTTCGTACCTCGTCGTCACGGCGAAGCAAATAACGCCTTACAAGATATCCAGACTGACCCTTCTCAGACCAGTATTCGACTACCTAAAATACAATATCATCAATTAAAATTCTGCAATTAAAATATTGCATTGCGAACATCGACACTCCTTAGACTTAGTGTAACTGAATATTAATTGAGAGCTAAAAAATATGGTGCAAATTTTTTTCAAAATTGAAATTGTTATACCAGACTTCGCCAGGGCCGTCCTTTTAGCCTCGCTTCAATAAAGAGGATTCTCGTTTTAAACTAATCGGTATATTTGTTTACATTTTCAGGCTAAACGAATCTCAATGCCTAAATTTATAAGTACTTCATGTAAAATGGTAAATAATGTACCTCCTTACTAGAGGAGTAAAAATTTTGCATTCTGATTGGATTACTGAATATGCAAACAAAATTTGCTGATTGGTTTAAAACGAAATTCCTCCTAGTTTTTCGCTCCCCTTCAGTGCATTCCCAAAATATGACAAAATCAAAGCTCTTTATTTGGAATTATCCACCTTATATAAACCATCGTATCTGTTGCCTTGTTCCGGAGCATAAGTCGAATGTCGTCTGAATTTACTGCTGCGGATCTACAAACGATTTTAAAGTTATTTAAAATTTATAAATAGAAGAAAAATCAATACGTAATTCACTTCACTAAGTGATTTCTGAAATTCAAACTATCGCACTACAGAGGGCTCATTCAGACTTCTAGAATTCGGAATGTAAAATGCGGCTCTTTGGCTATTGGTCATTTAACATAGATGGTCATTCAAATTATTACAATTATTTAAATTTTACTGCCAATGTAACTGCGAAAGACACATGGTTAAATTTTAATTGCGGGAAGGGGGCATTTGGGATTGTAATTCCGAAGGATCAACAAAAAAAATCTAATAACAATAGCTTCCTGTTAACAACAATATTTCTGAAATTTCCTATAAGAGAAGGCGAGTTAAAAAAAACACCCTTGAACAATCATGCAAAAAGAAAAGTGCACTGTAATCTAGGTTTACGGTACTGCAAATTACAAAACGGTTTAAAAATTTGGATATCACAACAACATCACGATATGAACGTAGATGACTTACCACTCTGACAGGTTTTCCCGCTTTCCAGTCTTTCGCTGTAACTTTTCCCTTCTCTGACAAGGGCGCAGCGCAATTCCTAGCTAGAGCTTTATTCATCCTCGTCAAAATTTGATCACACGTTTGTTCAGCAGTGCGTTTGTTTCCAGATAAGTCTCGACCACCGCTACCGGTGTAAAGAAATTCTTCGCCCCTATCCTGCGGGAGAAACAGCAAAATATATATTTCTGAATCAACAGTGACGCCCTGTTACACGGTACAACTTTTCGTACAACCTAACTTGCAATACCATTTCACTTTTGAGAGATGTAAATTTGGTAACTACCAACCTTTTGTGTTTATTAAACTGCAAGGATTTCCTTACACATTGAAGACTATTCACAAATTTACATCTTTTAAAAGTAGAATTGCATTGCAAGTTTCACCGTAAATTACAGGGCTTTAAACAACTTTGCGATTCTTCAAAACCAAAGACATGATTGAAAAATATGCACTCAAAGAGTGCATAAGGATTTGCAAAACGCAAACAATTTTTTGTTAATTGCGAATGGCGATTGCATGAACATAGGCAGCCCAATGTTATGGTTGCCTGCGCACGGGCACATATGGCGTAGTGATAGTTATATAATAGTATATAAAACCAATTCCCGAACATTCAAAGCCATTTCCTCAACGTTTAACCTGCTTGTATTTTTCAGTTATATTAAAATTGTTGAAGATATTTTAACGTTTTTAAAGACAAACGCAGTATGTATTGATAAACGCACGACGAAATTGTTTCCATGCTTCCGCTACAAGCAATTATATTTTCTAAATTTTCATGAGTGAAAAATGGGACTATTAAATGGAGACACAACCTTCAATTTTGTATAAAACCCCGCTCCTTTAGTTTAGCGAATTTGGCTTTTAGGACCTTTCCTACTTGTATTCCCAGCACAAAATAACCATTTATCCCTTCGCTTAGCTCTAGAAAATTGGCTAAATCTTTAGTTGTTCGTGCATTTACGAAAATAAGCGGTATTTTTTTGCCCAAAAGATCGCAAATATTCACAAACTGATTCAACGGTAATGGCGGATAAGAGTTTCCGACGGTTCGCGAATTTTTGAGTCCTCGGAAGATATCGTAGTTACGTCACATTCTTACTATCTATCTATCTTACACAGACGATGACATAAAGGATTTTGCTTAATAAGCAAATCCTTAAAAACTGAAACCTACCAAGTCGTCTTCGTAACCACCAGCCAAGACGATAGAGAAGGCCCCCTCCGTATCACGTCCATGAATACCGCTGACATGAGGTCTGTGGACTCCGGCTTCACTTGCCTTTACAAAATAAACAAAGCTAAACATACATACACGTGAAGTATGATAACATGAAAAATACAGCGAAGTTACGGGGGTGAAGATTTCACCCGGGCGTGAAGAAGGCTGATAATTATAAATAATTACAATTTCGTGGAGCAACCTCTGACAAATGCTTTTAAATTTGCGGGCTCAACCTTCCTCTAAAATCGTCCGGGTGAAATCGTCATTCAACGGCATGACGGGCCGAATTTTGAATTTGGGCGGTCCACTTAATCTCTCAGTCACGCATTATTCGTGAAATATGACAACCCAACATAGCTCGTATATTTCCACCAGAAACTTACACCAATTCTGAATAACCACGAAGAGCCGACGGGTATTCCTGGTATTGCACCAAAATGATTTGACGGTACAACTGTGCACTGTTTCGTCCTTCCAACACATGCCATTCCCTAGAGGAAAATATTGCTGCATTATACGCCCATGCAAGACTTACACCTAAGAGCCCAAGAGAAGACGATTTTGATCATTGCATTCAGGTGATTTGAAAAAGCGGGGAAGGACTGGGACTAGTTGTGAAATAAAAAGCCATTTCTCGGTTGAAACAACTTTTATATCTCTTGAAATATACTTTATTTCAGTTTAAATTTATGTCAGAACAATGCAGTGTTGGTAAGTCAGGATTCAGTTCAGAAAAAATAGGCACTCAAAGAGTGCATAAGGATTTGCAAAACGCAAACAATTTTTTGTTTATTGTAAATGGCGATTGCATGAACCTATATATAGGCAGCCCAATGTTATGGTTGCCTGCGCACGGGCACATATGGCGTAGTGATAGTTATATAATAGTATATAAAACCAATTCCCGAACATTCAAAGCTATTTCCTCAACGTTTAACCTGCTTGTATTCTTCAGTTATATTAAAATTGTTGAAGATATTTTAACGTTTTTAAAGACAAACGCAGTATGTATTGATAAACGCACGACGAAATTGTTTCAATGCTTCCGCTACAAGCAATTATATTTTCTAAATTTTCATGAGTGAAAAATGGAACTATTAAATGGAGACACCACCTTCAATTTTGTATAAAATCCCGCTCCTTTAGTTTAGCGAATTTGGCTTTTAGGACCTTTCCCACTTGTATTCCCAGCACAAAATAGCCATTTATCCCTTCGCTTAGCTCTAGAAAATTGGCTAAATCTTTAGTTGTTCGTGTATCTACGAAAATAAGCGGTATTTTTTTGCCCAAAAGATCGCAAATATTCACAAACTGATTCAACGGTAATGGCGGATATTAGTTTCCGACGGTTCGCGAATTTTTGAGTCCTCGGAAGATATCGTAGTTACGTCACATTCTTACTATCTATCTATCTTACACAGACGATGACATCAAGGATTTTATAATATAACATTTATAGTACCCGCGTGCTGATTGGTCGAGGAGCGTGTTTCTATAACTGTATAGAAACACGGGAATTTTCCCGCCGAACTTGACAAGCGAAGCGATGTAATGAGAATTTGTAATTGAATCGAATTATAATATTTGTACAAAATCTTTATATTAAGTTATATTATAAAAGAAATAGAAAAATTTTTTCCTGTGTTTCCTACAGTTATAGAAACACTTGTGGGAGTTTGGGAGAACTCGAAATAACGTGGAAAAACTCGCCCTACGGGCTCGTTTTCCCACTGATTATTTCTCGTTCTCCCAAACTTCCACGCGTGTTTCTATTTAACAATTAGACAACGAGTCTGAGTTGTCTATGAGCGAATAGTCAACGAAGGCGAAGCCTGAGTTGACTATTCGCTCATAGACAACGAAGGAGAGTTGTCTAATTGTTTTAGTATGCACCCTGTATATTAATTTCGAGAAAATAATCGATACACCGCAATTACACCGAAAAATAATTCAATTTTATACGGTCGCGCGAGCGAAATTTTTCCCAAGCGTGCACCATCACGAATAGACAATGGTTGAGTAGCCAATCAGAATGTAGGATTTGTAATAGACAATAGTCGGGTGTATACTAAAACTGTTTAGTATAATTTCAGTATTGAAAAATGACCTTTGAGCATTCTGATTGGCTCCCTCGGCAGTAACTATGAGGCAATAGTTACTGCTCAGAGCAGTCTGAGCAGTAACTATTGCTTTTCCCCAAAAAACATGGCTGAAAATACTCAAAATTGTTAAATTTGAACTACATAGTTCGGCTTTAAAGCAAGAAACACACTACATATTCATGAGATAATATATTATAAACTGACAAAACCAGATGAAACGAAATAACAACGTGTTTGACAAAAGTCACATGATCCAAAACTGATCTATATATATGAAACTGTATTACAGTTCCTTTTTCGTATCTAATAATCTTCAACACTCCCTCTCGAAAAATATGAACTGTAATATACATAAATCCTGTCCGTTAAAAGGTTTATAGCTTAGTTTAACTTAACTCCCATTAGTCCTCTCATTCGTTGAAACATTGTCTTTCCCAATGGTTTAGTCAACAAGTCCGCCAACATGTCGCCAGTAGGACAATATCCAAGAGCAACTTCCTTGTTATCTACTTTATCGCGAATATAATGGTATTTAATGTCGATATGCTTCGTTCTAGGATGATACTTTGGATTCTTCGATAGTGCGATAGTTCCTTGATTGTCTTCTTTGATTAATGTTGCCTTCCTCTGAACAAAACCTATTTCTCCGAGTAAAGCACGTAACCAAACTGCTTCTTGGCATGCTAATGTTGCCGCAACATATTCTGCTTCAGTAGAAGAAAGTGCCACAACATTCTGTTTTTTACTTGCCCAACTGATAACTCCTCCGCATAATGTGAATAGATATCCCGATTGTGATCTACGTCCATTTGGGTTACTTCCCCAATCCGCATCCACATAGCCACTTAATTGGATATCTGTTTCTTCAGTTCCATCGAATGTAACCCCGTAACCAATTGTTCCTTTAATGTATCGTAAAATACGTTTCGCCGCTGTCCAATGTTCTTCTCCTGGATTTGAACAAAATTGATTAACCATTCCTAATGCTTGAGCGAGATCAGGTCTAGTAGCAGTAACCGCGTAAGTTAATCCTCCAATTAACGCTTGATACTTGGTTTTCTCGACTGGTTCTCCATCATTAGGTAGTAATTTGGTTCCTTGATCAGCAGGCGTTGCAACTGGTTTGCATTCTTCCATTCCAAATTTCTTTAGCAAACTCGTAAGATACTGTGACTGATGTAATTTCATTCGTCTCTTCTCTCTATCGCGTTCAATTTGAATGCCAAGGCAATAATGAACTTCTCCAAGATCTTTCATTTCAAAACGTTTTCCTAACGCTTCTTTTTCTCTTTGTAGCATCGTCGTAGCGTTGCTAGCTAGTATGAGGTCGTCAACATACAAAGCGATAAGCATGATATCATCTCCCTCTCGCTTTATGTACAGGCAAGGGTCTGAGCTTGATTGAACATAACCAGAGTTCTTCAGAAATTGATCAATGGTGTTATACCAACACCTTGATGACTGCTTAAGTCCGTAAATGCTTTTGTTTAGCTTACAGACTAACTCTTCTTCTCCTTCTTTTATATATCCCTCTGGTTGAGTCATGTATATCTCTTCTTCCAATTCACCGTTCAAGAAAGCTGTAGAAACGTCCATCTGATGTACTTCTAAGTTTAATTGGTTTGCGATTGCCAACAATGAACGAATTGATTTATACTTTGCCACTGGTGAAAACGTTTCTTCATAATCCAAACCAGCTTCTTGTGAGAAACCTCTTGCAACTAGACGAGCTTTATGGCGCTCAACAGATCCGTCCGCATTGTATTTGACTTTGAATACCCAACGACTATCGATAGCTTTCCGACCTTCAGGTAAGTTTTCTAATGTCCATGTATTGTTCTTTACATGTGCAGAGTATTCGTTGTCCAGTGCTCGTTTCCACTGTGCTTTGTTAGAACTGTTTAGAGCGTCACCTACTGTTGCTGGCTCATCGAAGTTGTATTCGTTATCCGCACACGCTGTGTTACTTTGCCACCAATTACCAGTAATCGATACACCATGCCTATCCGGCGGTTCTCGTTTGCGAGATGAGCGTCGCGGTTGTTCCTTTACTTCAGTTTCTTCCTGGATATCTGATTCGTCAGGACGATCAATCGTGTCTTCATTTCGTTGAGTTGATGGTATTGACGTCTGATTGATCTTCTGTGGTTCTTCCTCATGATCAGAGTCACTCAGGGTTATCATTTCTTTCTTCTTTTCACGTCGGATAAATTCATCTTCATCAAATAAAACATCTCTGGACACATGAATTTTTCGAGCTTTCGGATCATAAAGTCTATATCCCTTACTTGAAATACTGTATCCTACAAATATGCATCTCTTTGTCTTTGAATCCCATTTCTTTCTGTCTTCTTTGGGAACATGCATATATGCTTTGCATCCAAATACTCGGAATTGAGACACGTCTGGTTTCTTTCCATAGAAGCTCTCGTATGGTGTCATGTTTTCCACCGCAACTGTAGGACTTCGATTTCTGATTATGACTGCTGTGTGAACTGCCTCACCCCAAAATTTCTTATCGAGTGCTGCATTGTGCATCATAGATCGTGCAGTTTCTTGAATTGTTCTATTCATTCTCTCTGCCACTCCATTCTGCTGAGGGGTTCTGGGTACACTGAGTTGACGTTGAATTCCCTTTCTTTGAGGTAATTGATAAATTCTTTTGAGATGTATTCACCACCATTGTCTGATCGAAGGATTTTGATTTTTCTCCCCGTATGATTGGTAACCATTGCTTCAAACTCTTTGAACTTCTCCAGCACTTCATCTTTGGTTTTCATAAAATAAACTGCTGTGAATCTGGACTTATCATCAATAAAGGTCACAAAATAACGATTACCACCAAGACTGTTCTCTTGCATCGGCCCACAAACGTCACTGTGTACAATTTCAAGAATTTCTTTAGCTCGAGTTGCTTCTCCCTTGGGAAATGATGCTCTCTTCTGTTTGCCTTGCGCACAGCCTTCACAAAACTCAGGTTTATCAGCTGTTTGGAACTTTAGTCCAGACACTAATTCTTGATCTTTCAATAATCGCAAATTGTTCGTACTTAAGTGTCCATACCTTTGATGCCACAAATCTTCAAGATGCTCATTCTTAGCAACATTGACATCATGAGAATCAACACTCTTTACACTCACATCAAGGACATACAGATTGTTTTGCAGCTTACCAGATCCCATCATATTCCCACACTTATCAAGAATGACACACCCACTCTGATTAAGTTTAATTGAATATCCTCGCTTAGCAGCCGCACTTACTGAGAATAGATTCTTTGCCAGGTCTGGGACATACAAAACATCAACCAATCTTGCACGTTTGTACTCATTGCCAGTTTTGATATTAAGCCAAATATTCCCTTTACCTAATGCTTGAACAACTCGATTATCCCCCAAACGAACCTTTTGTGAATTAGTGAAATCAACATAGTCCACCATCATTTCCTTGTCATATGACATGTGCTGTGAAGCACCCGAGTCAATGTACCACGTCAAATCCCTGTGATTTTGACTTTCTGATGACCAGAATGATGCATGTTCAGTAGATGCATTATATGATGAACCTTCTTTCCTTTCTTTGTCTTCTTTCGATTTGTCCCTTTTTGGTTTACGACATTCTTTTGCCCAATGTCCTGGTAAGCCACAGTTGTGACACTTACCCTTTCTTTTGCTTCGGAAATTCTTGTGATTACCTCGATCACTCTTAGATAACAAGGCCTTCTCTCCAGTATCTGGGCTTGACAGATTTTCCTTTCGCTTGCGTTCCTCATGAAGTAACCTGGCTGTTAGGAATTCTAATGTTAAGTTATCAGCACGGGACTCTAGAGCAGTGATCAAACCATCATACGACTCAGGCAGACTACATAAGAGCGTCGCAACTTGGTCATCCTCCATTATGGATGCACCTACAGCTTCCAGTTGACCTGCCAGCTCTTTCATTTTATTGATATGCTCAGTCATCGACTCATCAGCCCCCATAGACATCGTAAAGTACTTTTTACGCAAAAACAATTTATTCGCTAATGACTTAACTTCGTAGTGACTTTCCAATTTGGCCCATGCCTCTTTTGCAGTTGTAGCTGAACGAACTAACGATAATTGTTCATCCCCCAATGATAAACAAATCGTCGCGAGAGCCTTTCTTTCTCGCCTTTGGAATTGTCGGCGTTGAGCATCAGTAATTTCCTCGCCCGTAGGTTCGATCTCGTCGCCTTTTACAATGCCCCATAGGTCTTTCTCTTCAAGTACCATTTGAAGTTTAAATTTCCAAAGGTGAAAGTTCTCCCCGCGGAACTTTTCAATTCGCAACAACGATGCATGTTCGTCACTAGTTCCTGACGCCATGATTAAACTTCGTAAATATATTGGCCCCAAACTCGTTGATTTCGCATCAAATCTCTCATATTAAACTCATAAAAGCCGAACGGCGTCTCTGGGCCCATAACCTGTTAAATTTGAACTACATAGTTCGGCTTTAAAGCAAGAAACACACTACATATTCATGAGATAATATATTATAAACTGACAAAACCAGATGAAACGAAATAACAACGTGTTTGACAAAAGTCACATGATCCAAAACTGATCTATATATATGAAACTGTATTACAGTTCCTTTTTCGTATCTAATAATCTTCAACAAAAATCGTTTTGGAAAAATTTCGGAAGCAGAAATTGAGAACATAAATCAGTTGTATTTATAAATAAAACTTTTTCAATACTGAAATTATACTAAAACAATTAGTCGCCTCAGGCTCGGTGATTGCAAGCCTATATTCACTTCGCCTTCGGCTCAGTGAATATAGGCTTGTAATCACCTCGCCTTCGGCGACTAATTGTTAAATAGAAACACGGAAAATGTTTTCTATTTCTTAATTGCTTAATAAGCAAATCCTTAAAAATGACACAGCCTCATTTCCAATTCAAAACGCTTAAAAACGCTATTGGGTATTCATTTCAAAAGAATATTTTCACATAAAAATCTACCAATTTGATTTCAAACCGTGGCAGAATCACTTGACAGATCACAATTGAAAAGAAAATCAAGCAAAAACCGTGCTAGAGAATTTTTTTCAATCGAACGAAATTTCTCATTGTAACAGGCATTTTTTTGTAACAAAACTTACTCGACCCCAATCGCGCTCGGTGTTGGAGTTTGCGGACGCCATTTTCTGTTTCTTTTTGTTTGCTCGTAGCTTCTCACCAGCTTTGATCACCTCTGACGCGTCATTTTTACACGAGGGACAATACCTAAACCAATGTATATGCAGTGTGAGAGTTGAAACATGTCCTACAGAGAGTGGATATTTCAGTACTAGAGATGAATCATGAACACGTTCTTTACTTGAGATTATAGTCAGGTTATATCAGAGATATAACAGGAAATTTGATTTGCCAGCGCGCCTGTATTGCAGGCCGATTTGTACGCTTCGAGTTCTTTCTTTTTCCCGCTAATACATATATTCAATTAAAAGAATAATACATAATTATATTCAATTAAAAGAACAATACATATATTCAATTAAAAGAATAATACATATATTCAATTAAAAGAATAATACATATATTCAATTAAAAGAATAATACATATATTCAATTAAAAGAATAATACATAATTATATTCAATTAAAAGAATAATACATAATTATATTCAATTAAAAGAATAATACATATATTCAATTAAAAGAATAATACATAATTATATTCAATTAAAAGAATAATACATATATTCAATTAAAAGAATAATACATAATTATATTCAATTAAAATAATAATACGTATATTCAATTAAAAGAATAATACATAATTATATTCAATTAAAAGAATAATACGTATATTCAATTAAAAGAATAATACATAATTATATTCAATTAAAAGAATAATACATAATTATATTCAATTAAAAGAATAATACGTATATTCAATTAAAAGAATAATACATATATTCAATTAAAAGAATAATACATATATTCAATTAAAAGAATAATACGTATATTCAATTAAAAGAATAATACATAATTATATTCAATTAAAAGAATAATACATAATTATATTCAATTAAAAGAATAATACGTATATTCAATTAAAAGAATAATACATAATTATATTCAATTAAAAGAATAATACATAATTATATTCAATTAAAAGAATAATACGTATATTCAATTAAAAGAATAATACATATATTCAATTAAAAGAATAATACATAATTATATTCAATTAAAAGAATAATACATACAGTAGGAGGCAAAAGTTTGAGTCCAGTCGTTGTAGAATTCCAGTATTAAATCCTGGCAGCGTATTGGAGTTAAGACATGCGTGCTAGTGTTTCAGTACTGTAAACTATATTAATTGCACACTGTTTTGGTCCTAATGATCTAAATTATAACAAAATAAAGTTCTCATTCCTTTACACTGCCCAAGATGGGTAGGAAAAAGGGCAAAGTTATGGTGCACAAGGACAAATAGTTCCATTAAGTATTGAAGGATTCTTTCCTCGTAAGATCGCAGAAGAAGTGAGAATTTAAAAAGGTGGTATGCAACTAACCTTGGAGAGGTTCGAAGAAACTAAATCCTACTCAAGCAAACTTTTAGCTGCTTTGGTCATGCTCGGTTTGGCAATATTGAAAGATATAATAGGATCCTAATTAAAGAAAAGTATCATCCAATTCTTCAAGGACATGGAATTTCATCTGGTACAAAGATGATCGCACGTCTAACTACATGATAATCACCCTAAGCACATGCACATCTTCTATGTGCCAGAAATCGTTTAGAAGCAAACTCATTCTGGTGATCTCGTTGTCATGGCTTTCCACCTCATATTCCAGATCTAAAACCTATGGAGCACTTGTAGAACCGTTTTAACCGGAAGAGGGCGAGGCACAGACCCGCCAGCCAGGCTGACTTGAGGCAAGTGGTCAACGAATGCTGGCAAGGTATTGAACGTGTGACATTAAAAAACCTATGGAATCTATGCGAGCAAGAATAAAGGTCATTTCAAGAGCAAAAAAGAGGGAACTAAGCAATGACATGTAAATGCATGTTTGCACATTAAAATACGTAAAAATGAATATCATAACATCTCATAGTTGTTGTACAGCATGTATTTTGCTGTTTACTTGTTTACTTTTTTCTAGTTCACTTATCGGTAAGGTTTTCTGTAGAATATTAATATATGCTGCTGAAACAAAGAAATACAGTCACTGGACTCAAACTTTTGCCTCCTACTGTATATTCAATTAAAAGAATAATACATAATTATATTCAATTAAAAGAATAATACGTATATTCAATTAAAAGAATAATACATAATTATATTCAATTAAAAGAATAATACATAATTATATTCAATTAAAAGAATAATACGTATATTCAATTAAAAGAATAATACATATATTCAATTAAAAGAATAATACATATATTCAATTAAAAGAATAATACGTATATTCAATTAAAAGAATAATACATAATTATATTCAATTAAAAGAATAATACATAATTATATTCAATTAAAAGAATAATACGTATATTCAATTAAAAGAATAATACATAATTATATTCAATTAAAAGAATAATACATAATTATATTCAATTAAAAGAATAATACGTATATTCAATTAAAAGAATAATACATATATTCAATTAAAAGAATAATACATAATTATATTCAATTAAAAGAATAATACCGGGTGTCCCAGAAAAAAGTACTCCGGTTTGATTCATAATAGCTTCTAAACTAGCTAAGCTATTAAACTGAAATAACTTTCACTAGATAGAGGGAAGACTAACTTAGATTTTGATATATTACTGTTGCATTTTACTCAAACATTTACGGATTTATCAATGTTGAAAATTGACAGCATATTTCTGGTTGTGTGTCTAAATTATGCAAAAAACGCCGTATCAAATATTAATCAAAATTTTCTCAACTGAAACATGCACTATTAGCAGTAAATAATGCAATATGCGACTTTTTTCTTCGGGGATACCTTAAGCAGCAAATTTGGATTGTACCACACAATCAGCAACAGCAGAATTTAGAAGAGCTTTGCAACTCAATATTGTAACAGCATGCGGTAATCTAGAACAACGAATGATCCATGCATGACTCCTTTGAAGCAATGGTCTCACGGGTTAGGGAGTGCATTCGTGTTGGGGGACACGCGATTCCGAACGAATAAATCTCCCTTGTTTTTTGTAACTAATAATACTTCGTTTCATAATAAACAATTTGTCAAGTGTCATTTATCTACTGCTAATAGTGCATGTTTCAGTTGAGAAAAGCTTGATTAATATTTGATACGGCGTTTTTTGCATAATTTAGACACATCCAGAAATATGCTACCAATTTTGAACATTGATATCTCCGTAAATTTTTAAGTAAAATACAACTGTAATATATTAAAATCTAAGTTAGTCTTCCCTCTATCTAGTGAAGGTTATTTCAGTTTAATAGCTTAGCTAGTTTAGAAGCTATTATGAATCAAACCGGAGTACTTTTTTTTGGGACACTCGGTACATATATTCAATTAAAAGAATAAATTATGAATCATTGTAATTGGAAACTTTCATAAGTATTTGTCACCAAGTTCGTATCATATAATTGTTAATTCCTGAAAGGAGATCAAAGCACTCAAAAGTGTGTTATTCCATACAGTAATTATCTTCAGACCATACTATTCTAGTAATTATCTTCAGACCATACCATTCATCATCGTCAGGAACAGTCAAGAGAGGTGGTTTTAAACACTGGATATGGTACGCCATGTCACATTCATCGCACAAGATCTGCTTATCAGGTTCGTCTTTGCCACCACACTACAAGATAGCAGGACTAGTTAAAATGAAGCTTGTGTTGTCAAGAATTTGCCACTTTGCATTTCTGGAAGGAAAGGATTACTCCACAGCTTTCCATGGTATATAAAACAATGTTTAGGAAAATTCTTTTTTTGCGATAAAGAAGACAAGGGAACGTAGGTTAAATCCATAATTTAAATGTCCGAAGTAAATTTTTTTGTTGGACCTAAAAAAAGTACGACATACGATGCCTCCCCGTTGGCCATACTCCACGACGTGCAGTAACCTAGTACATTCTACAATCTTTGATAGACGATTGATTTATATTATACCTTACAGCATGCACATAGTTTGCATAGCTTCAATGGATCATCCTTGCACTGGCTGCAGTCTGGTTTGTTTTGGCCTGAAATAAGAAGGAAAAATGACGAGTTACATAGCGAAGGACTCGAAGAAAGAAGCACATGTCATGTGTGGGGGAGGCAAGGCAAATGATAGCTTTCTTAGCGTGAATTTACCTTCTTACTGAAGTATTGAAAAGTTGCAAATATATAACATACACACAAAAATAAGGTAAAGTAAGCCTACATGTTTTGCTATACATAATTTACCCAATATTACATTTTTTAATTATTTAGTTTTTGTAATTCATGCAATAGGTCATATGAGATGATAAACCTCTGCATTTACGCGAAAACGGTATGAAAATTATTGAAGAATTTAATTAACCTGAACACGTTGGTCATATTCGGCAAATTTTCTCCCGGTAAAGAGGGCTCAGTTTTCCAGCGGTCTTCGCATGAAAAATTAAAAGCTTTTCGTTTTACGCCTTGCTCTCAATTTTGTGTAAGTTGTCCGCTGACAATATGAGCCTGCACGAGTGGGAGAAACTTAGCTAAGTTGGACCTGCGTGGAACTTTTGCAATTTCAAAGTTCGGAAATTCGATGTAATCTTTTGCCTAATTTCCGATGGATATTCCTTGCACCATTAGCTTTTCCGACCGGAATTTCCGATTTCCCAGTATAGATGGTACGTCTTTTGCTTAAGGGGTCAGCGTGGTAAAACAAAGTTTACATAACTTGCCCTAATATAAACAAGACGCCGTTCTGGCGTTCGTGCCAGTCTTCAATATAGAGCTTCTGAACATAAACAATACAGTTCGCGTATTGTTTCGCATACATATTCGCATTTAGATGCCTTGCGAACCTAAATGTTCGATCGCGAAATTCAGAAGCACATCGCAGTATAGAAGTTCAATTGTTCAAAAATGTAAATAAACCGCATGATACATTCGCTTCGTCTTACACTTTGCCTTTGGAATTCGCGCTTATATAGTTGTATTAAATCTTCGATCCTGTGCAAACTACGCGACGTGTCAACGCGCCCATACACGACCACATCATCTTGTTAAACGGCAAAATAGCAGCGATATTATTAAAATAGGACCGGGTCTACATGTATTAAATATATTCTTACCCCAATTCAATCTAAACTTAATCGAACAGCATGAAAAGAACGGTTTATTTGTTCCTCTTGGAGGAATTGCCGTATCATGCGAGCGAAATCGATTAATCGAATCGCGCATTGGAAAATTAGCCAAAGCTGTGCACCACAACTCTTGGGAGATAAGACTGGGACGTAGATAAATACGGTCACATACACATTTTAAATACTAGTATATTTCGCGCCATTACAGACTTGCGACGACGAAAAATAATAAAAAAAAAATAAAAAAAAAACAAAAACAAAACAAAACTGGGGCAAATTTTCAACTCCGTCGCTGACGCCGGAGTAATAATAAATACTGTAAACGTACGTTTTACAATCGAAGTTCCATCTTGAGAGCATTCAGCCCCATCTAAAGAAATTAATTAAATATCATATATCATACAAGGGATGGACCGAGGGCGGTCTTGTACGACAGGGGGGGGGGAGGGGCGGGGGTGCAGACCTGTTGTCACATCGTGGTATACAAGTACCAGCTGTACAAGAATGTATGTTTGTTCGAAAAAAAATGTAAAAATGAAAGAAGGTGCCACCTAATGATTGTCAGCGCCCCATGCAGGACTTTGGATTTTTAAATACACGAAAATAATTACTACTTGGTACTGTTCTTATTACATGGTTAGATAATGTCGAATTATCAATGGCACCACCACCACCACAGTAATTCACATAAATTTCATTTAATAATAAAATCAGAAAAAATTCTCACGCTTTTTAACTCACTGTGTTTTTTGTTGTTTTTCAACACCCTCCTCTCTCGTTATCATTAGCTTGAACGCAGAAGTCGCAGACCTACGTTTTGTTCGCCTTAAAATTCACCGGGAGACGCAAAGCGGGCGGAACGTGTAGGCCTGTGTTCAGGCTAGTACTCAGGTAAACCATTCCGTCTCACCTTTAATACTCGGAATCTTGAATATCTCATCTATGAACAACAGTTTGCATTCCTGAGCTACTTCGTTATCATTTTCCTGGCTAAAACAAAACGGTAATAAACTGTTTTATCAACCACATTTCATTCGTCCCAAACATTCACGTTGGGAAGACTCAAGTGTTGAAATGCTGGAAGTTTAGAAATTGGCGTATATGGAAACATTCTGAAATTCAAAATACGGTTCATACAAATTACATCAGCTAGAAAATCTTCGTGCGCTTTAGACAAATAACATGGACACTTACCAAAGTATTAGTTTCGCAAAGAGTTTTTTGCTTTTGCGTGTTGACGATTCCTCCTGATCAGACGAAGTAAAATATGAAGCAGTTAAGTTCAGGACTTCTATACATTGCAATGTCAAAGTAATGTATAAATCTCAGTTAATCCATTTGTAATTTAGATTATAGCATCCATTAAATATATCCTGGGTAAATTAACCGTACTTTCTGGTTAATTATATATAGCCCCAAATATAATTAGTTACGGGATTAATTAGCACAAATAAAATTAGTTACGGGATTTTTTTGATTTTTTTTTTTTTTTTTTTTTTTAAATTAGTTACGGGATACCCATTTTAGCCGTGCCTAAATTTCGTGTAATGTAAACGGGGCTATAATTAACCGGAAAGTATAGGGTTCATTTACCCAGACAACATATTTCCTGATTCCCGATTTAAAAAAAAACTTTTATGTTTTTACTGGAAAGTTATCAAGTAAAGCATCCTAACCAGGACAATGAACCCTTATTGGAGCGTGGGGATAAGCGTAAACAGGCATAGCAAGGAAAGTCCTGAAATAGAATCCTCGTATAATAGACGTTGTTATATAGGTCCTGTTTATTTTAAATGTGATTGGTCCATTCGTAGTCACATGACTTTAAATAAATGCAATGTTTCCCGCCAGGGAGGGAAACAGGTGAAAAATTGTTGCCCGCATATTGTCATAACAAAGTAAAGTGGCTTACTTTGCGGGTTATTTCAACGTCATACCAGAAACCTCGTTCTTTTGGTTCGTCCGTGTTATAGTTTGCCATCACGACCTGACCAACATTTAACTTAAAATAAAAACAACTATCAATGGATGAGGAACTATCATTAAATGAGGAACTATCATTGGATGAGGAACTATTATTAAATGAGGAACTATCATTGGATGAGGAACTATTATTAAACGAGGAACTATCATTGGATGAAATGCTATCAATGGATGAGGTTGAGAATTACAATGATATTGGCCAAGGGTATGGTTTTTTGTTGTACAACGAAATTTCAATATTGGAAGGAAATCGAAAATTGAATACAATAATTGTTTTTACAGTGTAAAGGGGCTATTCACCAGGGTGAATTTTTTGATGAAACAAAGTTATTCGCCTTGATTCTACTACTCTTCAATTGTGACCGATCAAGTTAATCTGCCGCGATCGAATGAACCTTTTGCATAATAGACCGGCAACTTTTGATTTAGGCAACAAAAAGGAAATTTCCGAAAAGTGCATACTAAATTTAGTAAAATTACCAAGTTTGGCTGCAAAATAAAGTACGAAAAATATATAGCCATGCGAAGTTGGCAATTTTGTAAACTTTTTACTACGGCCGGAAGTGTGTAGCTAAATTAGTATACTAAAAGGCTTCCGACCGTAGTAAAAAAGTATACAAAATTGGCTACTTTGCATGACTATATTTTCCGCAGTACTTGGCAATATCGTTCGATCGAAAAATCCCGCCTAGTGGAAAACCGCCCTTAGCTACAATATCAGAGTCTTCCGCGAAAGTGATGATCGGTTAAAGACCAGCTTTTAAATGTATGAAATTTTCGCACACTTTTCAGAAAACGAAGGGCAGCGCTGAGGCGTGGTTACCAGAGAGAAAGAGAGACAATAATAAATGATCAACAATATTGTATAGACTAGAATTTGACCAAGTGAGCCATTCTGAGCATGACATAGAGGGCCATTAAATGTTGTGAACTTTTATTAAGAATTGTAGTTATAAAGTAAATGTCGTCAATCTACAATAAAATTTGTTATAAAGAAAACAAGAATAATTTAAATTAACGAATTGTAGTTAATCAAAATAATAAACATGTTTTGAACGCACAGCTTGATTCAAATCGCTAAGTCACAGCACGCTGATTTATTGTAAATTAACAACATTTACTTTATTTTTTAAAACTTCACTACATTTGACGGATCACCTATGCTCTGAGGTGTTTGTGAAGCGGCTCTGTATATCTTACATATTGATATTTCAAACAAAATTAAAAATTTTGATAAAACGAGGTTTCAGACGATGTTATTGAAATTCTCGATAAATAATTTTTTCAGGGTTATTTGTTTTAAAATATCGTGAATACGTACATCCTCCCATGATAACTTTAAACTGGCTCTGGGTCTGATGTTATTTTCATGTAGTTTAGTGTGTTCATCTTCTTCATATCTGAAAAACATAAAAATTTAGCGGTAATGACGGGTCGGTTAAACGCCATTCCGACACTTGGCTTTAAGTTAAATAGCAAATAAAGTAAAATTTTACAACAGTTCCACACATTTTGTGAGTAAATGTACTTATTAAATTCCATGTGTGAATAGGGAATTGCAGATATAATCGTTTTCCTTGAGACTCAAGTGTCAGTTCAAACTCAATTTTATTGTTCAAAATGTACGAATTTGTTCAATTTTTTTAACTTAGTCACCATTTATTCTTAACATGCTAGACAACTTGCCTAGAAATGTACACTAAAATCACATTTAGACATTGAAAAATAGAACTTGTCTGGATATGGCTCTTTCAACCTCAACACTATGCCAACTCACTAACCATTATTTCTTCCTAAATCCACGTGGCCTCGTGCTTAATTTCGAAATGTGAGCTATATATTCGACTCACCCATCATATATAACATGATAAAGAATGGATGGTGGGTTAGAACTTTGATCAACTGAGAGTCCCACAACTTTAGCTTCAAACCAAGCTCCCATGTCACAATCTTTTGCATCCACCATATCATTCACCTAATGGGTAACATACACTGTTCATGCTGCTAATTTCCCTAACCAGATTCCCAAAATGCAAACAAGATCCAAACATTTACAGACTATTCTAAACCCCTCTGTCACTCTGTCCTAGGCTACAGGGATGCAAACTGAATCAAACTGAATGATAGAACCATGACAAGGGCTCTTTCAAGATTATTGCATGGGGGTGGGTGGGTGTCATTTTCCAAAGATGGACCTTCACCATCATTGGAATAACCTGTGTATTTTTCCTTGATGGTCAGCATCACAACAATGTAAACAAAACCAATTGAAGGAGATATATCAACTGCAAAATGAACTCTGAGCTCAACACATAAATTGAGAAATATAATGTGTATTGTGTAATTAAATATACCTTATACAATCCCTTTAGATCATGGTTACTGCTGTTATCTTGACTCTGAACAACATCCTTGATATTAATGACATATAATCACTGCAATTACAATCTGACCACATTTCATGAGGAAGTTTCAGACTTTCACATACTATTACAAACTAACCATGTATAATATAATTATAACAACTGCACAGGAAATAGGCTCTGATCAAGGGAACTTTCAATACTGCACACATTTAGGTATCAAAAGAAGAACAGAAATACCTAATTGCCACCACTGCATGGTGAAAAACATTGATATTTGGAACCATTAACACCCCCGGAAAATAGCTTTGCTATTGAAATATCTATCACAGATATTTAAGTAAAATATATTCCTAAAACATATTTGAGAGTTCTACTAATTTTAAGGTGCGCTAAAATTAACAACCTGTAGCTAAAATATTGCTGCATATTATCTTGATTGGGTTTTAAAATTTGGGCTCAACATATTGTAGAAGCTGTTCTACAAAAACTATTTTGATAAGTCTTCTAGTTGGATTCAATATTGCATATGGTGGCATTGTTAGAAAGCATCTTGCTTATTACAAAAGATAACATATATCATACATTTTTATTTTCATCTGATACATCGCTGTTTTCATTTAGTCCTTCCTCATCACAGCTAGAAGAACTTGATGTGCAAGGTAAATTGTACGAGGTATTAGCTTGTAACTCAGGCAGATCAACACGGACCATTAACTGAATTATATCATTGAGACCAACATCGTAATCAAATATTGTATGTCCATCCTCCAACTACAATTCAAAAACAGATGGAAAATATTATAAAGTACAAATCACAATTTAAGGGACCAGAAATTTGCTTTCTGCTCTGTGCATTGCAAATTAGCCTACTGTATCTGCTATTTGGTACACTGTATTACAAATGCTAGGTACTGCTTTATCTCAAAATCTGTCTTAAAACTCATCACAAGACGTCCAATGGTAGGAAGGCAATGGTGGGTTGGCCTGTTACCCTGATTATATACATGTTATTTACCAGAATGGAGGTCCGTATAAGGAAATATTTACCAAGGTCTCAGAAACAGCCTGAGGCTGAAGGATGTTTTTGGAACCGAGGGAAATATTTCCTTATACGGACCGACTAAACTGGTAAATAATAGATCAATTTTTTTCTTGCGGTCTGAATTCATATTTTAGTGTTGGCTCTGTGTGCTTTTAAATCTTGCGCAGTCCTTACGGCCTCATACGGAGCCGCTCACGTAGCCAATCAGATTGCAGGAAACGCTAAAACATGAATTCGGACTGCAAGAAAAAAATAAACTTATTTATGTGTATGGTGTGCATACATGCAATTCTTCACAAACATAATAGTTATTACACCGCACCACGAGACGAAAACGTTCACCTCAGACCTAGCTACCAAATAGCAATACTTTGCAACATACAAATTAAATTATTTATTTATGAATTATTAAACAGCAAGAAAATCCCCAACCAGAAATTCGAAGTCAGGTGTTACAGTTACAAACAAAGCTGTTACAGCATGTAAACTAGTGGTGGGCGATATTTCTTTAAAATATCGATACTTCCGATACTAAGAATTTGGTTGTTGGTATCGATACTATTTTTCAGTATCGATGATTTCGATATTAGGTTACGTGAGGATTACATGGAGTATTATCGACCTATGAAGCATTCTTCAGTGTTCTTCACGCTGCCCACCGATTGAGATCGACTGGGAACCCGCGAACAGGAGGCTGCGAGGAAGACCCACTGACAGTGGGAAGACCACGATCTGCATAAATTAGGTGAAAAGTGCCAGTATCGATATCGGTATCGTATCGAAAATATCGATAAAAAAATATCGATATCGTATCGAATCATAAAATCCCAGTATCACCCACCACTAATGTAAACGCACAGAAATAGGGCATATTATGCTTGCCGACATTGCAAGTATGGATATTGAATCAATAGAAAATACTCACTTCACTCCAAGGTGCTGCTTATACATAATCCTAGGTACCATGCAGGGACACTTTTCACTCTGAGACAACTTTACCAAGTGTTTATACATAATAAAATTTACCTCCTCAGTTTACTCTACCAGCTGAGAAAATCTAACATTTCGAGTTGCCTTTATAAACACTTAATTTTCTGATGCTATAATGTAAATATGTAATAACATTTACCTAGGGGGTCCCTGCAGGTACCTAAGATCATAAAAACAGGAGATACTTAATTAAGACATCTACAGTGAGCTAGTTCATATTTGAAGTTGCAAAATTGATTTACAATACAATTGAAAAATCCATTGTCCTTGAAGACTGCATTCCATATATATCTGGATGTATACAATCAATGGTAAAGCCTACTATTTCGTTGCCCACTGAACCTAAGGCTGATTTCCACTAGGTGAATTTGTTCGCACAAATAAGCAATTAACGAAAGTGGTTGGATAGTGATAAATTAGAATAACTCACAGTTAAAAAACTATTCTCACCCAAACCTAGTTGTAATTATGTTGCTGTTCTATAGATAATTATTGTTTTGTTGTAGATAATTCTTGTCTACAATCTAAGAAGGTCACATGCAACATGTGTATATACCCTGAAACCAGGCAACATGTTTACCCTAGAAGAATGGAATTTATTTTCTCTAATATTCTCTAATAATCTCTAGCTCTTTCTTACGTTTATAACACGAGATTTTTTGCTATTAAACCTGACTTGCTGTGCCGCAAAAAACCTTTGTTCTTAAGGGTATTTCCTCCCCACACCTTTCAGGAAGGAGACTGACCATTATGCAGGCACAAATGTTTAGCAAACACAGGGATAGGAACAGTCCAAATTTAACACCAAATAGGTAAAGGGGATTTCTTTTTTAAACTAATGTAATTAAAGAGTGATTTTCATGAAAAATCTTAACTAAACTTTCCCCATATTCTCAGCAGTCTTGGCTGACACTCTCACTTTCCAAAATGGAAGAATGATAATTGATATATATCAGCCATCAGACCTTTTTTAAATCGCGTAAATATCATTAGATTTACCTGTTTTCCTCGGTAAAACAGACGTTGCTTCACGGGTTCTACATCAAACAACGGTACAAGCCGTTTCTTCAGGTCATCAATCCTTGTTAGTTTGCTGAGGTTGTCTACCTGGGCAGATCGTTTACCATCCATGGTTCGTATTTGAATCCACATTGTGAAGGCCCTAGAAAGCAAAAATGTAAGGAAATGTCATTTTATATGATTTAAAATATGCACGAATGCAAATACTTAAAACAAAAAGCCGCACTTTATCCAGCAAACAGTAAACAGTAAACAATTCCTGGCACAAAATTGGCGATTACCCAGGCGACCATCGCAGCGCACACCAGTCACGCACTTCACTTTTGCTGGCAGTAAAGAAGCAATGGTTAAAAACAAACGCTTATAGGCAACATTTATGTATTTTTAGTTGGTTGTCTGATGCATTTATTAGTTGGGTATATATCTTCACAACCTTTCAATGCCTGGAAAATTTAATCCGCTGCGACAGCGACATACCTACATAACCACTCAATTTACAAAATGAAAAAATGCATTTATATTTGGTTGGCGTTCACAAAATACTCCAAAACAAAAGTCATATCGGATTTTTAATAATATCGATCACAGCAAGATCATTTAAATGTCTTAAATGTTTAAATTTTGCAGTTTGTTCGACCACGTGCGGCGAATCAGTACGTTCAAATAATATTAATACGGAGCTATTAAATAACATAAGATCGACCAGGTTTAGGCTATTAAATTATAAACACGATCACTCAAGCATATTAGAATGAACTAACCTTCGTAGAGACGATATTCCTTGAGGCGAAAATTTGTATAAAAGCGAAACCACAGAGAAAGATTCAGGATGGTGAATTGATGATACCAATCGTGCACTTAACTATTAACCACTAACCACATGCGTAAATCCTGAACTCTAAACAAAACTGTAATATCATTTTTACAGAATGAAATGATCTCTGATTGGCTAAAATCAAGCCGCAGGCTAGCGCAGACCAAAAATCTCGGGGGAGAGTTCAAAAATGTTTCAGGGCGAAAGGCGTAATATCCTGGGCGTAGGCCATCCCAAATTTAGGGGGCACAAGGTTCCGGGGCACTTTTGGATAAAATCTGTAAAGGTTTTCGAAGTATAAATATTAAAGCCCAACATAGTGCTTTCAGTAAAGCAATAAGAGACATTTGAGAATAATAAAAATATATTTGGTAATAACGTTTCGTCTTAACTTAAGACATCTTCAGACTAAATGATAAATTACATGATAATTTGAATATGTAGACTATATAGTAATATATTTACAAGGTATCAATTTACAAAAGGTGATAACAAGGACAACGTAAGAACAAGCGGTACATGAGAGGACAAGGGACAGAGACGTCACGACACGATGACAATACGAAGTAAGGACTAAAATAAATTGAGAGGGATAGAGTTGCCTTGAACATTAAGAGAAGGCTTAAGTTTGGTGATGAAGAAACTGTCATGTATCATTAGCTCATAAGGGCAAGGAAGACAATGGCAAGCTCTCTTCCCTTTCTTGATGTTGAGATATTACGCTCTAACGGGAAGTTTACAACTTCGGTGTATCGTAAACCTACGTTTACTGGTCTCTTCACGAATTTCCATAGCTTTATACCACTCAGTTATAAACGCTGCTTAATATCATGTTTACTCCATCGCATTTTCAATCTCTGCTCGAGCTGTGAAAACTTTCACGTCCAACTCGAAATTGTTAGGAAGTTATTCCAAGTCAACGGGTTTCCTTCGCATTTATTCGACCGTCTGGTCCGAAAATTTCTATCCTAACAGCACCTAAGAAAATCATCTATTTTTGTCTCCCTTTTACTGGGTTACACTCTATTCAGATTCGCACTCAAATCAACCGTCTTTGTAACGCCGCTTTTCCGCATTTGGATGTTAGATTTGTTTTTCGTTCCACTAGAAGGCTTTCTTCACTCTTTCCGTTCAAAGATAAAGTCCCTAAGTACCTGAGATCTGGTGTAGTTTATTACTCGGGCTACCGTAGGTAGACCGAGTTGTAAAATGGGCTCGGTTTTTTCTTTTGCGTCGCGAGTTTACAAAAATCACGCGTGGGCGGCACGAAGTCTTCGAACCAATCGAAATCGTCCTAGGATCGTTTCTCGCACGGGTGTCACGAACATGCCATGTTACTACGAGATAACTGTAGCCCGAGTGATCGCCTGAGTAGGCGTCTTGTTTATTTAAGTGTCGATGCTGTTCTGCGTCGTACGTGGGTCAAACCACGCGTCATTCACACACCAAAATATCAGAGCACTTGGGAATATCATCTATCACTGGTAAACAGACCTCAAGCCCTGTTATGTCCAGTATACATTCGCACCTAAAGGCTTGCGGACACCCGGCTAGCTTTGACGAATTTAGAATCCTCTCTTCCTCATCTGACTCTTATGAGCTAATGATACATGAGAGTCTCCTCATCACCAAACTTAAGCCTTCTCTTAATGTTCAAGGCAACTCTATCCCTTTCAATTTATTTTAGTCCTTACTTCGTATTGTCATCGTGTCGTGACGTCTCTGTCCCTTGTCCTCTCATGTACCGCTTGTTCTTACGTTGTCCTTGTTATCACCTATTGTAAATTGACACCTTGTAAATATATTACTAGTCTACATATTCAAATTATCATGTAATTTATCATTTAGTCTGAAGATGTCTTAAGTTAAGACGAAACGTCACTACCAGATATATTCCTGAAAGCACTATGTTGGGCTTAAATATTTATACTTCGAATACGCTTCCCGCCCGGCACGTCTCTGGCAACAGTACTGTACAGGTTTGATTGTCAAAACTGCAACCAGCTGATCTGAGATCATGACTTCATAAGGCGAAAACTGATTTAAATTTTAATTTGCAGTTGGAGAAAAATAAGCATGTTTTCGCCTAAATATGATAAAAGGAGACCTGACTGGGCGGAGCCGTGTTCCTATCTTATGAAAATAGCGTTTGTGAGAGAATTAACAGTTGCGTGCCTTCAACTAGGGCATATTATATTGTATTGGTAAGTCCGAAGGAGGCTCATTTACACTTGCGATTTTTGCTGCGATTTAATTGTGCGATTTTCTTCTTTTGATAAATGTGAACGAGTGAATTTGTTACTGATGTTCAATGAAGAGCTCTCACACATCAGAGCATTCGTAACTTATTACTCGTTCAAATCTATCAAAAGACGAAAATCGCACGTAAAATCGCGTGGCCTTAAGGTGTAAACGAGACTTCACGTAGCAAAACAAGTAATAATTTCATGTCAAGAATCCACAAATATAATTCTTGATCCTAATCCTTTACTATAAGGGCGCTTTCCTTTTAGCGGCTAAAATGGTCAGACCGGTCATATTATTTTGAATTGCATGAGATAGAGTATTTCGTAAAGAATATAGCGGTGAAACTGCATTTCCGTGTTAAGCAGATCTAAATAACGATACATTGGAATGCAGAGTTCTTGAAACACTCTAAAATACCAGTAATCAGTTTGTACCGAAATACAACATGACTGGTCTGGTCGTTTTTACATCTTATAATGGAAAGCGCCCTAAGTAGTTGCGTAAAGGTTAGAGTTGGGATTAGGGTAGGGTTAGGTTTTGGTGGTTGGAACTGAATGACGACCGTTCACATGGGCCGGTAACCCGAGATTTAACGAAGATGATTTTGATTTGAGGTGTTATAAAAAAGGTCTAATAATAGACAAAACGACCACATGCCATTGTTAGGACGATTACGCGACTACCAGGGTCATGGTATTTACTCATTTACTTTACTGGGCTCACGCGAACAGCCCCTACCACCAAAGGCTCGAATGTTATTACATAAAATAGCATGAAAATCCATTCATCCAATTTGAGGTTTAAAGTATACAGAAGGTTATTCAATTCAGACGATTCGTTTTTATAGTGTGCAAGCTTCAAATCTTTCTGTGCAAGTTATACTTAATTTTTATATTTATATTTTTTTTATATTTTTTAATATTTTTAAATTTTTTTTTATATTTAGTTTTGCTCACCAGATTTGAAGTCTATATATAAGTCATTAAGAATTGCTCATCCATATGTATCCTTTATTATTTGGATGAGGGTATTTTACTTAGAACTAAAACACTGGAATTCATACGCCACTACATCCGGGGTACAGTGCGCGTATTTTTCGTATGTCACATTTAGGGGTGACATAACGAGTTTCAAAAATTTTCCCGCCATTAAAAAAGACATCTTTAGATAAGTAAAATTGTGATTTTAGTCCATAATAAACAGAACCATACTCGCTTCGCTAAAAGATATGGATTTTATATCCTCGTGTCAAAAACAGTAACTTTTTGCCACTCGAACATAAAATCCATGTTTACTCGTAACCGTGTATATGGCGTGTGATACTTACGTACATAACTGTTCTTTGTCGTGCCACGTATACCATACATGGGCTTGACCAGCAACCACTTGCTCATATCCGAGATCTGTCAACATTACTATTTTCAGTATTTTGAGCATGTCATATTGGCATGCATGTGTACATTTGAGCAATTTTTAGACAATTTCTAAGCAACTTTTATTACGATCGAATAGTGATGGAATCTATGTTATCGCATAAATTACGTAATTAGCCGGGGTTTGATCCCCAGTCTTCTCGCTGCTCGAACAAGAAATCTTGCGAGTGTTCACAGACCTTTCGTACACGTCAAGGTCTGTGCACAGGCTACCTGTGGTTTGGCAAAACTTTTACATTGTAGCCACCCAGTGTAGCCGTTTTCAACAGGTTATCATAGAAAATTGTGCGAAGTAAATTTGGGCAAAAAACTTGTAACTTAGTACTCGTTCACATCTATCAGAAAGAGAAAATCGTAGCAAAATCGACGACTCGGCGTTATATTTCTGGTCGTTGGACCGCTGCAGGGGTAATAATGACAAAGTATAGTTACGATACCATATACAGGGTGTCCCAAAAAAATGTCCCCTCTATTGAAATCAAGCCTTTGTTCGAATCTGATTGCCTTAATATTATGATAAACCCAATTGAAAGCAAGACGCTTTATTTGAATGCCTCAACCTAATAAATATGCTATTTACACACTACTGCGTTGATCATGCATTCAAATTCCAACAAAAGCTTCATTTCAATAGCGGGGACTTTTTTTTGGGACACCCTGTATTTCGTCTGAGATCTGGGGGCTTGTAGAATAAACATTCAATGACTTTGGGTTGTCAAGTAGCAACAGGGCAATTCAATATCCACTTGGACAATTTTTTAACGAATATTTCACAAAGACATTTTTGTACGCGCGCGGTACGATGTGACGTTCCGACCATAGAGATTATAAATAACACTAGAGGAGGCATTGGTATCGGAAACATCAGTCAAAAAAGGGAGCGCGATAATGGGGGGCAAATTCAAGTCCCGGATGCTAAGCCAAGCGCTGATTGGCTAGATCAATGCCTCTTTAGCAACCACGTTAGCAACAATTTTAAAAAAATTATATTCGTTATTTATGTCGCTTTGCCGGTTTTTTAAGGAAAAACAGTGCTTTTTGAAACTGGTTTTACTAATTTAGACATCCTGGAATGACATTTTAGGCAAAAAAACATTTAGAAACCGAAAAAACTCCTTTAAAACGACAAATTTTGGCCTCGGACATCGTGAATGAGTGAACATCCGAGACTTGAATTTGCCTCCCATTAACGCGCTCCCCAATTTCTCCTCGATGACCTCTCTAGTGTTATTTATAATCTCTATGGTTCCGACCCGATTACGCACATGTGACGTAAACGGATGTCACGTGTCAAAAAGACCGACACAACCAGGACGTAAAAATCGTGCTAACCCGAACTATTGAACATACCGGGCCGTAGCCAGACGCTTAATTCCAGGGATGCAGATTCATATATTCATGTTTAAATACCGTAGAAACAGAAGCTTTCCAAAGAACAGTCGGGCATAAGAAAAATATATGAGAATATACACCCCCCCCCCACAAAAAAAAGTTTGAAAACAATCATCATTACCCATATTGCCCATAGACCTTTTCAGCAAAAATGATTTGCCTGCAAGTAAGTAACCGGGTGTTAATTTAGTGCAGTTTGGAGTAATTTGTTTTGTTCGATGTTGGCATGTTTTTTTTTGTGTTGTATGATTTAATGCAGAGTAAAAATTCATGCAGTTGGAAAATCAACAGTTGATGTTATTTTCTTCGCGGACACTTGGAGCAGTTGATTCACAAAACTATATATTTTAATAATTATTATAATTTGATATGCAAATAAATACGACTATTCAAGACACATTTAAATATGCACAACACAACACAATGGGGTCACAATGCCAATAATAAATTCAACATGCATCTTATGATATAGCTACATTGCTTTATTCTTGATTATCTCTAAACGTTTTCGTAGTTCCGTCAAATCTGTAGAACTTTCAGCTGGATTATCAGCAGCGCTGGAGTTATCTCCGCTGTTGCTTTTTGGCTAAAGACATACAAAAATGTTTAACAAAGTAATTCACTTAAGTATTTCAGTTTCTCAATGTAGCTACCTGGGTATGCTGGAACTTGAGGGGGGGGGGGAGGGTGCAACAGGAAAGCGGCCCTATTTGACTCTCATGCACCAGAAAGGACAACAAAGGTCGTTTATAAATTGGCTATTTTTTCAGTCTGTCAGTGCCTGGGCGTAGGAAAAACATTCGAAAACAAACAAAACAAGATTTATTATTTGCTTTAAAAATACTTACTATTGTTGGTAAAATAAGATTATCGTCTACAGTTCCTAAGGTTACTGGCGTCGAGGAGGGTATGTTAACCGGTTCTTTCTCTGACTCACTTTTTTCAGGCTCATTCGGCTTGGTAAGGTCCTATAAAGCATCAGCGAGGTATTAAAGAAAGTTTTTCATCATTTCGATAAAACGAAAATTTTCTCCTGATTTTCTCTTTTCAATTTGTCAGAATTCGACCGTATAGCGAATTCCCTTGACCCCGGCGCGGTCACAAATCAAGAAAAGAAAATCAAGCGAGAAAGTTTGTTCGATCAAAAGATTCAGCCTAGTGCAAAACAGACTTGACTATAAGCATAGTCAAGTCAAGTTATGAGAATGAAGTTATGACGCTGGAAGTAATGTAGGCTTGTCAATGGGCGTGTAAATATTTTCTGAATTATGTACAAATGGGGGAAATAGTTTTGGCATAAACCAGTGAAATCTATTTAAACCAGAACATTTCATCCCCTAAACATGTCTTTTTGACTGGTCGTACAGGTACCTCTTTAACTTGAATATCGCCATATTTCTTCTGCAATACCAGGAGTCGATTGCGGAAATATGATGGATCATCTAGAAAACAAAATTCATGCAAAACCATCAATGTGATAAAGCATTATGTGATGTAATTATGGTAATTTGATCATAAAGAAAAGGAGGAGTGCATTGCTGTCCGAAATTGGCTTGAAGAAACTGATTTTTTGTGGGAAGGCATAAAAAAATTGAGGAGTCAAAAATTGAGAAGTTTGTCATTTGAAGTCTCTTTTTTGTCATTAAATAATGACAAAAAGGAGACTTCAAATGCTCGATTGTGGTGTTCGCAATGCATTGTGGTGCAAAACGTTACGCTGCGATCTTTTCCATTACGGTCAATTAGCCTTTCTCACGATGACGTTTTTGGGCCTCAATTTTCTCAATCGGGTTTAAATTATAGCATGGTTTTAACGGTTTTTATTATAACATGAAAAGCATTTTTTTTCAAAAATCAACAGACCCTTTGAAGAATAACTCCAGCCTAAAATTAAACACTGTCGCCGTTTATTCTTTATGGTGCAAGAAATTTAGCTTAATGTTTAACTGCAAATGTTGAATGGCAAGTATCTATAGTACATTTTTATATATGCAGTGTTGACTAAGATAACTAATTTAAACACAAACAATAATTATTGGAACCACGCACCTAAAACTGCACCTTGAAGTGGCCTATTGATTGCATATATTAAGCAGTCCACTCACAAATGTATGCATTATTAAGTCAATAAATATTAAGTTAATATTAGAATTATATTCTTGACATGCATCTCGATTTCAGCGATTTTTGTTTGTCAGGATGATTTTTGAGCACACGTACCATAGACCAGCGGTTTCATCCTATGCGAATGCATGATATTTCATATTCGCACTTATGTAGCTTATGTGCGATCTCACCTCGGGAGAGAATTCTCATCAGCATAACCGCAATAAAATATTATGTACGGTAAATATTGTGTACATAATATAAACAAGTTTTTTGACACGCAATATTGCCGTTACTATCCTGAAGACTACCCAGAAGTAAGTTCACTCGCAGCATTTCACTTACAATTTGTAATCTAGTCTTATAAGATATTAATTTTTATATATAATGCTACATACCTATTCTCGTTGATGATGTAGTTTTTATTTCAATGTTTTCTGTTGTGAAAAGACATTTAAAAAATTCATTAGGGCTTGTTACGCCGTGCGTCGAACGCAATAAAAGCGAACGGTGAAAACAAAGGCATGAATTGACAGTTCATCATGACGTTTGACGTATTTCCTGTAATGTGCTCTACCCTGCCGTATTACCCTGATGCAGGAAGAGATTTTATATCGGGACTTTTTCTACGAAATACTTATATTTTAAACTCACTAAATACAGGGGCGCTTTCTTTTTACAGCAAAAACGGCCAGACCGGTCCTGCATGTCGTATCTCGGCAAAGACAGATCACTGGAATTTTACAGTGTTTCAAGAACTCTGCATTCAAGTATATCGTTATTCACATCTTCCTAGCATAGGAATTGCAGTTTCCCAGCTATATTATTAACGAAATACACTCACTTTTAATTCAAAATATGACCGGTCTGACCATTTTGGCCGCCTAAAGGAAAGCGCTCTATATAGGATACTTTTTCTTTTACTATGAAACATGATATGAAAAATAACAAGATTATTATTATTCATTCTTAGAAACTGATACAGACAATTTCAGAGTAGTGATGTTTATTGAATTTTTCAGGGGGGGGAGGGATTTGTAATTTTTTCCAGAGGGCACACCTCCGGCGAGACCCAGAAAATCCTCGCATGATTTATCTTACAAATTATGAAATTCCTTTTAACGAGTGTGAAAAATCGAAGGAAATCGAAAGAGATATTTATAGAATTAAAGCTGCCGCGCAGGCAAGGCAGTAGAAAAAGGTTATTACTGCATCACCTGAATTAGCTTGCTCCCTTTCTGCCTTGATAGTCTTCAGACTCCTAGCAATGTACTTTTGAAAAAAATCCGACGTTTGTTTTAGAAAAGGATCGATATCCACGTTTTTGTTTTCTTGTTTAAAGTCGTAAAGAGCATTCAATCCCTAGGAAGATAATAGAATTAAACAATACACAAAGTAGGTACTGCAAATATAGAGCATTCTAATGCTAACTAATGGACCTTATGCGCTAAAGGCTAATTTTATATGTCAGCAGCAAGAAGGAATATTACCACAGCTAAAAAAGATATTACCACAGATAAAAAGATGATACTGAAATTAATATATAATTGCAAAGTTTAGCTCCGAAATTTCGTAAAATGTGAAAAATATAGACCCCGTTTACACTAGAACGAAAGTTTCTGGATTTGTAAAATTTTCCGGATTCATTGTTACACACATGTAACGGATTCGTCAGGTGTTTACACAACACTTTAGTTGTCTCTGTATGCGGATTTGTCCGTTTACACTCACATTACTTGTTCTTGGAGAATTGTTTGGTCGTCATATTGAATTTCTTCGGATTCGTCGTGCAAAGCGTTTACACAAGAACATCTTCCGGATTCAAATGTTTCTGGATACGAAGTTTCCACAAACTTTTACGGATATCGATTCAAAGTTTCCGGATACGGCTTAAAACCGAGTACATTTTCTATCGGATTCGTTGCTGCGTGTGTAAACAGCAACATGAATCCGGTACTAAAACATTCCGCTTTCGTGATGAATCCGGAAACTTTCGCTCTAGTGTAAACGGGGTCATAGCCAATGCCAATTTGGCAAATTTTGTATACGTTTGTATTACTGTGGAAATGTGTAAACGAATTAGTTATAGGTTATACACTTTCGGCCGTGATACAAAGGTATATAAAACTTGCTAACTTTGCATGGAGACAGTCATGGAGATCGTTTTCGTACTTTACAACATTTCGAGGCAAACTTGGCAACTTTACTAATTTTAGTATAATCTTTCCGAAAAATATCCTTTTCACCCCCCTAGATAAAATATTCAATTTACAGCGCATTTATAAGGTCCATTAGAGAAATGATTCCAAAGATGAGAGTCCAAAATGATTATTTGATTACAGGATCTCCTACCAGCATTGGCTTTTTGCAGAATAAAAAAACAATTTGAAGTGAACATCTATACAGCTACTTTAAATGCGTGTTGCATTCTTCACACTTCAACATGGGTTTGAAAAATAGCTAAATTGAATACGCTTTTGAAACTGTTAACAACCATTCACCAATAGGTATAAATTAGTTTGTAGGTACACGACGTGAGTATTTAATACTGCATTCAGTATACTGTATTCGGTATTTAATACCTACAAGCTAATTTACTTATTGATGCCACCATGCAAACTTACATGAAGAATATAATTCATCTATAGCTGACGGAGGAAACGTCCCTTGTCTAGATTAACTACATGCACTTACTTCCTTGGTAGTTTCGTTCGACCCAATCTTTCGAAAAATATCACCCAACGTGTCGTGAAGCTCTTGACTGATTTTGCTTCTTTTGATCTTGGTGCTCTTTGGCTATAAATGTGAAAAAAACAAAAGATGAATACCAAAGAAGAATACAGACTCTAAGTTTAATCATTCTACCTTAAAAGCCGAATATTTCTTGGCAAATATGAGTCAAACAAAAAATAGCCTTAAAACCACGGTTAGACGTATCAGGTACCTATCAGGTACCCTACAGAGTGTCCCGAAAAGCCAAAACTAGCCTATTGAAATCACTAATGACAATGTAATAGTCAGAGCTTGAATACCTGAGCTCCCTGTTGGGACCCATAAGTGTATAAATATTCGACATAAGCATTTATATTGACAGTGAACCCACAAATGATTTTTATTTACAATATTTTTACAACAACATGTCTAACAATATTGATTAATCGCCTACCGATTGCGGTGTTAGTTCAAGTGATGATCTTTCGTCCTGTATAGAAGACTGTTTCTTGATATGAGACTTGGCTGTATTTGCTTTCAACGTTACGCGGATATACATTACGATTTCACTTTGATCGGGATTGCTGATAAGATCAATGTGATCTAATAGCTAGAAATTGATAAAAAATAAAGATTAAAATAGAGAGATTAAAATGGAGAGATTAAAATGGAGATCAAAATAGAGTTTAAAATAGAGATTATAAAATAGAGATTATGAAGAAAACGATATTTTCATAAGACCAGGGGCCGGTCGTTCAAAAGCCGGTTAGCTTAACCCTGGGTTAAAGCAATCCTTACATTAATTTTTTAACCTCTTCTTTGCAAAGTTCATAATAAATTATTTTCATAAACAATTTCAGGACCGATAGAAGTCATAATTTCTAAACGTTTTACAACGAACAGTGGTTTAAAAGCACATAAGCTAAAACTCTTAAATAGAATTTACTCTGGGTTAGCGCTAGCCTAGCTTTAAACAACCGACCCCAGTACACAATCTCATGTCGTTTCAACTGTTGGGAATCATTATTTGCTAATTTCGAGCTTATACATTGGGTACTTCCACGGTGCGTAACTTCACGCGGTACCAGGTCCGGCCGCAGCGACATCATTCCAAGCAACGTCGTTTTACTAGCAAATCCTTAACAATTTGATAGATTTGGTATATTTATTCAGGTCTCGGACATTTAAAATCTTCACTGCCTTCTGTTAACTTCAAAATTTGACCTTTTCCTATAGCAATCCAGTACAGACTGTACAGTAAACGGGATTTTAAACAAACTTCAGATTTGAGACATCTGCATAACAACAAAATCCAAGATAAATCGAAGCATGGAATCAATAAAATGGGAAAGCAGATGACGTTGACTGACTGACTATGACTGATATACTGATTATACCTGACATGACCGGATGCGTAAAACTCAGAATAAACTCTTTATATAACTACATTTTAAATAGTTTAAATCGTAGTTACTCAGAAATACTCTATATAATAACTATAACTCAGAAATAACTATATATAATACCCTATTAATTATATGGTTTATATTTAACTTCATTTTCATTACAACTGGCCTTAATTGACAATTTATATGTTTGATCAAGGATGGATCCATTGGGGTTCTGTAGGGGCCGGGAGTTGAAGGGGGAGGTGGTGACTACTTAAACGGTCAAATGAGTCTCATGTAAGACTGAATTGCGAAGTTATGTAAATATTTATAATTAAGCACTAATTCCCATACACAATTCCACTGAATTTAAATTGATACCTCAATTTGCACCCCTCGATGACCTCCCTTAGCCTATATGACAGAGTTGCATGCAAAAAAGCTGCGGTTACGCGGGTACCACCCGGAGGAAGATTTGCTTTGAATGCATGAGGTTTGTGAGGAAGGTTCAAAGTTGAACACTCTATATAATTGATCACATGCATGTACTAAAAAAACAAATATTTCTTTATGCTGGCTCCCACTTGATTCAATGTCGTAACGTCATTTTGTGGAAGGTTTTCAAAATTTGAAATCCTACCGGAGGCAGGTTGAACTCTTTTTGCAACTCTGCTATATAAGCTATGGCGGGCTGCACATCAAGACGAACACCCCTTCTCCCCAGTGACTCCATCTTGTGTTTAGCATGCTCATTCCGGCAACATACCTTTTTGCAAAGACAAAAAGTATGTCAACGACGCAAAATGTCTATTTTACCTTGTCTCCTTTCAGTTTGATCAAAGAATGTAAGACAGTTTTCATCGTCCTCAATGGAGTATCATCAGAACGGTTTTTCCACGTGGATGTTGGATGAGCTTCGAAGAAGAGATGAATGTCCAGTAAAGCTTGGCTTAGGTTAAGTTCTTGAACATTTGCAGCCCGCATTCGTGTTATCCGCCATATGCACTATATAAGGAAATAACACGGAGTTTTAAAGAATGCACTTCAGAGTTTGGTGCGTATTATCTCAGCCTCGTTCCCAGGCGCTTTAAATAAAATAAATCTATGTAAAAACCTGTAGTGTTCTTATATTTATTTTATTTAACGCGCCTGGGAACGAAGCTGGTATTATCTGGTTTCTAGTTAGTGTCGTGAGTGTCGTGAAAATGTCAAGGTGGCCGATGAGATAGAATATTTCTATGTGCGTGCAGTCAACAATGGCCGATTTGAATACAGAAATAAAGACAAATTTTCCATCCAGACTATTTCTCATCGTTGAAAAAGACTTGTTCACGACAATTACCACTAAATGAAAACCAGGCTATAGAAACGTTAAAATTGAAGATTTTAGAGCGCACATGCAAAGTAAAGTCGAGATTTTTTGACGTAGGGGAACTTAGGTGTAAAATTTGTTGGCAGGTGGAGTTTGACCAGCCTCGTTTTCACGTAACTCGCAACAAGCCACTGCTCTTTCTCGTCAAGGTATACACCCATACAAATATATGAAACACGAGAAAGAACACGTTTCTTAAAAATACTAACCTTCATTATCAATTCAAGAAATTTTGAAGCACTGGAATAATGCGTAACACTGTCTTGGAGCAGCTTGATCAAAGCACTTCAAAAAGAAAATCACATGATTATTTTAACCCATGCATTGTTTTAATGCTAAGGGTCGACCGACTTCGGGGTGGGGGGTATATCACATCAACAGGCAGGATCACATTTTCCTTTTGACGAGTTTTTTCTCTGCATGCTGTCATTTTTTGTCAACAAAAACATAATTCTCTTCAAAAGGAAAGATAGCTACATGTCGATATAACCCGCTCCTTGGCGAAAGGAGAATTTCGTACCTCTATTGATATGGTAATGTTGGCACAAAAAGACTTTACAACGTCATTACCACAGCATGAACAATGGATAAGTCTGAATCAAACACTGACTATAACCAGCGTATTATTATCACATAAGTGATATAATTTACTAACCCAAGTAGATGGTTTCTATTCGGCTTCTCCGTGATGTGTAGCATCAATATATTCAAGCATCGAATGACTTGAGGACCTTCGTAAAGACTAACCAGGTTTTCGTCCAGTAACGTACTAATCATCACATGAATCACATCTTTCAGAATTTCTTTCGGAATTGCCCGGGCCAGGATCGGCTCGCCGAGTAAAGTGAATAGGTTATTAAAAATACACTTGTATAAATTGATAATGTCTTCTTCCTGGTAAGCATCTGACACCAAGTGCGTGGATAGAATCATTCGTAGTTGAAGAACACAGGCGATCATGAACTACAGAAAGATTCAAACATGTTCGTAAAGTATGAAGAAGAACGTGAGCAGAAAGTTTCAGGCACGGGATATCATCTGTGTTACTTCTGTCAGATAGAAAAAGTTTATATGTTGTCTTGTGAGGTTCGGGCATGCAGCCTGGTACCCAGACCCTTTTTAGAAAACAATGGTTGTAATCAGCTATTATAAAGAGATCAGTGGCTGGGGACAGGGAGCGCGTGGGTTCTTGGGACGGTTTTCATAAAATTGTGGGTATATAGATCTAGTTGCAAAAAAATTTTCACACACAGTTTGTAGTCTAATATTTCAGGAACTAAGAAAAATTTTATGAAAAATCCGAACAGTATTGCATGCATGCAATCTTTAATTTATAATACACATATAAAAACGAGATTTGATCAAAACGTACTTGATTAAGGTGCTTCAGCCATACAGCTGGCCCATTGACTTTAAAGTGATTTTCCAGTTCTTTTAAAGCAGTGATCGCTAATCTAATATCATTACTAGCAATTTGGGACACGCAGTAATCAACTGAAGCTGACGAACTGCTTGGAGAAAACATCTTTCGACCACTAGTTAAAGTGCTAAATAAGAAAAAAAAATCCATATCATTAAAATGGGGATAGTACAAAGAAAAACGTTTAAAACATGTCGAGTGAAGCCCGTTTTCCACCAGGCGAATTATTCGCGCCAGCGATATCTGATATATGCGGTGATGTGATTGGTTTGCGAAAGAATGGACTACTTGCATAATAAACCAATTTATGATCTAGCTAACAAGAAGGAATAAATCACCACAGCTCATGCATGTTTGGCTGCAAAATTACTAAAATAACTAATTTATACAAAATTTGCGAACTTCGCATAGCAATATTTGTCGTACATCACAATATTTCGCAGCCAAACTTGGCAATGTTACTAAGTTTATTATGCCCTTTTCGGAAAACCCCTTTTTGTCGCCTAAATCAAAAGTTGGTCTATTATGCAAAGGGTCAATTCGCCACGAAAAAATAGAATCCCTTCCTACATTTTATCACTTTGCGCGAATAAATTCGTCTAGTGGAAAACGGGCTTAAGATAGGGAGTCCGAAGTTGGTCCTGGAAAGTAGGGGAGATATGCGTAATGAATTGCGAGATTGGTTACCTTCCTGCTGTACGAGGCAGTGTTGGTAGAGGTTCTTTAAGTAAATCATCCACATGATCATTAGCAACCAAAGATGGTATTTCGTTAGTGGTGCTGCCAGGCGCTTTCTCAATCGAATCCAAGTCCAGCGAAAAGTACTGCTGAACAGTGTTGGCTGCGGAGGCTGAATTTGCTCTATACAATAAACAGAAATGATTGTTTGTTTCAAAGAAAGAAAACAAAGGTTATGGTTATTGGCTAATTTATTGAGTAATCTGGCAACCCTGTTGCACAGTAAGCCATCGCTTTGTACCGTGTCTCTCAAAAAAGTACCCTCTATTGAAATCGCTTTTTTGTTGTTAGGGTACTTTATTTTGGGACACACTGCTGGTGGGCTGATGGTGAGCGGATGGTTTGAACTGCTAGTGCTATACTACAAAAAGACAATTTCCGAACTTGTTCCCATTGCATTAAAACTACACCAGACCAACAAAATATACATTTCCCGGACAATTCCCGCCTTGTTTCAAGCTACTGTTTTGTGTGCAAAAATGATAATCTATACGTGTGTAATCTACGCAGACGATGGCTAATCTTGGAAGTGCTCATAGTTGGATATAGGAAACTTTGAAACTGTTCACTATTGCTCACTATTGTTCACCGTTTTCCCGAGATTTAGCGAAGCGTGAGATGATTTTGGGGTATTAAAATAAGTCTTTTTGAAACCAAACAAGCACATGCTATTGTTAGGATGATTACATGACTACCAGGATCATGTCATCTACTCATTTCAATACCTCAAAATCATTTCACGCTTCGTTAAATCTCGGCTAAGCGGGATCATGTGAACACCAACGATGAAACCTGATTCCCATTTAGTGGTTATTGTTAGCCTCCTCCGCAGGCATCTCTTATGTATTTATATTAGGCATTTATATTTGGCTTGGGTTAGCTAGGTTATTGTCGTGAACAAGTCATTTTTGCCGATGTGAAATAGAACGGATGTAAATTTGTCTTTATTTCTGTATTAAAATCAGTCATTGTTGTCTGCATATTCTATCACATCGGCCACCTTAACATGTTTACGACACTCAAGACTAAATGGGTTAGCGTTAAGTTCAAAATCAGCATACAACTGCATGTGCAACCAGGTGCATGCGTGCGAAAACATACTTGCTTGGTGTTGTTCCTTGTTTTAAGGATTTCTTTTCAACAGCACCGCCACTTTCACTGGATTTTTTTACAGGCTGGCTGGTTGGCTTGACAGTTTCCGTTGTAGTTTTAGTCTTGCCGGCTCGGCGGATGCGTTCTTCCAGCAAACTTTGATCTTTTTCTGAAATCTGAAAAGTTACAGCGTGTTGAATGTAAAAATTAGAGACCTAATTGAAAGGTGGTAAATTCGAGAATGTATTCCATCTAAACAGAGTGAGGGCATGTTCTTCTGATTTGCTCAAAGGTGACTTTCACCAGGGGGAAGCAATTCCTGGGGGCATATAAAGGAGCCTGGGGGGAACTTATACGTGTGAAAAAATAATAATAATTCTAGAAATAATCACTATCCAATAATCACTATTCATCTTTGGAACAACCGGCTCCGGTTGTGAACCAAATGTTGAACCTTATACATTAACTACATTATATCACGATCTTGACACATTCTCGGCATTTGGTAAATCAATTTAAAAGGCCCAGCAATGGTATACCATGTGGGCAGTCGATGATGTCGAAGGTATAGTGGTTGCTCGTGGTTTGAATGAACTGATAATATGCAAAATCGTCGTAAGGACATAGCCCCGTATCTAATGAAATTCTCATGAACCATTCTCACCCTTCCAAGATATTTATAGACTGTCTCTCCGACCAGATTATAAACTTCTACAATAGCATTCAAAGCAGCATTTCGAACACTATTATCCCGATCGGAAATCTGCGCGGCTACGGCCGGCAACGCCTTCGCTGGACTTGGCTGGCAAACATTTTCACCAAAGACGCTGACTAAATAGGCAATTTCCCCCAGGCATTCGGTTCGTGTTTTAGCATTTTTTGACTTTAGACCGTCCGCAATGTAGTTAAATAGTTTGCTTGCAGGATATACTTTGAGGATCCATTTTAGCAAGCCGCGAATCATCTTGCGTACGGCATCTTTCGGGTCACCAATCTGAAAAACAAAACATGAAGATTTTCGATATTCCTTCGAGATGCTATATGTAAGAACATTATATTGTTCACTATATATCTTCTGTAATCAACGGTAAATACTACAATTTCATTCGCTATAAATAGGATTGTGCATTAATTTTGCACTCTAGCATTGGCTATGAGCCAATAAAAATCACTCCAATCACCATAAAATCTAGCCAATCACCATCAGAATAGAAAAAATAAAATAAGTTAAATTACTTTAAATTTCAGCAATTCCCAATTGTACTATTTACCAAGTATTGTTGTGATAAAAATTTATTAATTATATTGAAGTTCAATAAATTGTGTATCTTGTGACTACAGAAGATATATGATCAATCCAGCCTTGTATCCAGGCACTTTAATAGTAAAATATATAACGTTGCATTCAGTAAATGTATAGGGGCAAGCTGAAAAAAGGGGAGCGCGCGGGGGTGCTTTTGACAAAGGAAGCTAAACAAAACCACCCCAAACACCCCCGCACACTCGCCTTTTTTCAGCTGACCTCTATACAATCACTGAATGCAACTTTATCACTGCGATTAATCAGTGATATAACGAATTATGTCGTGCAATTAATGTAAAAATCATACTACTCGTCGTTAACAAATCAACCTTCCGCTACGCGGAGGTTTGATTTTGTAACCATGCACTCGTACGATTTATTACACTCCTATTAGTTCTATTACCACTATTAACTGTTTTCCGGACATTTCTACCCCGACATGCAGAGGCACACATGTGGCACAAGTGTGTCCAGGGAAAATTTTGAGAATATATTTGAACTTCGTGTTACCTTTTGTATGAGATATGGCAGGAAACTTGATGCTTCGTACTCGGACAGTTTAAATTCTTCATTTGCTAAAAGCGTGAAAAGTGATTCTAGAAATTCTAAGCATTTTATCAAAACAGTTGTATTGGTATCGAAGAATCGTAATGTGCACCATTTGAGAAGCAGATCAACACTCTGGATGGTCTCGACTTTGAGTGCTGGGTTGTCCAGTGGTGTGATAGCCTAAAATAAAAAGACTTGTTTAAATTTTTTTAGCTGAAATTATTTATTGCTAATGAAAGATGAGATTACACGGCTGTGATAGTACATTTTGACTGGTCTGGTACCCATATATCGTTAATTGTTCTTTCAGAACAACCTCGTACCCAGGACATTTTGCCTCCGCATTGGGAGGTCGGCGAAAAAGGACAGGCATCGGCTGGTCACGTGACACCATGAATTTGAGGGTGTTTATTATGATATATTATCATCGGAGCAAATAAATTATCATAATAAACACCCTCAAATTCAGGGTGTCACGTGACCAGTCGATATCAAGGCCTTTTTCGCCGACGTCCCAATTGAATTGGGAGGCAAAATGCCCTGCATGGGTACGAGGTTGCTTTCAGAAGTGAATTTATTTGCCTTTACCTTCGACAATGCAGTCAACGCGACAACATGGTATTTGAAGTCTTTATGAAAAAGGTTTTCCAACATCGTCTTGCTAACACAAGCATTCATTTGTTCTTTTAATTGTTGAATGTGGTCATCAAGTGGTGTAGTGAAGTTCCATTTCAGTACCTTGTCAGTAAAAAATTGAGGTGAAATTAGTATTTGAGTTATTCAGGCCCTCAATAATACACCTAGGGCCAGTTGTATAAAACACTAGTTTTATAGTTTCAGAGTTAACTAGGATTTACTATTTTACTATGCAAAATGTAGTTAAAGACACTTAAAGTGTTATATACAACCGGTGCAAGCGTATAAGGAACTTGATTCGCACTGGTTAGGAATGGATTAACTTACCTTCAGTTCCTTCTCAGCCTTCATTCTGCTATCCCTTCCATTTGGATTAGCTACCAAAATTGGACCATCGTCTTCAGAGTCGGTCGCTTTGCCAGACGTTGCCTGCATGGTTATCAAACATAAAGTATATACTATACGTGTCAGTGTGTACGCCATGCATGCCAGACATTTAGAATTGGAACCAGTTTGATCCAGTAAGAAGACTGTTCGACTTGTGTGATGGCTTAGTTAATTGTTCAACATAAGAAACGGTGGAGTATCGATTAAAATCACAGAATGTATGGACATAAAATGAATCTGATCGCATTTGTATTGGCCGCTGAGCTTTAATAACGCTATATGGGACGACCATACCACCATGTTCACTACTAGTTCAATGGTCTAGATTCGTAAGACAGGATGAATACGATAAACACCATTCACAAACCTTAGTGACAGGTTTTGAGGCAGCCGAAGATGTCTTTCCCTTTTTAGTTCCTTCATCAGGTTTCTTAGAAGTGCTTGTTTTTTCTTGAGTACGTTCATTAGTCTTTGGTTTCTCTGGTGAGCTGCTTTGAGAGGTTTGTTTTTGGACGGCAGCTGAATTACTCTTAGAGGTCGCCTGGGGTCGATTCTTCTCCAAAACACCCATAACCGTGGACTTCGAAGCAGGCTATACAAGTTATAAAATAAAAAAAACCTTAGACAAAATAAAAGACCTTATGCACTATAGATCAATGTGCTTGTGCACTCTTTTTACAACATAAATAATTTCCCATTCCGTTTCGTTTGACATATACCGTTACACGAATCGTTCGTATAGATACTACATATAGTTCGTCTAGATAGTTTGTCGTGTGTTTATACTCAGAAACGAGTGCAGAAGGATCATCCGTCTCTAGTATAAATCGGGCCAGTGAATAAAGAGATAGCATTACTTCAGGAAGATTCAATTCAAATTCTACCCAAACAAGGTCAATTTTATAGCGGTTGAAAAACCCGCTATCAGGTGGCCGAATAGCGCTATCCGGCCTTATCCGGTATAACCGGCACCGGGACTGTTCCAGGAAACTATATACTGAAGCTAAAACAGATCCTTAACCAGTTTAACCTGTCCGATATTATCAGATAAACCAAATTTTTAATACTAATAGAATAAATCTTGACCACACAATACCTTCAATTTGCTGGTCTGTTTGACCATTGCATCCCAGCCGATAAGATTCATGAAGGCTGGTAACGCTCCTTGGGCTTTTTTCCTGACGTCCGCACTGCGGCTTTCCAAACATGAATACAATATTGGAACTATCAAATTAACCTCCGCTGGGAGTTTCTTTTGGGTAGGAAGTTTTTCTTCAAGCCAACCGAACATCTGATCGAAAAGAAAACAAGTTGGTTTGCTATATAGGTGCTGTGTATTCAAAATGTGATTGGTTTATTCGTAGTCACATGACTTTAAAAGTGTTTATTTCTAAATGAAATTGTTGTGTAACATGTATGTTTTTGTTCCTATATAACAAAGCACTTAATGTACACTACCTCGAGAAATAGTGAGTTTTGTTTTCCCTCGAACTCACTATTGCCTTCGGGAGCATACATTAAGTGAATAATATTTGGTGAGGTCGTTTGTATACAGTTACAACACCTGTCAGTAAGATAAGAAAATATTTTAACTTCATTTGAAATATAATTAAAATGGATCCCTTGAAGAGGATCTTTTACCATCCCTCACAGGTCACCGTTTCTAGGGCTTAAAACAGCTCGATATCAAGAAAATTGAGATTTAGCGAAAAAATATATCAGTGAAAATATTCGTATGTTCCTGAGAAATCTTTTTGATATTCCTATATTCAGTCTTTCGTATTCAGACATCCCCATCAAGTCATCTCATTTCATCCACCTCACGAAATTCTCCCATCATGTTATCGCAATTCAACCACCCGCATTCAAACACTCCCATTTAGCCAGTCCCATTCGGTAACCCCCATTCAGTCATTTCAACCCAGCCACCTTCATTCAGCCAACCCATATCAGCCACTGCCATTCGGTCATTCCAATTTAGTCACCCTAATTCAGCCACCCGCATTCAGGCACTCCATTTAGCCTCTCCCATCCAACTACCCCCATTCAGTCATTTCCTGGCACCCAGTCATCCCCGTGCTTATACTCGGTTGGGGGATATATTTAGGAGGGGCATATTTCGCATTTGAAATAGACCTTTTTCATAATGACCTCAAACGCGAAAAGTCTGATGTAACACGAAGTTTGATTGGCTCGGCAGTTTTGTAGACCCAATCAAATTTCGTGTAACATCAGACTTTCCGCGATTGACGTCGTTATAAGAAAGGTCTATTATGTGCCCTTTATTTCTGTTACGGTATTCGTCAGTTTTTGGGCGTTCTGACAAAAGATTTACGACAATTAACGTAATTACCTCTGCTCTCATGTTTGGATTATCTGTAGCCAGTGCTCCGCTGATAACTTCAGATTCAACAAGAGGGACTAAACCAATTTCATCAAACCAGGAATTCAAGCACGAAATCGCTGCTGCTCTTACTTGAGGCTGAAATTATATTTTAGCCAGAAAAAGATTTATATCAAAAAGTGAATTGTAATTGAGGTGTTTCTACAAATATGTTTATCTTTTATACTTGATAAATTTCAAAACAGAGTTTTTTTCATTGAACAGTAACAACATTTTATAGCAATTCAAATCCGAGACTCCTAATACGTGTTATTTATCCAGCTTGAAGTGTCATCTGTAATATTAAACAATTAAGTGCGAACTTGAGAAGGTTGCATGTAAAATACCGGGCGGTTGTATAAAACTACATTTTGAGTTGTTAAATCGTGGTTAACTCTGAAATTGACAATTCTGACATAGTTAAAAGTCAACCAGGACTACGCCATATTTTTGTTGGTAATGCTCACCATTAAAATTAATTGTGGAGAAGTAACCTTAATATTTGGCTCATCAAATCAAATGGTTGATATGAACGCCGGGATATGGTAAATAACATATTTGCATGAATACATAGCTACCTTGCTATCACCAAGCGTGGCAATAATAGCAGGAACCATTGTTTTAACGTGTTTTACTGAACCAGGCCCCATTGCTTTCACGAGGGACGATATAATATTTAACGTCGCTGTGATCTAAACAGAGAGCAAAATAATTTGATGAACTACGTGAAAATTTTATTACCATCCAAAATTTTATTGCCAACGCAACCGTTAAAGGCCCTGTTACACGATACAATTTATCATGCAACTTGCAATATAATTCTATTTTTGAGAGATGCAAATTTGGTATTATTACACTCCAAGGACGTTAAAGCCCTGATACACACTGCAATTTTTCATGCAACCTGCAATGCAATTCGTCTTTGAGAGATGTAAATTTGGCAACTACCGAACTTTTGTCTTTATTACAATTCATGGTGTTTCTTACACTTACATTTTGAAGACTCTTCACTAATTTACATCTCAAGTATAATTGCTTTGCAAATTGCAAAGTGTCTCGCACCATATTATCGTACTAACGGAATCGTGGGAATGGGATTTATTATACTTTCTGGACACATAACAATTATGCTTTCAGGATAGGCTAGCCATAAGCTACCCAAATTGACGTGATAATTGGAACGCAGGAAGCTTTTCAGGAATTTGGTCAACATAGTGTAATTATGCATAATGTAAATTACAAATTATACACTAAAAATTACCGAAACATCACCGCAGTTTTGGGTTATGTACGAACAGGATAGAATTTCTTTAAAAGATATATGATGACCAGATAATACAGCGTTCCAACATAAAAACCTAAATGACCCTTTTTTTGGCTATCCAGTAATATGACTAAAGTTTTCAATCCATCCCCAGCATGTCGGTCAGTTTGTGGGTTAAACGAAGTTAACAAAGTAATTAGGAGAAAAAAGTGCAGCAATGCGAAGAGTTTCTATTTCCTTTAACCAAATTTTCGTTGTAATACATGTATCGATTCTATTATCCAGAAAAGCAGCATAGGAAAATAAACACATGCAGGGAACTACTGAGGTAGGCGCAGTTTAACGTATTTACCAAGTTCTTGTTTGAATCCCCTAATCGTGCCTTCAGTGATCCAGGTAATTCTCCAATGTTTGGGGTAATGTACTTTGCTTCGTTCACGATACCTGATACCTGACATTAAAGAAAAGTTAAGTCCTGCATGTTCACTTTGGATCTAATTTTGTCGGATCCAATTCATTTTTGACGTATGGAATGAATAGTCTGTTATTGATTATGCATTATATAATAACTATAGTGAAACACGCAATGTGATTGGTCAATAGCCGTGCAGGATCAGACAATCCTGCACGCGTTTTAGACAATCCTGCACGCGAAATTTAATTTTAATAAAGTTAACCGTTGTTTCACTACAGTTATTTTATAAAACAATTACCAAATGATTTTCCGTGCAGGATTGCGTGATCCATGCACTTGGGATGTTGCTCGACTTTCGGAAAGCGTGAAAATACACTCGCCTACGGCTCGTGTATTTTCACGCTTTCCGAAAGTCTCGCAACATCCCGCGTGCATGGATCACGCAATCCTGCACGGAAAATCATTTGGTATTCCTTTAGTACTGCATCGCTTTTTCAATTTGTTAATTTTCAATTTTAACTGATATATCATTTTAAAAGAGGAACTTGGCATGAAAACATGGTTGCATGATGAGTTATGACCAACGTAAGAAACAAGTAGAAATAAGTCAAAATCCTTTTCTTGTCTGCCGTCAGAAAATTGACTACATTTCACAGAATTGCCTGAGCTTCAAACTCTAATGGGACGTGGAATGGGTAAAAAACTGACTAAGAGTTTCTTCCACTACCTTCTGCAGTGCTTCGCCTCTAATTTGCCACTTCTTATCACTTAGTTCACTGATGATCTCTGGTTTTATCTGTGCACTAAATAAGAAAAAAAGGTACATATAAAAAGATATACTGAAATAAGTACAGAGATCATGAAAATGGAAACAACAATGTTGGCCTAACGACTCGATTCCGTTTAACATTAGGAAAGAGTTGTTTATGACAGAGTTCAAAATTAAAGGCAGCTCAACGGACAATTACCAGCCAAAAATACTTGTTGATCGGTTCCAATTATAGCCAATACGAATTATTCTTGCTTTCTTTATAACGATTTTTATTGTAAATTGACAACATTTACTTAATAATAACAATTCCTAATTGAAAAGTTCAGAACATTTAATGGGCAGCTATAATGATCCAACGGCCGTTTCTTACCGCACGCGTATGAAAACGAAAGTATTATGTCGATTGTCGAAGTGGAAAATATATATATAGTACCCGATTTGTTGTCTTTATTCGCCCTGCAGCTAGCACAATGACTAGAGGTTAACGCCGAGTCGACGTTTTCTTGGTTTTAATTTTATGCCCGTATGCCATGGCCTTTCGCTTCCGGCTTCATATTCACAGGATTTGCATGTCGAGTGGTGTATAAATTTAGAAAGCCTACACTACCTGTGACACATATCCCGTGAATATTAAGGCGAACGATAAAGGGGCCAGTCTGGCATCGTTCCAACAATTAATACTTTTTATTATATGTGTATAGAGATTTATGCACAGCAGAATGATGAAATAAAAATCGTATTTCACTGTGTAAATTAATTTCATGCAATTTGATTGGACGTACGATGTTTTTCACGTGTGAAAAAATGCCATACACGATTTTTGATTGGACGTACGATATTCTTCACACGTGAAAAATTGTCGTATGTCATTTTGGCGGCAATTTGTTTACATTTTCTTTCAAGATGGCGTCGAAATATAGGAGTGAGATTCAAAACATAATTCTCATATTCAAGACATTTTTACATCCAGCACATTCTCAAATCTTTCGGAAAGAATGTCTAACTTCTATAGAACAAAATTACAAAGAAACTGAACGGTAATAAATATGTTTTCATGCATAAAGTTTCGATTTTGTTGCTCGCTGTGTTTTTGTATATTAAAAGCGTGTCGTTATCAAATTGATCTCTATACACATTTAATAAACCAATTACTTCATGATTGGCTCGTTTGTACGATTTTTATTATGCACTCGTTGCGAAGGATCGCAAACTCACTCGTTCGCTGCGCTCACTCGTTCGTATTGCGATCCTTCACAACTCGTGCATAAAAATCGTACGCACGCGCCAACCATGAAGTAATCTCTATGTATATTCATATTCGAATTGGAAATATCTAAATAATACCTTATATCTGTTCTTGGAATGAGATCAGCCAGGTTTGTCACAGATGAAGCTCCATCGTCTTCGGCATCATCTGCTGTTGTTGATTCCCCCTGACCAGCACCAGCACTTTTGGAAATCACACCTCTTGTTGGTGCTGGGGGTTTCTCGTCTTTGACCTAATAAAAAACCTCTTCAATCGTTGTTTGTAGTACGCATTTCATGGACGAATACAACAGAAATCGATCATATAACGTGGCTATACGTGGCATTTTAAAATAGTTGTTGAAGTATAGTGACACTGGACAGAGTAATCCAGAACTTAGATATCGGATAGTAAACGTATAGGGCTGACTAATTTTAAACCTCAATTTTGATTATTTAAATTTCGTGTAATCAGGAAGGACAAAGAAATGATCTAATTCTCCTACTTAGTTTTTAAAGCAACCGTAATCCACTCCTAATAACTGTGAATTCACCTATCGTTGAAATCTTTAATACAATTTTAAATTCACGCAGGTGACTTGCTTCCCCTCCCCCGGCGTTTACTATTGCATACACGCACATTTAACTAACAGAGACAATTTATAGGGAGGTGATGCAAACCTTTTCAAATTCACTATCAATTTGCTGCAATAGGGTTGCCTTTTCACTTTCAAAGAACATGCGGAGACTGGGACCAGTGTACATGAAGATCAAACCAAGTGCTGATATAGCGGAAGAGCGAACAGCCTGGGAAGAAAATAATAATACCTTAGGTGTCAATGAACGTCTTGCGCTTTAGATTAATTTCTTACCTCGGCGATAAAAAGGGACATTTTCTGAAAGATCTTACTAAAATTTGTAAAACTGCCAAGTTTGGCTGCGAATTGTTGTAAATTATGGAAAATATAGCCATGCAAAGTTGACGAATTTTGTAGACTTTTTTATTACGGCCGGAAGTGTGTAACTAATTACTCCGACGTCAGCGACGGAGTTGAATTCGCCCCGTTTTTTTGGGGGTTTTTTTTGTTTTTTTTTTATTTTTCGTCGTCGCAAGTCCGAAATGGCGCGAAACATGGTAGTATTTGAAATGTGTATGTAACCGTGTTTATCTATGTCCCAGTCTTATCTCCCAAGAGTTGTGGTGCACAGCTTTGGCTAATTTTTCGATGCGCGATTCGATTTCGCTCGCATGATACGGCAATTCCTCCAAGAGCAACAAATAAGCCGTTCTTTTCATGCTGTTCGATTAAGTTTAGATTGAATTGGGGTAGGAATATATTTAATACATGTAGATTCTGGTCCTATTTTAATAATATCGCTGCTATTTCGCCGTTTAACAAGATGATGTGGTCGTCTATGGGCACGTTGACACGTCGCGTAGTTTGCACAGGATTGAAGATTTAATATAACTATATAAGCACGAATTCCAAAGGCAAAGTGTAAGACAAAGCGAATGTATCATGCAGTTTATTCACATTTTTGAACAATTGAACTTCTATACTTTTTAAAGTACGATATGCTTCTGAATTTCGCGATCGAACATTTAGTTTCGCAAGGCATCTAAATGCGAATGTAAATTGTATTGTTTATGTTCAGAGAAGCTCTATATTGAAGACTGGCACGTGCGCCGGAGTTAGTTACATATGTTATGCCAAGTTCGCATGGCTACATTTCACGTATTTTACAAAATTTCGCAGCCAAATTCGGCATTCTCACGAATTTATGTAACATCTTTCTAGCTGTGGTGATTTATTTTCTACTAGTTACTTCGATCAAAAATTAGTCTAAAGCGCAAGTCGTCCATAGACATGTTTATACTGACGGGTTTATAATATGAGGAAGGCAAATCTCGCTTTATTAGATTTGGACGCGTAGATTTTTACGGCTATAAGCACAAACACAACTCCTCAAGAAAAATTCAAGAACATTTCAAAACATTTCAGGGGATTAATATGAAGTTTAAGACGTTTTATGGTCGTACAAGCTCTGTGATATGATAACAATACAATACTATAATTTTTTGGGCCCACTCATCCCGGAAGACGCCGTGAGAAAATAGTTTACACACGGGTAAGAGATGGGGCGTGGTCACAGGGTGACGATTATACCTGAGTGTGGAATGGGGCTGATAGTAATACCAGACCTTATGCATAATCATGCAGAAGTGATGCCTGTAAAGGCCAGTTTACATTTGCGATTTTGCTGCGATTGCGTGCGATTTTCTTCTTTTGATAGATGTGAACGAGTTCATTGGTTACAGTTATTGAAATAAGAGCTCTGCTTGTGCATCAACTCATTTCAGTCATTTGTAACTTCGTAATTATTCGTTCACATTTATCAAAAGACGAAAACATAGCCAAAGTTGCAAATGTAAACGGACCTTAAGGAATTTTAATTTCAATTTTTTTCCGGCGTGATTATTAAGCCGACCAGAATTCCTTGCAGACCCCACTCGAAAAGTATAGGACGAAGAGGTAACTCGGAATAGGCATCACGATTGTGATATCTGTAGCACAGTATGATACGTACCGGATTTGTGTGGGCCAGACTTTGCTTTATGTAGTTGACGTGTGGCTTAATATCAATCCTTAAAAAAAGTCAATGAACACTCACACATATCTATATGACCACCATAACATGAATACAAGGGCTTCTGAAAGGGGATCCTTAGAAAATGAGTCTATTGCAGTTTCGAATTTTACGCGTCTGGTAACTAAAAATTCACTTCCATTGTTTTTAGCATTCAGGGTGACCGAAAAATCTGAAAAATCCCTTTTATCATATTTTAGGGCTTGAAAATGCGTGAATGATTGCAGGCATAAAATTGAAAAGCATCGCACGACAAAGCAGCGAGCCACCTTAAGTTTTGTTCTCATATAGGTCGCTGACAGTCGGCGTTGTATTGTTGTTGGTCAGCGGCGAAAAAATAATTTCAAAGCACTTCATTGGTCAATGAATATCCACAATGACCAAATTTCTTTTCTTTTTTAAGGCGGGAAAATAAAGGTTCAAGCAAGTCTACACCAAACAAGGATAGCTAGGGCATTTTAATTTTCAATTCAACCATACTTACTTCATACCGAACGCCTTAATTGCATCTGACAACCAGTTCAGACTCTCTGACAGAACCTTTGGATTCTTCTGTCCACTGGCACAACCCGATACCTCGAATGAAAACGTCAGAATGTAAACAAATAAGAACGCTAAGCGTACATGGGACCTACAATATCATTACGTATCCTGACGCTGTCCTCACAGCGGTACGGGAACTCTTAAATCGACTGCATTAACCGTGACCTAGAATTTTATTTCATTTAGAGCGGAAATCCTCCACCTCGCAAACACACTATTTATTACTAGTTCAACAAAAACAAAGTGGACGCAGTATTTAATTATTTTTTAAAACTACTCTTGAAACGCTCACCTTTAAGCTAACATAATTCAGTGAAAGATTCTCGGCGAAAACCATTAATGTCTCCTTACATTGCTCTTTCAACTATAACATAAAAATACACTTACTTTACACAGATTTAAGCGAAACGACTGACTTCTTCGTCTTTCATTTACATTAAACTACAACTATACAAACTTTTGATTGAAAAATATAGGCATTGGCTATAACATTAATATTGGGAATATCATTTTTATGTCCAGAAGCGAAAAAAAGTTTCTTTTAGTCAAAAGTATGACTGGATTTGTATCAAAACATCAACATCCACTCACAGAGAACTAAATCAGTTTGCCGGGAAACAAAAACCCGGCCGAACATCGAAGCTGTGTCAGGGCTGATGAAGCGGGGATGGTGCATGGGTAAGAGGAAAAATTGTTGTCTTCGAAAATCAACGAATAAACTTTGGTATAAGGTATACCAAACAAAAGTGTACACTACAGGTGAAAATAGCAATTCAGTCCTGTTGTACTGTACTTCACTTGATAATATTAAACCACATGAACATCCACGAGTATAGCCCCTACCTTGATATCACCGATCTTCTCCACGAGGCCAGATATGGCATAAAATGCGCTTCTCTTGGAAAACGAAGCTGAAAGTGTTGCAATGACAGCGCACAGATTGAACTTGTTCTTCAAAACCTAAAACCAATAAGCCAAGTCTAAGATTATTAAGTTTCTACTCTATGGCCCATGGTTACGGACCAGACACCAATTCAACGAGGGTCCGTTAAATGCGAGCTATATACTCGATAATACCTGAAAGTTACTTTCTTTCCAGCCAGGCTTCTTTGCCATGGTTCTGATCAAAACTTGGGACGGTAGAGTTTTTGGATCCAAATCGTTTACAAACTAAAGCACATAAAAAAACGAAAATACAGAGAACGAACGCAAAATGTGGTATTTAAATATATATACACACTGAATTCAAACGATCGATGTTACACAATATATAGCTATAATGAATTATATCATACTTGTGTTAAGGCTTCTGTCCCAGCCAACCGCTCTTTCCAGTTCGTGCTGGCCAATTGTTCACGAATATTGGCCGGGATGAGTTCTTCAGCTTTGGCGTCTACTTCCTCCGGCTTCACGATGAATGGAAAAAAATAGTATAAGAAACTAAAGTGGAACTTAAGAATATAGTCCAAAGTAATATATACAGCTAAATGCATAGATCTCAAAGACGTAAATGAATGAGACCATAAATACTTTTAAGTTTCACGTATATATGTTACAATTCTCACGTGAACTCGGGGTTGGGTTATAAAAATGAGGTGACTAGTTTGACGATTTTATTTTATTGCAACGAGCTGAGTCAAAATTGCTAAGTCATGTGTAGGAAGATCTCTCCAAATTGATAACAAAAAGTTATGGACTGAAATGACCAACCAGAATAATTTATTTTGACTTAACAAACTAAGGTGAATTTGGGAATTTTACACGCCAGGCCCCATGAAGAATAAATATCCTTTGGTACCACTTGTACCGCATTTGTACATCCTGAGTGTTTTAGACACAAATTACACAAAAGATAATAAAGAATAATAATATTCAGTAAAGAGAAAACTACCGTCATCTCTGCTTCTTTCATCACTTCATCATCTTTGAAAGATGTCGCTGAATCAGTTTTAGCAGCTTTCTTACCGCCAGATCCTTTCTTACCAGCAGGCTAAAAGTGAAAACTCACTCGATATATTCTATACAACTAGGGGACATTTTTTAAATATAATTTTCATGCAACAAAATAGTTCACACACTTAGAGTTGATCACTCTAAATCCATTCGAAACATTTTTCAGAAAAGTCTGTAACACGAATATTTCTGCTTTTTGTTCATGCAGAAAATATGAGTATATTCTCAATATCATGCTCAACTATATGTATGTATATATATATAACCCATGCAGGGTTAACCGGCTTTTGAGCAACCGACTCTGTTTTAAACGAAACTGAACTGCATTCTAAACATGTAGTTTAAATTGTAATGAAAATTGAATTTACACAGTGAAATACGATTTTTATTTCATCATTCTGCTGTGCATAAATCTCTTTATTATATGTGTATAGAGATTTATGCACAGCAGAATGATGAAATAAAAATCGTATTTCACTGTGTAAATTAATTTCATGCAATTTGATTGGACGTACGATGTTTTTCACGTGTGAAAAAATGCCATACACGGCTTTTGATTGGACGAACGATATTCTTCACACGTGAAAAATTGTCGTATGTCATTTTGGCGGCAATTTGTTTACATTTTCTTTCAACATGGCGTCGAAATATAGGAGTGAGATTCAAAACAATTTTCATATTCAAGACATTTTCACATTCAGCACATTCTCAAATCTTTCGAAAAGAATATCTAACTTCTATTGAACAAAATTACACAAAAAAACTGAACGGTAATAAATATGTTTTGAATTGTTTTCATGCATAAAGTTTCGATTTTGTTGCTCGCTGTGTTTTTGTATATTAAAAGCGTGTCGTTGTCAAATTGATCTCTATACACATTTAATAAATTATTATGCACTCGTTGCGAAGGATCGCAAACTCACTCGTTCGCTGCGCTCACTCGTTCGTATTGCGATCCTTCACAACTCGTGCATAAAAATCGTACGCACTCGCCAACCATGAAGTAATCTCTATATAATGATAATTATATAAAGCTACCAATCAAACACACGAACTACGTGGTCTGAGCTATACCATCAACAATTCAGATTATCGTACATACCTTATTCTTTGCAGTGTCGGTAGACGAGCTTGGTGGTTTAGCTTTACTTCCAGCGGTACTGGGTTTCTTACTCGGTTCAGATGTTGTAGATTTTGAGGTTGGACCGCTTGGAGCTGCAGATTTAGTTTCTGTTTTTTTCACAGGCTGCGCTTTAGCAGGAGCTGGAGCAGCACTGCCCCCGCGACTGGGCGCGGCGCTAACCTCAGCTTTCTCTGCAAATTCTTTTACCTGGGAAATTAGGAAATAATGAAGTGTGTCAGGGTTAGCCTGGCGGCCACAGGTGTTTGTAATATCGTTGCACACACCAGTGCTAAACACAGGTTCCTTCAACACTTTACTTTTATTATATCAACAATACGCCAGTGATCTACACTTCTATAGTATCTGACTTTGACTGTCCCTCTGTTATTATCATTCTTCTACACACGTGTGTAATACATTTTGACTGCTCTGGCGTCCATAGATTCCAATTTTTGCTTCCAGAAATTAATTTATGTGCTTCTAAAAACTGAAAATTCGCGTCGCGTTGCCGCACCGCGTCCGCCTTTAATTAGCATATTTGACGGACGCGGTGAAACTGTGACCGAACCGTCAGGTATCAGATAACACGTATAGCTATGTATAGTCTACTAACTTTGAAAAATCGTGCCGCGTTGGCAAATCGCGTCCGGTCTGTGTGGGCCTTAAGTCTACTTTGTAGTCTACTTTGTTTAATGCGGCTTACATCAGGGTTGGTCCAGGCAAATTTAAAAACAGGATTCAAAATACCTTATCAAGTTTAATCTTGTCAAGTTGGTCAACAAAAGGGCCCATAGCTCTCTCGCCTAGCAGTTTCAATAATGTACCCAATGCCTCTGCAGCCGCATCACGGACTGGGGCAGACGTATCATCCATGCTCTATATAAAAATAGTTCTGTTCATTGCTGCATGTACCAAGTAGTTCCGTAAAATTACAAGAAATTTAGCCTTCTAGAAATTTATATGGATAGAATAGAGGTTAAATAAGGGACTGGTAGAAAAGAACGATATAATTTAACATGATTATATAAAGCAGTGAGGAATCCATTTTTCAAGGAATTTTGCATAGAGAAATATTGAAAAACGTATACTACCACACATTACCTTCGACAGACTTGCACAAATTGGTTTCAACACCTGTCTGGGTAGGTCAGATGGCTTACTTTTGCAGCCCACTCGAGTTAAAAACTTTATTGTTTCTTCCCTAACGGAGGGATTTTTGCTTGAAATGGCCGTGGTCACATCTTCCTGGATGGCCGCTATATTTGTCTAAAGACCATTAATGTACATATAATAAAAAATTATTAACTATTACAAAAAACCTATTAATAATAAAAATAATCATAATAATATATATAAAAATAGTACCGTTGTATACACCGCATCGATGGCTTCTCTTAAGGATGTGACAACATTTACTTTCTTTTCTTTAAACTTTTCCAAAATGGCTGAAACAACCGATGTTGCATACGGAGCAAATTTCGAACGAAGACCGGTTGCCAGTCCAGCCACACACTTTCCAGCAAGAGCAACAACCATCACGTTGCTATCTTTTGTAATTGCCTAAAAGGTAATAAAAATAAACGCGGTCAGTCCAGTGCTGACTCCGGTGGACGATGTACTTAGCTAATGTTTGTTAGTTTACTACAAAAATGTATAAAAACTTCAACATTGTTGTAACATAGTATAGCTACCTGAAACCACACCGAAACATTTGACTTTGATGCATGAGAAATTACAGTGCTTAATAAAGTGATCTCGAAATTAGCAGTGGATAGAGCATCCTATATATTGATATTAAATCTTCAAGCAAGAATATTTGCACCCCATACCGAGGCGCTTTTCCCACGTTTCCTACGAATTGGCACCACTCGTGTAGAAGGTTTTGATAATGCAAAGCATGTCATGTCATGCATTGGCTTTAATTAATTTGTTGCCCATATACATTGCAAGTCGATAAGCGAACTGGTCTCTGTCAGATCCAATGTCAAATCCTGTCCGAACAAAATTGGATTGTGTGCACAAACAATACCTGACACAATAACAACACACCTTCTTTAATACGGCCATTAGCTCCCCATATTGTCCACCTTCAATCTTTGGATTGGATGTCAGCTTGTCCAGTTGTTCCAATGCCTCTTTTCTTGTTGACCATTTTGTTGCTGCCTAAACACGCAAGATACAACGACAGACTTAACGTCGCTGCTTCGTCTAATCAACATTACTCATTAGTTAACACCATGCAACATTATTAACGATGGAATTGAAAATAATAATGCTGATACTGAGCAACTTACCATGTTCTCATAAAAATCTTTAGGAATTTTGGACAAAATATCAACGGGATCAAGTAGATCGTAAGGATCAACGTCGACAGCGTGAGATTCTGAAATGGACAACAGTTCGATTAAGATATAGAATCAACGAAAAAACAAAATTGGGAATAGTGTAGCTAAAATTAACATTGTAGAAAACTCATATCAGAATATTTGAGTTTTAATTGCTCTCTTTGTGCTGTACGAATGCATATGTCAAGGGTGAATTAAGAGAGAAATTACCTTTCATAGCCCCTGCCCCCCCCCCCCCCCGACATTTTTTGTTCAACCGATTCCGCTATGTTTCTGAAAACGCGCAATCGAACAAACAAACAGCTCATTGCTGGAGTTTATTCTAAGCCGGAGTTGCTCCCCCTTTTTGAAAATTTCTGGAGATGGAAATTAGTATATGGAAAACTGTAGATATACAATTATTACTCATTTTCATCTCCAGGGGCCGATTGAATAAAACTCTTTAACTACATTTTGCATAGTTAAATCCTAGTTAACTCAGAAATACTCTGATTGGCCAATTCTTTCCTTAACTACAGTTAAAAGTTAACTAGGCTTTTATACAACTGGGCCCAGAAATTTTCAAAAAGAAATTTTAAAGAGGTAGCAACCCCAGCTTAGCGAATAATAAAATTTCTCGATTCCCTTTTTAATAATACATCCTTCCGGTAATTAACGTCACAACTTAACCGTTTCCTGTTTACAACCACCTTAAATGAAACAGATTTCAAGTTTTACTCTCACGAGCTATGTGCAAAGATGTAAAACATCCTTCTTCAACACATGCGTCAGAAAGAATTTTTCATTTTGACCAATAGACGTGGAAATACGTCATAACACAAAAACGAGGCACGGTTTTTACATTCTCGTGTTATGACTCATTTCCACATTTATTGGTTCTGACGTAATTACCGGAAGGGTCTATTGTGATCTGTCAAGTGGATCCGCTCCTGTCGAATTCCTTCAGTTGAAAAGACACCAAGCGGAAAATTTCATTTCTTCAAAAAATTCCGTCTAGCGGAGGACCGCTCTTACACGCGTATACCCAAGCACGTTTCGTGAAATGGAACTCAATTACTTAACTATAATGAATATTCGGCCAGTTGCCTTCCAATACCTTCTTCGACAATTTCTCCACTAGTGCTCCCAACTGCTTCACTGGGCGGTGGTGCCTGTGCTTGCTTTTCTTGTTGTGATCGCGTAAACCTGGTTGGTTTGGGTGGCGCTGGGTCTAGTTTAGCCCACTCCTCTTCTAACTCTTTCATCTAAAAAAACACGGAGAGCTGGAAAGGTGAGATTCGTCGACTACAAGATCTTTTCCATCGGGAGATGTTACATTATACGGATTACTATAAATTTCAAAAACATTTAGACGATACATTCCCCATGCAAAGTTACCGAGGGAAAATTGATTAAATGGGCATTTATGGAAGGTTTAACTTTAGTGTTCAATATCCCGACAAGAACAAGGAGAGACTTTGTTCAGCAAATTTGTTTACATTTTCAGTAAACTAATCAGGTTGCATAAATAATAAGATACATTATTTACAATTTTACATAAAGTATTAAAAATTTAGGCACTCGATCTGATTGGCTTGAAAAATGTAAACAAGTTACCATTAATTGAAATTCCTCGTAACATATTCAATATAGAGACATTTACTGGAATCTCGCGATTAGCATAATTCAAAGCGTCTCTAATGCGAGTGCACAATTGTTTTAAATTTGATATCAATATTTTAAAATGTATTTATATGCTATTGCATGATTACATCACTATGCCAAAAAAATCAATCGTCTTCCACTTTACAGTCCCTAGTTTTGCAGAAACATAAAGAAAGGCTCCTACCGAGTCTCCAGACCACACCTCTATATACCAACATTGGTGGGAAAACACAGCACTGGTTGTACATGCTCGACCGTGTATATAGTCGAAATCGTAATTTTTGTGAGGACACGTAATGGCAGATAGCTGTATGTCTATTGTCTTTTAAACGTTTTTTATAGAGGATGCATGTTTATTGAATATTAGCGAGGTTTCGATTGTTTCTTCCGAGTGTTCCGACTTAACGTATTTGATTGGTTAATGCACGTGGTTAATGTTTCCTCAATGGTAGCGGTAGTGAAACTGTTGAACCTCTTAGTACAGCTTAATAAAAAAACAGCAAATTTAACCTGGACAGGTTTAATGTTTGTCAATTGAGCCTTCACCGCATCCTTGATCCACTTGTAGATTTCAATTGCCAACAACTTTGTCTGTGAAAGAGATACGAGATATCACAGTAAACGATGGAATAAGCTATACGCGGGTGGGTTTATTAAGCATACTTGCAGTAACACTGTAAGTAAGTACTTTCCTTCTTAAAAAACAGTTACGATACGAGTGGAAATTGGAAAAATCAAGCGAAAATGAATGGAAAAACGCAAATTTTTCACGCAATTGAAAACGTATGTTTCTACCACTGGTTTCTACGCAATTTCAAGTTTATCCAATTTTCGCGAGGGAATGCGTGAATAGATTACCTCCTCTCGAACGTTCTTATCACTGTGATCAAATAGCTTTGGAAGAACTTTAACCACAGGTTTCAGAGCGAATATTTTACCACCAAACTCACTAAATCACAAAAAAGCGAGAAAAAGCGTTATTACTTTCCGAAAAAGTACCAGGATGTTGACGAGCACATCAGTTGGAAAAATATCTCCTCTTATTCTTAACGAGTTTTACTGTACCTTGGACTAGCCCCAAAACATATATTCTATATTATTAACTTAAACGGTATTACATAATACTGTAGCTACCTTATTGCCGTCCGCAAAAATGTCACACAACCTGTAACAATTTTTGGTTGTTTGTTATCCAAGCCCTTGAGAATTTCTTCTTGGACAGCCTCCTGCTTCTCAACTTCCAGGTACATCATACAAATGTCCATGCCTTTCTGTTTTGTTTTTGGTCGTGCGTTAAGGCACTTTGTCACCACGCCTGCCACCACATCAGCAGCAGCTCTGAGATTAAAAGATAAAGGTTTTAGTATAAGATACTAAACACCTGGGGAGATAACGTTGTTCAAAAGCCGATCAGCTCAACCCTGCAGGGTTAATGCAAATTTAGAAATAAAACTTTCTAACAGCTTATTTATCAAGTTGAAAAAGTTGTTTTTGAACCCCCCCTGCATGGTTCAGTAAAATCGAGCTTTAAACAAACGGCCATTTGTAAGCAATCATTCGTAGTGGAACTGTCACTGCCAGATGAGGAAATCTTTCAGAATTTTACCTTTCCACTGTTGTTTTGTGCAAAATAGGCCTCAAGATCGTGTCCTCAAGGCCAGAATACACATAACATTGTTTGCTCTAAAGATGATTACCTGCCAGAAATTGACGGTGATGCATACTCCACAAATGCCAAAACAGCATCAAGACCTTTCTCCTGTGCAACAGCATTGCTATCAACCACGAACTTCTTCAACAGACCAACATATTTGGAGAATTCATTGCTGTTTTCTTCCATAATTCCCTTAAAATGCTTAGCACATTCTTCATAACCGCTCACCCTTGCTTTCCAAACCTATAGATAATTGGATTTATAAATAGAGCTATATGTACAGTGTTTCTAATATTCGTTGTATAGTACTAGGCTGCAATCCTAAACTGCAGGGTGTCCAAAATTAACGGAGAAATATCTCATTTATTTGTCTTTTCAACGATACGTTTCATTAAGAGAACATTTTTTATGGGTATATTCCCATGGGTATTCAGAAACCAAATACCAATTTATGTTTTTTTTTAATACTACCAAACTGATTTTCCTGCATTCTGATTGGTCAAAATTCGTTGTCTGAAGCGATAGTCACTGGTCAGTGACTATAGAACTGAAGTAATTATAAATTATTATGAAATTGTGTTGATTCTCTTACAAGCCTATATTGACAAATTGAATATTATAGCTTGTTAATCACCTCAGGTGACTAATTGTTAAATAGAAATAGGGAAAACGTTTTAATTACAAGGTGTATAAAGTGAATATTTTTTAATATTCAGTAGTTGCCTTTCTTTTTTTTACCTTGCATACCACAATTATTTTTCTTAGACAAAGAAATTTATCATTTATGCATCAATCAATTGTCACCTGACAATTATAGCAGACAAATTAGTCTTTCAGCTATTTGTCCTAATGTAACAGTTCTGGAGCCAGTTGTTATATGAAAGCTGGATATCGTTATCCACTGGATAGTGTTTTTTTTTAATCACCCAATAACTTTATTTCATAACTGCATACGCATATTGCCTCATTGTCAATCTTCATTAGGCTTTAATATACACCATATAAAAGTACATATATTGCCTACAGTGTCTGAACTTTAATTACAGTACTGGTACTAATAGATTAGTAGCTGTTGTCTATTGCATCACCTTTTTCATGGTTAACCCACACCACTGAATGCAGCTATGTAAGGTAGTAATGTAGTACTAAATTTCAGTTACTGTGCAGTGTATATATTGTATTACTGCATCTCAATCTGTGTTGATTCATATTTTGACTCTCAAGATGTCCTGTTTATTCGGAATTTGTTTTTTACTTTACTTTTTTAAATTGTCGACTGGTTATGATTTTTGTATTACTGCATTCCATTGCTTAATGAACCTCTGGTTTAAATTTGTGTAATTTAATGAAATCAAACAATGTTTTTCTTTCTTATTTCATTAAAAGGGTTTAAGTAATTTATTAATGTCAAGAACCTCTGCACATGTTATATAGGCAACCTGCAACCTCCCAAACCCCAATGAACTGCCTGCATATGAAAATTCCTTATGGTATAGATGTCATGTGAAGGACATTTGCAACCTAATTAACAGAAACTGATCCTTACACCTAAATATTCATCCCATTTCAAGAAACCATTAGATTTTACTCAATTACTGGGTAAATTTCCTTTTTATAAGTTTCTAAGTTTTTATAATCTTCAAAAATACCACAAGCAGCACTTTCAACTATCATTATGGTAAGTGCACAAGCTAACGCATAAGTGGTTGTATGTGTGAGAAGCAAGCCAATACAGGGAACGACTGGGGAGGGCAACAAAGCCAATACAGGCCCTCCCCTAAAGAAAATTAAACATATCTTCATTTTACTATTGACTTTAACTAAAGTTATTATTAATCACACCCTGTGTAATTCCTGCATATGACCCTGAGGAGAAGTTATAACCTAAGTTAGGGCCTGTTTATATGATCCCGCCTAGCCAGGACGGGACAGTTTCCGAGATCCCGCTTGTAATACAAACACTAATTAGTGTTTATATGACCACTTTTCATCCTGCCTTGGCGGGACGAGAAATTGCCATATAAACACTCCATCCCGCTTGGCCAGGATGATTCGCGATTAACATACATTAGGAGCATGCCATCCCGCCTAGGCGAGTTTCCCGGCTAAGCGGGATGAAAACATCCCGTCCCGGCTAGACTGGATCATATAAACAGGCCCTTAGTTACTTATCTGTTACATTTATATAAATGCACATACATACATTTATATAATTCACTGGATGAGTAAGAGCTAGCTTGGTGTATGCAAAAATCTTTGAAAAGCAAGATTTTGAATATTCACAGGTATTAATTCAACTTTGTTAGAAATATTTTTTGATACAGTATTTTGGCTGACAAGAATATGCACATCTAACTTTGTATGGTCTAATCATGCAAGCATACGTAATAAAACTACTTATATATTTTAAAGCTTTCAAAAACGCATACCTAACAAACACCCACATTACTATTTGGCAAACAAAGTATCAAAACTTAAAGAAAAAATTTTACCCTTGTGAACTGTGAACAAGCTGTCTGTAAACTTTCGTACAGTCAAATTATAGAATTTTATCCTATTAAATAGGTAAGAGGCCTTCGATAGGATTCGTTAAGGTTTTGCAAGATCACACACAAAGTGCGTGTTAAAATCAAGTGGGTTTAGTTTTTTGAATATTGATGTAATAATAATAAAAAAGAGAAATGATGAATTTAATTAATAAAACACGAAAGTTCAGTCAGTATATAAACCACTGCAGAACCGGAGATCGATATGCGAGACTAACCTTATGTTGGACCCTTTCTTCCAGTGGTAGTTTAGTGAAATCCGCTTCTTCAGCCATTTTTAAAAGAGTAAAAACAGAAGAAAAATCCCTCTCAAAGCAAAGAATATCAAAAGTGATGTCTTCAACGTTCGTCCATGTTGACTTTCCGCCTGATCATGTGATCTTTATTAACCAATCAAATCAGAAGATTAAGAAATTTACCAAATTTAAATTTTAGTTCCCGCCACTCAACCACAGAATACCTTACAGAAGTGGAACTCCTGTACTTTTTTCGTAAGTGTGATTCGTCACTTAGCAAGTGCATTTTTTTGAGGCTGTCACCCCCCTGCCAATACTGAATATGGCTTGATTTTAGACATTGGCAGGGGGGCGACTACCTCAAAAAAATGCACTTGCTAAGTGACGAATCATGACGAATCACACTTACGAAAAAATAGTATAGAGTTCCACTTCTGGTAGGTATTCTGTGACTCAACAGTCTGAATTATATAGAGAATATTACACTATCTACAGTTTATTTCGAGTGTTGAAGACTTGAAGAGAATATTGCTCACAAGTGAGCGCAATTCTGTTTATTATATGAACAAATTATAAGCAAACGACAATTCTTAATGTTAATTCGTTTACATCCAATTTAATACTTCCAAGTTCCAACAAAGTGAAAGCCTCGTGCTGTGTAACTGAAATTTGGACTGCGGTAAGTCTGGTAATAATAAAAAATCTTTATAAAATATTGAACATTTCGAAGTTTGCCCAATAAATTATACTGCACTTCTCGCTTGTTGACATTTTAATTTACAAATTTGAGGAGAAACATTTTTTGAAGAAACTGCTACAACTGTGTTATTGCGTATAATATATTAAAATATACCGATTTTTGCAACCCTATCATTGGCTAATGCGCTTTACCCCTTTGGGAAATAATAAAAATATTAATTTTTTTCTTATATTTTAGATTAACAGAAGTTTTAAAAAAAAAAGCCAAAACATGTAAGTTTGTTTTTATTACAATAGATATATTTTTTCAAAACTAATATTTGTATTTTATGATTTTTGAGCTTAATACAACATTATTTCAACAAAGCACTTTTTTCATAATGTTGGTAGTGCAATTATTGTATTAATACATCTACTTCACCAACTATTTTAGTGGAGAATGAGGATGAATCATGAACTCATACTTGGTATGTATAGAGGCACATATTTATATATCTTTCACTCTGAATGTAGAAATTAGCAACTGATGAAAATGTTGTTGATCATTTCCAATGTTCAAAAATCTGATTTATCAATTAAAGATTTTTCTTGTTGGATTTTAGACATTGATAATGATAATGATGATGGTAAATATGATTAAAAAACTATTTGAAATATTTTAATTTAGTCACAGTTAGTTAATTTCACATAGCACTAAAATGATAACAACCAGATAAGTTTCATGATTGATGTGATTTATTGATGCATTCGCTTTCCCCTGCACAACTGAAATACTTTCATTTAATCTAGTGAGTCCTCCACCTCAGGAAAAATAATATTAACCAGGTAAGTTTCATGATTGATGTGATTTATTGATGCATGCGCTTTCCCCTGCACAACTGAAATACTTTCATTTAATCTAGTGAGTCCTCCACCTCAAGAAAGGCCTGGTATGCTTATTGAATATGCATAAAAATGATCTGTTCTTGAAATTTTGTATATACTGCCTATAATTGTTTAACATTTTATGATTAGAAATGTACAGCAATTGCATCTTGATATACATTGAAATGAACTAACTTATATTTTCAATTCTCAAGCTTTGCAAGTTGTAAACCGTGAAGGTATATTAGTACTTTGTTCAATATTATTGTTGCGGGGAGCAGGCAGAGGTACTGTATGATGCATTATATCCACAACATTTGTTTCCGGTTTTTGTCATTGCATGCTACTCAACAAATATTACATTGTGAGGATGCTCAATATGACATTTTGTCTTTTTAGTGTTACATGGACAAGTGAGAGGTTACTAAAGTTTAATTGCTAATGGTCATGCAGCTAACTCCAGATTTTTGGTAGGCTGGAAACCAATTATTTCTTGATATCATTTCTTGATATTAGGGCGGTGTTACAAATGTGGCCTGCGCGGCCACAGAGCAGCGACTTGCCAACACGTATGTACAGTAGTAACAGTACCTTATGATATGTCAGGTAATGTATAGTCAGTTGTTAGGTCACTGGTTCACAAATAATATAATCATGGCTTCAGGGCTAGGCTTAGATAGTAGATGGTGCGAAAGAAGAATTTTATTGGTCTCATCAAATTTTAATGGTCTTGGCAAAGACGCTGGGCATCGCAATATATGACAATAATGTTTTAGGCTATTTCTCTCTCTAACTGGTGACGCGATTGATTATCCTGCAGTTCTATCACCAATTTACAGTTAACTCAAAGCTAAATAATGACATTTTTTATTTATAGGGGCTGTTTGTTTGTTATGTGGCCGACGAGGCCACACTAAAGTCGTGTGTCCCCAGCTTCAGGCGGCACACAAAACACCGGCCAAGCTGGTAATGCAGTTTACAAACTGCACGTTTGAGAAGTAAATATTGCTTGAACTTCTCAAACGTGCAGATTAGGCTACGTTGACATACAGTCTAATTGAAATTTCCTCATTCAAGATCTTGCCCGTGGTTAACATTTAAAAAAACAACGAGCTATCAGTACATCAAAGACGAGACAATATTGTTTTCAACTAGCTGCTCAGATATCACTGTCAACGTAGCCTCATGTTGTTGTCACGTTATAATAATAAATTTTAAAATTGTTTCCTTTTTTAATAAGTAAATTTTTATTTTTATTATTCCGTAAATTTTGTATTAATTATTGTAAATTTGTTAGATAGTTTGTATTTATATATTTTTTGAATTAAATTTAATTTTTACCGGGTTTTGGAAATTATGTTATCGAATTAAGAGCCGGCGAGGGGTTACTGCATGCATGTATTTCTAGTATGTTGATAGGGTAGTCAAAAAGGAGTAAATATTGATAATTATATGCGGACACAACCAGCGTCCAGCGATCTTTTAGCGAGGAACCCAATGCTCTTAACATCAAGGTTGTTTACGGATTGATAAAACAGGGGTTTTGTGGTTGTTGATAAAATAAAACATGACTGATATCATGTTGATCCAGTGCTGTTCCAACAACATTGTTCAAGCCTTGTTATTTCATCAATCATTGCTGCCGCAGCGAGCGAGCCTGGGGCGAGCGAGCAAGGCAGCAGACCTAATTGATGTAAGTTGGGAATTTTTTAAATTTTGCTTTAGCGCATTGCATTGTGGTCGAATATTAGATAGACCCACAATGCTATGCGTGAATCAACTTTATATAAATATATTGTTTCTTCCCATTGCTTCCTTTTCGGCTTTTCCATTCGGGCATTCTGGTGAACAGTTAAAAAATTTTGTGATTGCCAGTTTCTTAGCTTTTTTACCCTCATTTCATCGCTGATTATTACATTCGCAGATCATTAATCGAGACTGCAGGTAAGCAAACATGACCATGTGCCGTTGATCGCAAATATATCTCTGAAAAACAACGTTCCAGGCTCGACATGATCATGTGCCGTTGGTCGCAAATATATCTCTGAATAACAACGCGCTCATGCCTTTCGCAGAGCAAGCAGAGGCTAGGCGGTATAAAGAACAATTACTTGATGATGCAATTTTTTTTTTAACGAGTTTTTGATGTCATTCTGTTCCACTCTCCTCAAGTTGGTGTTAAGCACGGTAAGTTGCTGTCAGTAAAAGATAATGTTTTGTAAAATTTTATAGATATATAGATATTTTACCACTTCCGATTTCACTCGCTGCATTTACTGCGCTTTTGGTGGTTTGGCCTTAACAAGGAACATTCAAACAACAAATCGTTGTATATTTGAAAGACAGTTAGCTTATATTTATTGACATTTATGCGCATTGCCATTCATAATTATTCGCTATTAAATTTACATATTTGTGCGTGCTCTTTGCCCCGGAACTTTGAATTTTATAACACCTGTTGGCTTCTTTATATGCAAAGCGTTAAATATTTGAAAGACAGGGCACTCTGTCAACTTAAATTTGTCGATATTTACTGTTATTGGTGAATGATAATTGATATTTTCTATTCAGTCTTTGTGTGTGTACCGTTCTTTGCCCCTCGGATACATACAGTATATACCATTGACATTTGATACAGCATTAATACAGCTTCGATTTGACTTGCCGAATTTAGGATAATACGTGTTGGTTTTTTATGCATAGCGTTAAATGTTTGAAAAACAGAGCACTCAATCAACTTATATTTATTAATGTTCATTATTTTTGATGAATGATATTTTCTATTTAATTTATATATTTGCGTGTGTGTTGATCTTTGCCCCTTGGAATTGAACTCTTAGACTTTGAACCACTATATAGCATTGACATTGATTCACCTCCCATTTCACTTGCCAAATTTAGACTTTGGACTTTTACATATAGCTTCAAATACTTTTCCTTTATTTAAAATATTTCAGCATTTTTCATATTCCTGTGTATTGATATATTTGCTGCTGGTTTGTTTTAAACTTATTTGGTGTGTATTTTACATGCCTCGTTTTTTGGTGTGTATTTTACATGCCTTGCTTTTTTCTGTGTTTTTGAAGTGTTCTAGCTATATATTTTGATATCGAATGTTGTGACTTGACTTCAAAACGTTTGTTTTATCTGGTCAGTTGCAGTTAAAATTTGAAATGTCTTATGACCAAGGACAACATAGTCAATCTTTTCTTTTTACTCCTCTTCATGCCAAATCGCAAAGATTTTTGTGTTCATTGGTTGACTTGCCATTAGTAAAGGAGCATAAATGCAATCATTCACCACCAAAAGCGCAGTAAATACAGCGAGTGAAATCGGAAGTGGTAAAATATCTATATATCTATAAAATTTTACAAAACATTATCTTTTACTGACAGCAACTTACCGTGCTTAACACCAACTTGAGGAGAGTAGAACAGAATGATATCAAAAATTCTGTTAGAACAAAAATTGCATCATCAAGTAATTGTTCTTTATATCGCCTAGCCCGGCTCTGCTGGCTCTGGGAAAGGCATGAGCACGTTGTTATTCAGAGATATATTTGCCATCAACGGCACATGATCCTGTTTGCTTACCTGCAGTCTCGATTAATGATCTGCGAAACAAAGGATTTTGCTAATTTGCATTAGGTTCGGCACATGGAAAGTTCGTCGTCTGTAACGGGCCTCATTGATGTTGTACATTTACAACTTCTAGCGAAACGTTAAACAATCTCAAACAATTAGCCAAGTTTTCAAGTCACATGTGAAGAGTTCACAACTACCTTATCTTTTTTAAATAAGTAGATTTCAGTAACACAACAACCTACTATTATGATCACGTGCATTCAAAATAAAACAGCTGGCGAACTTGCACATGCTTCATCTTTGTTCATTTAATCTATTCAGCAAAAACTTAGACCCAAACAAAAAAAACAATTTACTTAAAATCCTCATAAACAGTGAATAGTGAATACTTCGTTCTCCAAGGCTGTTGTCCAACCCGATTTGGCGATTAGCCGATTAAGTACTTCTTTCTACAATTCAATCCTGCATGACTAGGCTTGCGCAAGCGCGTGTTTGCAGATATACAATAATTATGCAATAAAGGCAGCATTCACTACCTGTAGGTAACCTAGTAATAATATTGTTCCGACAATCGTGAAGAACATTGTTCCAATAAGGGGGGGGGGGGATGCAGCACAACATTGTTCAATCCTGTCGAGAACAATGTTGAACAACTTGATTACAATATTGATTTCAGTAGTTGATTTTTAGGCGTGTAGCATTTTTTAAAGACCTTATGGTTTTAAAATAAACCTTTGCTTGATCATGTAGCGGAGCAATAGTATCAAACGCCTTTTTATCGAACGATAAAGTAATTTAACTGGTTGTCATGTTCTATGTTACTGGTTTCTATGGTTAGAACGTATATCGATGTAGAGAAGGTCGTTCTTAAGTTTTCTGTATATAGGGGTGGTTATTTCCTTCTAAGAGACTGAGTGTAACGTTTAGGAAATTTAAAAGATGGTTATTAATTTCTACAGTTATTTTTAATTTTATTTGATTAGAAATTTCATGTAAGCCTTTTATAGCTTGGCGGGGTTGCCGCCCATTTTTGCTTTAAAGGATCAACAGGCCATCGCCTCTATCTATCAACTTGATTTGAACCAAATTTTTCCGACAATTTACTTATGTACGCCCACAAGATCACAAACTTCGGCACCGGTATTAAAACTGCCCATAGTAACATCAAACAGACTTTGAGAAGATTTTTACAATTTCTTTAAAGAATCGTCGTATAATTAAGAAACAAAAAGTGCCATAGGTTCCATTAGAAATAAAATGGTTTGTGCAATTTTGCAAATGTTTGTAAATGTTGCTAGACAATCAAATAAGTACAATACGTTGTTATATTCTAACGTGCAAAAACAAGTATGAGCAATTTTGTAAGCAAGTTTGAGTTTCATTGTCAACCATGTTGAATTAGTGCTACTTTTGTCGTTCCTTCTTCATCATCACTATCATTTTCCTCTTCACCATGTTCTGTATGAAGTATCAAATATGGAGCAATTGCTGGAGAATAGCGCGCGACAAGTTTGTACTTGCCCTTTTGGAATATTGAATGGGGATCGATCTTTTTGACATTCACGACACCTTCATTAAATCTTTTCAGATCCCAAGTCTTGATTCCCAAATTAACCTTTCCCTTTGGATGATCAGCCAATCTTTCTTTGTTGAATACATGTTTAGGCTCTGCTTTCCTAAGATTGACGTTTTTTGATCCACGCTGAGGAATAGCATCATCTTTAAATCTCTTTAAATGGGATTTCTTCATAGTAATTTCATAGGCTTCCATGTCAAGTGACGGTTCCGCGGCACGTTTGTGGTCTAAGTAACCTTTAGTATGCTTGGTGCTCTCAGATACCCAAGTCTCTCCGGTTGGCTTTGTTTGTTTGTAACCATGTGGCATTTCTTTCATTTCAATAGCTAATTTTCCATCTTCAGAGGGCATTACTCGGTATACACGTCCTGCCCTTGCTTCAGTAACTTCAAGACCACCGATAGCACCTATAAAATATAAATGCAAACACTTCTTCATATTCTGTCAAAATGTGAATATTGGAATACATAGGAAATAATACTTAGATTTGAAAGCTATTATTGTTGTTTATAACTGAACGATCTTCATCGAGATTGCAAAGACAATTGCACCAATTTATTTGTGAATATAGTTTTAGGTAAAATTTATTCTTTATTTCTGATTCAGTACCCGTGACTCCACCCAATAAACCCGAACCAACAGCTTCACCAGGATCGATTTCATTTCCATGAATGGCATCATTTGCAACGGATTCACCAGCACCTGCTAAAGCTCCGACAGCCCCAGCACCAATCGCTGCCGCCGTAGCGCCAAACGGAGCTAATGCTCCACCTGTTGCCACCGTTGCACCAACTGCCACTCCCGTAATCACGGCACTACCCAAAGCAATGCCCGAAGCTTTTCCCAATTGCTCTGCTTCTTCCATGTTTCCTTTGGAGGCTTCGACAGCAGCTCGGATTCCTGAACCAAATAAGCTATTCTCAGAATATTTTTCCCATTCATCTCTAGCTGCTTCATGATCTCCACCTGCAATCTCATCTCCAAGCGAATCGCCAGCAGTTGCAAGTTCTTG